TGGTTTTCGCGCAACAAAACAATGGGTTTTGATCGCCGATGTTTTTAAAGCACATTGGACGGATGCCGTAAAGAAGATCATTTCCGACAATAATGGGAAGATGATACCTGTTCCCAATAATATGACATCATACCTGCAGCCCTTAGATTTAACAGTCAATCGCTCTTGCAAAGCTTTCCTTCGAAACCAGGCGCAAACATGGTACTCAGAGCAAGTCAAGCCCAAAGAGAAAGGTATTCAACCTGATAAAGTTTCTGTTGATTTGAGAATTAGCGTGCTCAAACCACTTCACGCAAAATGGATAGTGCAGTTCTATGATTACATGCAATCGAACAAGGACATTGTCGTCAAAGTTTGGCAACGATCAGGTGCGAGCGCCGCATTGGAGGAACCACAACGAAAAGAGGATCCATTTGAACTGTAGCTAAACTTTTGTTTGACTTATAAAGTATATTGTTAGGCAATATCGTTTATTACATTTTTTAGTTCTTGTTGGGATAGTGAACTCACGCTTTATTTTGAAGCCATTTTTGAGGCCACCCAATCGTTTTTTTGATGAATATTGAGGTATTTCTTAATAAAGAAAGCTCAATATAAATGCTTCAACTATTAATAGTTCTTTTGAACAAACCAAAAAGAACGAGCACATAAAACTACTTGCGCGAATTTAAAGCTGCGCGAAAAATTGTCAACAAAGTGCGCGAAATTAAATCGCGCGAATTTAAAGCTGAGCGAAAATGAGTACGACTCGAATTTAATTTGATCGTGGTCAAATTCTATGGATGGAGACAATGGCTTCAATAAGGATGCCTTGAATGCTTTGAAGTTAAAGTTCATGATCCAAAGAAAGATGGCAAGAAGGTTGTGTGTGTTTTGATGCTTAATGAAATGCCAATTCACAAACATGTAACAAACATGTAAAATGGGAAGACCATAAATTTTGTGTCTGTGTAAACATTTGTACTGAGATTGATGATGACTTGATGCAGATGTGAAGCTTCAAACTGTATAAGTCATTGGGTTTTATATAACTTAATGTTTAAATCATGTCATATCTTTATCAAAATATTTTAGTTGAGTGTTGTTTGAATGTTACTAATATCTAATGCACTATACTGAAGCATTAAAATTCAGTGATGAAACCTTTAAAGTTACTGTACTGTATATTTCTTCATTATTACAATTTTTGCTTTAAGAAACAGTTTGAGCTTATTTACCTATTAGAGTACAGAATGGAGATTTATCATATGCATTATTGCTGCTTTTTTTAAAGAAAAGTTTTTTCACTTTTCAAAGCTTTTCTACAATTTTTTGCTTCGTATTTCTTTTCATGAGATTCATGATATAGAGGTAATATAATCCAATAACTTTATAATTTCTAGCTTTTAGGCTTTTAAGCTTCTAGCATAAAAGTACACTAAAGGTATTTAATTCATTTGGTTTTATTGCCTTGATCTTATTGCCCATAACTTATGATCCTAAACGAAATGTGTTTACAACTTGAAGTGGATGTACGGAGTTCTCAACGGCAATGTCCCCAAAACTTACACCTTCTAATTATAGATTTACATACTGGGTACATGTGTGTACATCACAAGTATAACTTACACTTTCCGTCTATTGGAAAGTTGCGTTTCCCTTACAACTATAAATAATTCAATTTCCAATGCATGCAAATTTTTACATTTGGCAATGCTTTTCATTATCAATATCTTAATTCTGGGTGTCATGTTAACAACATATCTGTAGTTACCGTAACTGCGTAAAAGCACTATTGATAACGCGCATTTAATGAATACGACAAGTTGTTTTTTTTAAATAAAAATGTTTCAACATCTCATGATGACATTTCAGTATAATAAATACTCCTTATCATATTTTATTAAATGCGCAATATCTATAGTTGTACACGATTAATTCCTTGTATTGTTGGCGGTTGTTAAGTGCACAACTATATGCACGATTAAAACAATAAAGTACTTCAAAGTTTAAATCCAACACATGTATATTTGGATAGGAATAACAAACACAAATCTTAAATATGCAAAGACCGGTTATATATTTTAATGTTGACAGCAGAGAGCGTTGATTCATAGAGCACATTCAAGTACATAGAAATAAAGAATTCCTGAGAATTTAACATCGACTTCTTTTAAACTTTTCCATGCAAAAATTATTTTTATACCCGCGACAGTTAGATACACTCGCGGTTAGTGGTTATCAAATTACCAGATCATTGTCGGTATTAATTTTCTATCGTGTTTGCTCTCAAATTGCTATTTTGTATTTGTGTATGACACAATGGCTTCAAGTGCGACAGCGACTTGCTAAACTGAGGTTGATAGAGTAAATAGCTTATTAGCTAAACCGTTCTCTGCTCGATCGTCGGTCAAACAGAATGCTATCGTTCATGAACGGCCTACTCCTGATTTAACAATCCAAAATAAGGGAAGAGCATTTCAGAGAGATTGGTATGAGACGAAGGACAGGCTGTGTGGCAGTACAACCTTGCAGAAAGTATTTTGTTGGCCATGTCTAATGTTTTCCCCAAAAACATCGCCATCATGTACTAAGAATGGCTACAACGATATGCGGAGTATTATGTCTAATGCTAAGAAGCATGAAAAAATTAAATCGCATTTGACTGCTTTTAAGACATGGAAAATGTATGAAGCTAGTGAACGAATTGATTGTCTTATGTCCCTCGCGAGAAGAAATGACGTTAAGCGTGACAATGAGGAGGTGAGACAAAATCGAGAAATTTTAAAAACTGTTACTGAGGCAGTGCTGTATTTGTCAAAGTAAGAGTTGCCATTTAGAGGTCACGATGAGTCCGAAGGTAGCTTGAACAACGGTAATTATAGAGAGTTGCTCGAATGTTTTGCTAAGTTTGATTCTGTATTCGAGCGTCGACTGCACAGTAGACAAGCAGAATCTGATATAGTTGGTGACAGAAGATTTACTGAAGTCTTCCAAGAAATTCAAAATGATCTTATCAGCTGTCTTGATTCAATTAATGAAGATGAAATCAGAAAGGAAATAAATGATTGCACATTTATGAGTATTCAGGTTGATGAAGCATCTGATGTATCCACCAAAGAGCAACTAAGTGTTATTGCTTGGTTTGACAAAGCAAGTGAAATTATTGAGAGGCAATCAGGATTTGTGGATGTAAGTATGAACAGAAATGCCACAGCAATATCACAAGTTGTCAAAGACAAACTTGGTGAGTATTCTGATATAGAAGAAAAACTGGTTTTGCAAACATATGATGGTGCTTCTGTCATGTTTGGCCATATCAATGATCTTCAAGCATTGGTTCGACAAGAGTATCCTTTTGCCCATTTTGTTCATTGTGCAGCTCATAGATTGAACCTGGTCCTATGCCAGTCAGCCTCATCAATTTCTCCTGTTAAAATCTTTTTCATTAATATAGGTACATTCAGCACATTTACAAGCAATGCCCCAAAGAGAAAAGCTTGAGTTTCCTGCCACTAGTGAAACAAGATGGTATTATCGCTCTTGATTAATCAATGTATTGCAAAAAAACTATGAAAAACATTTAGATATTTTTGAGGGCGTACTTGAACAACCAGCTGGGTGGGATGATGAGTCATTAAGTAAAATAAGTGGCTTACTGCATTATCTTGATAGCTTTCTCTTTTGTTTTCTAGAATGTGGTTACATGATTTTTGAACAGTCCACAATTTTGTATTCCATTATTCAAAATAGGGAAACCCATTTTAATTATGACATAAGCAAGATTGACAATTTCAAGCAGTTTATTGTATCACTTCGCACAGATCAAGCTTTCACCGAGATTTACCAAACTGCACTAGAAAAAGTAGGCCCACCAGCAACCAGAGCAGATAGTAGATACAATTACAAACAGCTTTATTTTGAGATTATTGATCCATTAAAGGCATGTTAAGTGAACGATTTCAAGATATTAATCAGTTTGAGTTTTTAGATCTTATAAATCCTAAACTATTTACTACATCGAAAGGCATAGTTCCACAGGAGAAGATCAATCTTCTTAAAGATAAGTATAGTCCTCTCTTTGACATCCAAACTTTGGAGAGTAAACTTTCCTTCATTTACAATTACAAGGACTTTCACAAAGAGTGCAGTAATGAGGTGCTTAAATACATCTACAAATTTAATCTCCAGCCGAGTTTACGTCAAGTGGTAAATTTGTTAAAATTGAATGGTGCCTTGGCAGTGGCAAGTGCATCAGTAGAGAGGTTGTTTTCTTGCTTGAAAAGGGTAAAAAGCTATGTGAGGAATAGAATGGGTCAAGGTCGGCTTAGCTCTTTGTGTAGAATATCTATTCACAAAGATATCATTGAACAAAAAGTGGAATAAGAGGTATTGCATAATGACGTGGTTTAAAAATTTGTAGAAAAACCCAGCTGGCCTTTCTTTATAAATAATGGGTATAGTATGTGTTTTGATATTTGTTTTTATAATGCATGGTACTTCATTTAGAAAATTAAGCATGACTTTAAAGAATAAAGCCATCCCTGTCTGCGTACCCCAATCTAAACAAGTATAAACTAACAAGTGGAGTGCTAAGAACAATCTCTCTCTATGCATTTTAGGAAGGGTTGTATACTATGTTATTTTTTGTGCTAATCTAAATTTCTTCTGTTTATTTAGGGGCAGTGATAAGTTCGATTCATTATGTTTCAGGGGACAATTGTCTCCTGTGTAACGTTTCTCTGAGCCACTTTTAGTACCTTTTTAACGAGTTGCAGTTTCGACTATTGCCACATTAAGAATGCAGCTAATAAAAACGTGTGTTTATAACTTATTGTTTAACAAATAATTTGCCCTCCAAATCGCAGGAAATGCTGTTTCCAAGGCTCTGGATTTCAAAATTTTTCCCGGGGAGCATGCTCCTAGACCCTCCTAGTGGGGGTTGTGCCTCTGGCCCAACATGGGCATGCGGGAGTTACTATTTTACAAGCTATGCCACTGGACAACATCAACACTTTTACCTTTCATTTTCGTCACTAGAAATCGCTTTATCTTTTTCTACAATTTGAAATAAAAATTATTAATGTAAATTAAACTTCACAATTTTTATATGATTACATACTCCAATTTCCAAGCAACATGAAAAAAACAAAAAACGTAAAAAGTCAAAATAAAACAGTAAAAAGAAATTTAACTGAACAATTTATGGTCTATTGCCATTACTAAAACAATATGATCGTTCTTTGCCTTTACCTACCAGTAAATAAAGATGCATAGGAAGAACATGATGATGATGTTGATTCATTTGAGGTTGACATTTTTCTTCCTTTTATTCTTTCCCTTTCTTTCTTTTGATATTTCTACCAAATGGGTAAACATTAGTAAACACTAATAACTAATTCCTGTATAATATAGCGGTTTTAAAAACCGCTTGCATATTTCTGTGTACTGAGCAAACATTTATGAAAAGAACTCATTTTGAGCATGCTCATTTGTTCGTTCTATAATTGCCTGCTGTGATTTCAAATAACAAGTTGCGTATCACGAAAACAAATATGATGCTTCCTTAAACTACTCGAATGCGTTCAAAGAATTTCGCTTTTTCTTCCTTGTCGTTGAAACCTTAAAAGTTAAAATTCTTTAAAATTTGAAAACTCTGAAATGTTTTTGCTTCAAAAACTCTTTCTTTACAAGGAAGTGGATGATCACTTGTTATATTTTATTGCAATACATAGTAAAAAATAAAGCTTATTTAAAAAATTGTCAATTTGTGGGGATCATATTATTTCATTTTACAGTTCGTCAGCTTAGTAATCGCACTGTCTGTGCTTGTTATGTCTTTCCAATTTTCAAAGACGTCGCGAAAATGCTTTCACCGGTTCGCCATGTATTAAATTTAAATACAGGCACAGTTTAGAAAAGTATAAACACATTGTAGTTATTTTAGTACAAATAATTCAAACCCTTACCTTCAAATTTACTTTTTACAAGGCTTTCTCAATGAAACGTTTGATTTTCGATAGACTGCAGTTTGTCAACAGTCAATGCTCTAAATGCTTGGAATTGTCCAAAAATAATCGAAATTGAAACAATGAGGAAACAATAAGAACGAAAATCTATTGGACCATTCAATGATATGTTATTATTAGGTTACATAGTAACCGCGATGTTAATAATTAATATCGGAGGAGCCGGCAGCGGCCTGATACTAAGCTATAAAGGTATATAAATGACGTATTTAACGTGGGAAAGACAGAGGAATCTAGCTAACACAATTTGATACAATTTGCAAACTAACCTATACTGATATTGATGTACAAAACATTATAGGGATCAAGTTTAAATCGTCTTTTTTTCATTAACATAACTAAAATGACAATTTTTATCAGTGTAAAAAACAGTTGAATTATCACTTCTTAACTGAACTATTAACATTGTTGCTCCATTTTAAGACCAACATTTTATTTAGAAATTGAAATCGATATCATCATACGTAACTGGTCTTGCTTTGCTACGCAAACGTTCAGCTATGCCAGCTATCTCTTGTTCATCACTTATTTGAAATGTATTGTTCTTTGATTGTATTCCAACATTAAAATTATTAACATGCTTTCCTCCTTTTTCTTCTTTTTGCTTGTCTTACTATTTTTCTTTCCTTGACCAGCATTTTGCAAATGAACCTTTCTTGATTTGTCCGTGGACACTGGCGGAAACGTCAAGGGAATGCGATTAAAAGCAATATGCCAGTCCAGAAAAATGTTGGGATCAACAGGAACCCAAGGGACATTTTTATCGTACTGTACCAAGAAATTGTTTGAGTGAGCAAGATGAAGGTCATATACGGACTTCTTTGTCGCGTCCTTTGCTACATTGTAAACACAAATGTGTAAATCATTTGCCGAATGAGACAAAATGTATTTGCCTGGTAGCAATAGTTTTTGCAGTCGTGTGAAAATTCCATGAATTGCCTTCATTGGCTTAGCAGGATCATAGGAAGAAAGAGCTAAAATGTCTGATTGATTAAGAACATCCAATTTCAACAATTCTCCAGTTAAAAAAGACACTCGAGCACAAACACAGACAGACTCTGGGTTGCAGTAAGTATGTATCCAACATCTTGATGCTTCACTCATAGTTATTTTTTCATATCCATAACAAAGTTGATATTCAGGTTTGATAAATACATTGACTGGATGTAAAGCGCCTCGTCCTGATTTTCTATTTGGTTGGTGAAGCAAGCCACAATCAGATGTTCTTATTAACAAGTTTAAAGTGCCAAATGCCCAAAGACTGTAGGTGAATTGGGATAAATTCTGAATTTTTTCCTTGTCCATATCTTCACGTTGCGACATCTCATCACCATCATTAGATATTTTGTCGTCAACAATAAAAGCATCTTTTAGGGAAGAATCAGGAAACAAGTCGTTTCGATTTCCTATTGGAATATTTTCTTCACAAATAGTCAAATCATTATCGTGTTTCATGGCTTCCTTTACTAAATTACAATAATTTTTCACCGATTCACGGCAATCTCTTTCTTCTATGTAATTTTTTTGAGTCTTTGTTGCATATGTTTGGTTTCCACTGTCGTTATTACTGTTTAAAGGCTTCTTTAACATTCGGCACAGCTCATCGCCAAAATACATCACATTCACTTCTCTTGGTGTCATCGTTTTTGATGGTAAAGGATTGTCTATGAATATAGTTCGACTTCCATTCAACGTTGCTTCATCTTTATCTAAAAATGGTAATAATTAATCACATCGAGAGAGGTCTGGTTCGAAATACAACCAATGGTTACAATATTGAGAGAGGTCTGATAAAAGATATAACAGTGAGAGAGGTCTGGTGCGAGACATTTTTACCATGAATTGTTCCCAAACAAACACCCACAAAAACTTTTCAAAAACACCTTATTCAATATATTAGCAAATTTACGGATGTCGTTATATATTTCAGTTTAAAAAGCATCGAAATGATGGCATGGCAACAGCATATTTGCTTATTCAGTCTTGTATTAATAAATAATTGACAAACCTTTCCGTTTTACAACCGTCACTGGCAAAAGATATAACAGTGAGAGAGGTCTGGTGCGAGACATTTTTACCATGAATTGTTCCCAAACAAACACCCACAAAAACTTTTCAAAAACACCTTATTCAATATATTAGCAAATTTACGGATGTCGTTCGGGGAATTTTAGAGCTGTACGATTTTTATATATTTCAGTTTAAAAGCATCGAAATGATGGCATGGCAACAGCATATTTGCTTATTCAGTCTTGTATTAATAAATAATTGACAAACCTTTCCGTTTTACAACAGTCACTGGCAAAAGATATAACAGTGAGAGAGGTCTGGTGCGAGACATTTTTACCATGAATTGTTCCCAAACAAACACCCACAAAAACTTTTCAAAAACACCTTATTCAATATATTAGCAAATTTACGGATGTCGTTATATATTTCAGTTTAAAAAGCATCGAAATGATGGCATGGCAACAGCATATTTGCTTATTCAGTCTTGTATTAATAAATAATTGACAAACCTTTCCGTTTTACAACCGTCACTGGCAAAAGATATAACAGTGAGAGAGGTCTGGTGCGAGACATTTTTACCATGAATTGTTCCCAAACAAACACCCACAAAAACTTTTCAAAAACACCTTATTCAATATATTAGCAAATTTACGGATGTCGTTCGGGGAATTTTAGAGCTGTACGATTTTTTTATATATTTCAGTTTAAAAAGCATCGAAATGATGGCATGGCAACAGCATATTTGCTTATTCAGTCTTGTATTAATAAATAATTGACAAACCTTTCCGTTTTACAACAGTCACTGGCAAAAGATATAACAGTGAGAGAGGTCTGGTGCGAGACATTTTTACCATGAATTGTTCCCAAACAAACACCCACAAAAACTTTTCAAAAACACCTTATTCAATATATTAGCAAATTTACGGATGTTTTTATATATTTCAGTTTAAAAAGCATCGAAATGATGGCATGGCAACAGCATATTTGCTTATTCAGTCTTGTATTAATAAATAATTGACAAACCTTTCCGTTTTGCAACCGTCACTGGCAGTTCCCAATCTTTTTCATAATCAGGCGAATGATTGTCAATCAGCATTTGTAATGCTTCGCCGGTCAACACAAAATGAACAGCATTATCTTCGACAAATTCACAAGCAGTAGTATCCTGCTGTATCTGTCAATGAATATAGTCAATAATCAAAGTCACCGAAAGCAGAACCAATTTAGAAAAAAAGTTAGCGGCAAAGAAAGATTAAAAGTTAGCGGCATAGAAAATATCATTTGTTATTGGTTGACAGAATGGAAGCTGGTCAGGTAAATTGAAGTATAACAGGCTAAGACAAAAAAAATGAATGATAAACAGCTCGGTTTACAAAGGATTACAAGCAACACTTTGGTATGCGAAAATACCAGCAACATTACAGGACGTTTAGTCTTTACCTGAATAGGAGCAGATAAATCAGGTTTAGTTTTTTTGTTGAAACAGTTAGGCTTGAATTTCATATCAGGAAGCCAAAGTAAACATTGACCCTAAAAATACATCTGATGAATGTTCACAGTAATCCTAAAATTAATCACATACGTTCACAGTCATCCCAATAAGAATAATCACATATGTTCACCGACAGTTATCCTAAGAATAATCACCTGAGTACTGTTTTGTACAGTGCTGTAAAATCAAACAATATGGCGACGAAGATTAAATGTACATGAAAGCAATATATAAAATTTCAGTTAACTCATACACATTGATATTCTATATTGTGAGATTATGCAAGACTACCATAGACTGTGTAGTAAAAGCTTCAGGAGATTTAGTTTTATCTTTTGAACAACCTTCGTGTATTTATGCGGCAATTGTCCAATTTCTAGACAGTTAAATTTACGTTGAAATTCGAGGAAATTTAAATCAATGAACATCACTGATTAAACCAGGATTAAACCTAGCGATAAAACCATGTTAATACATTATCATCCTCCACTACCCCCCTCCCTCCCTCTATATACGCATACATTAACTCACCTCGTTTCGTTTAAGAGTTTTTTTGAAGGATAGAATAGGATCATTTGGGAAAACAGCGCAAGAAGAAAGACCAATTGTTTGAAACAATGAGTAATGAGACTAAAAGAAACAAATTATCAGCTGATTCATCCACTACTTAAAAATATTAAATAAAAACAAAATATACTAACATCAATTTTTTCTAGTGCCTCGTTTCGTTGCAATTGAATTTTTTGCTAAAGTTAAAAATACAAATAAGCAATTGTTTGTGATAACGTATAAAATACCATAACATCAGTAAGGCAGTGTAGCAAAAACAGATAAAAATTCCAGCACACAGACTATTGATAGACAATACCACAAGCAACGATACACAAACTATAGATACATACAAAGATAGAGAAAAGTTTAAAAAATTTTGACTTACCCCAGATGGCAGATCTGGGGTAAGTCAAAATAAGTTATAGAAGCTCATAAAGGATTTTCTCTAAAGTCTTTTAAAATGGAACTATATTTCAGTAATGTATTCTAACCTACTCCGAATCCGCTACTGATTATTTTCATCATTTCTTGCGATAAATGTTCTACATAATCGTAATATTTTTAGAGATGCCAGAAAATAAATGCTATGGGTGCATTTTATGCGACCAATACTCAAATATCAAGCATCTCATCTTCCTTCATTTCCCCACACACACGCAAAGAAACGAGCAAGAATGATACTTTCCTTGCATCCACAGTTGGAAAAAAAATATCAGCAAAAAAATTACAAATATGGATGCTTAAGGCTGGATATTCAGTCTAATTCACTATTCATTTGTAGGAGTGCTGTACTCACACATATAAGACCAGTATGCGAATTAACGGTGTGCAATATGCAATTTGCACATCGTTTTAGCTAAAATGGAAACAATTGCACATCACTTTTTCAAACGATGTGCAAAAATCAGCGGTTTTAACGAAAAACACTGTCGTAAATCATATGAATTTGTTCACGTTTGAAAATATTAATTTAGCAATTAGCGCTGTATAATAATTAACATAATATCGATTTGATTATGTCTATAAAGAAACACTTTTATCAAAAAAATTGCACATCTTTTTTTCTGAACTAATTCGCACACTGATAAGACTGTATAACAACAACTTGTAATGAAGCTACTTTTCATTTATGAAAAACTAAAAACAGGGTAAAGTAGAAAAAATATTTCTATAACTTACTTTGACATAATTGAGCACACAAGAATGTATGAAATTGTAATCATCCTTTGCTGTCATTGAGTTTTGTTGCAGAAATCGCAAAAACTGTTCTCTTTCAGAAGAAAGTTTCCACATGAGAGTCTACAACAAACATACTATGAAAGAAGAAAGCCCGTATTGTAAAAGCTCACTCACACTCAATGAGTGGGGCTTCAAAATCACAAGTCCTCCACAAATGAACATTAAAATATTTTAAATGTAAAACTTTCAAAGCTATCACAAAGCTATATATATACCTGAAAATTGTCAAGATTTATTGCTCCAATATCTTTCCCAGAAATGTGATCATTATAAATTTCAAGAAAGTATTTTTGATCTTCAATTGACAACACTGATTGCTTAGGATAAGGAATCTTTGGTTCTGGTATCTTCACACTTTGCTTGTCCAGTCTCTGTGTTTCTATCACAACAAACAATTTTATTAATTATGACATTGATCACAACCTTCGATGAATACAGGGGGGGAATTGTCCAGCTATCCCCCACCTTGCTACTGAATAGTCACAATTAATTTCAACAGTTTCTGAGAAAGAGAGGCACTTGTAACAAAGGCACCTTATCACAATGTTTTTCGAAGTGTGCTAAAATAAGGCAATAACCTGATTTTACTGTTTAAAGTATTTATTAATTTCAGTCCTCCATCTTCGTTACAAATATTTGTTTAGCCATCTGATCAGTTAAAACATGACACATAATAAATAGGGTAAAGCTCTATAGAGCAGAGGAGCTTTTGTCGTACATTGCAATTATGCATAAAAAATTGTGTCAAGACCTGTATTACAAACGATCCCAGTGAAGATTCGGCCACTCCACACAGAGAGAGGAATGACTCATTCACAAAAAGTATCATACATTAAGTTAAGCAAGGAAGGAAATTAGAGTATGCTTTGAGTAAATATTGTACAATTCATCATTGTGCTCGTACTTCCGATCTTTTCTTCATTATTTTTTCCTTTCTTATCAACAAAATGTCTTTCAATAGAATTGCTTTTAAACAACTCTTCAGTCAATGTCCAGCTTGTCAGCTTGCTTTCAGCGTCAAGTTGCTTCCTATCATATAAATGATTTCTCTATATTCTCTTTCCTAATAATTCTAAAAAGATTATCAAATTATTTCCTACCAATCTATTTCTTCTGAAAGGTTCATCATTTTGAGACTCAGAGATTGGACATTTTGCAAACTTTAATTTGACATTACTTTATGTAAGAAAAACTACATACATTTGGAGAGAAACGTAAAACGATAAAGCGAGGCAGCATCAAAATTGCAAGTTGTTCCATTGGACATCTCACAAACTTTAATTTGACATTACTTTATGTAAGAAAAACTACAAACATTTGGAGGGAAACGTAAAACGATAAAGCGAGGCAGCATCAAAATTGCAAGTTGTTCCATTGGGTACGCGCAGAAAGAAAATGCTTAGTTGCTGGGCATTATATTAATTTATCAATACTAAAAAATATTCAAACCATGTTCTTTCATATATATTATCACTTATTTGTTTTATTAGTATCTATTTTCCAATTTTTATTTTGGCCGTTGATTTCGAATAGTTATCATGAAAATTTTTTTCCACTTAACTTGCAAATACGGTATTGTTACATATTTGTAGATGAAAAAATACTCCTGGGTTAAAACCAATCACTATGTATACGGTTTTCTGAAATAAAACATTTTACTGCTGTGCTAATACGTAATTTTAAGTTTACGTAGCATTTCTTAAATTCTTAGTATTGCTGAAGCCCAAAGTTCAAGTCAGCTCATTTGAAACATCCCAGTAAAACATTTTGGAAATGTTCAAGCTTTCTAAAAATGAAAATCAGCATAAATTAATTAATATGAGACGAGAGACAATAAATTTGAGTTTTTCTGGGTCCTGTCCTTTTTTAAAATTTTATAACACTGATTTGAGTAAATGACGCGATATATTGCTTTGGCAGACTTATTACAGTTGTGTTGGCACAAAACTTTGGTACCCTAGTAATGTTCGGGTAAAAGATAATATATGCTAATTTTGATAATACATGATAATATATGATATTAATCATCGATATAAAGCGTTTATCGTACCTAAAATCATTTTTATGATGAAGATGACATCATAACATACTGAAACATCAATCAGACATTTATTCTTTTAAAAAGAAGTTTTAATGTATCTCCCCTTTTCTATTTCTCGTTCGTCGTTAATGTCATTTGATTACCTCTCTCTTTCTCGTTTTCAAAGTTAATTTCCTGTCAGAGAAGGAAGACAATGTATTACAGAAATAATGGGGAACATTGGAGGACGACCAGATTTACCCTCTGTGTATAAAAGAGGAGTGGAAACCATTGAGGAACGACTGGACCTACACGCTAGTATCAAGACAAACTGCTTAGTTAAGAGATTGTGTTGTATTTACGAGAGAGGCGATTGAAACGTCATCAATATAAATCCTATTCCACTTTAAGCATATGAAATTGGTAGAAAATATGTTTAATATTTCAAAATATTTCATAAGTTGATTTCAATGACCTTTGTAAGAATTGAGGTGGCTTCTTGAAGGGTGACCATTTACTAAACTTCAAATGCTCACAATTATTAACTATTGCACGGCTTTTGCTTTTATTATTCTTATATGAAGTTTATACTGAACCTGCCCGAAATCTTATAATTTTTACATTCGAAACAGAAACTAAACCTCGAAAAAAATAGAGTAGGTCAAAGAAATTGTGACTATAGTCACGTTTCATGTGGAAGCAGTTAAAAAATTTTGCTCTATAATTAGCTGCATTCATGCATTAAGAAATCTCTCACTTATTCACAGCAAGAGAATACAAACTATTTTTGGTGCGGTCGTTATCGCAGTGGTGGCTTGATACATCCTGTGAAGAAATAGTAACAAAATCAGGGAGGCAGTGGTGTGGTCAGCCAGTTTATTTATTCCTGCTATGACAATTTTTCTATCTTTATTCTCGGTAGAAACAATAGATTTCTCAAGCAAAGAATCATGATGACATCCTTTCGCGGCAGAACTAAAATTGATATCTTTTGCGTAACCGTTTTCCTCCGCAATACATTTAGTGTGTTTTTCTTTCCTTTTCACAGTGTAACAGTTTTCAATTACAGTGTCTTTGTTGTTTCATACCACTCTTTTATACAGCCATACTCATTTTTTTGACCAACAAACATCAGGATATTTCATAGTTTTGAATGTGGTAATAGGTTTAATAAACAGGGGAGTTTTGCGTGTTCCTTGCTAAAAGGGTTTTATGGTGCCTTGCTGAAAGGTCTTTGTGTGTCGTTGGTGTTCCGAATTTTTTCAATTTTATAACTTAAAATCATAATGATTTTATGAACTTAGTACGAGAACATGTAGCAAGAAAATCTTGCGAGGAAAACTTGCAATATTTAAGCGTAAGTTGTTATATGGAATAAATTCTTCAAACAATAAAACAAGATGGAAAGTTTGAAAAATTGATTCCAGATGACAGATGCATTTTAAGAATGAATTCCAATTAATTATTAAGAAGTAGTATGATTTGACCCAAACGACCTCTTTTTTCCAATTATTATATAACTACGAAAGATTTATTGAGATGTACGATTGTTAAACTTTGTTCTTCAATTAATTCATTCAACAAAGACTGCGGTTTGTTATTGTCTGTGGCATTTATATCCAAAAATTAAAGTCAACAAGCTAACTTTAGCTTAAGACTAATCTGCTATGGTCTTGTTTCCGCCAATCCTAGGGTGGTTGATTGAAGCTTTAAACTCAAATGAGAGATATGCGCGTTTCACTTCATAGCAACTCTTCGAAAAAATCACTATACTGGGCATGAAATTTTTACCAGAGCAAGACCACATTATGAAAAAATAAGTCATTTTTACAAGAAAATCTATATACAGTTCAGATGTACCATTACCTCAACAAATGCAAAAGTCTTACCTTAGAACTTAAGTTTTACATTTAACATCATATGTTATAAAGGCTAACTTCACGTTGTTTTTAGAATACTATATTAATAGGATTGCTGGTACATTGAAATCCCAGGATCAGTGTTGGTTAATGGCTAATTCTGTAAAGTATGCAACTTGGACTTTAATAACAAGATTATATTTGGCTTATTGCACCACATAGTGCGTATAAGTTAATTTTCTATCTAAGTCTTCCGCTTATCTCCTGCTATGTTTTAAAGCTACGGCGAAAATCTCGTACTCCCTGTTGTTTTAATTCTTAATCTTTATTCTCCGCGAAGTTTCCTCAAATATAGTTTAAAAAAATACGGTGATGGAAAACTTTTGGAGTTTTTTTTTGTATGGCAAAGTTTGCCATAGTGAACAAAGTGTGGTGAAATAAAAGCTCAATTTCATTATTTTAACATTGTTGATATTTAAGGCCAGTATGAAATTGCATTGACGAGACATCATGTGATGACAGGAAGTGCAAAATAAAGTCGCACATTTACGATAATTTCATAAAAGTAACAAAAAATTCATATTGAACCAGAAATAATAAACGAATTTTTCATTTAGAGCGAGGTCGTTTTTGATTTATGGATTTATTTCGTATATTCATAAAAGTTGGTAAAATAATGGTAGCATCGTAGCAGACTTTTTGCAGCTTAAAAATGATTATTGTTGTCTCAGATGTTCGTCTCTGCTTCACTTTATGCATGTTGCAAAAAAAGTAATCATATGGTTAAAAAAGCTTTTAATGATAAATACTTTTTCATTATTAGTGTACATTTGCTTTATATTTAAGATTTCCGACATCGCTGCCAACTTGGATGCTCGTATTTCAGAAAGAATTTGGTCTGAAAGGCCAGCACTATTTGACCTATCGGCTTTGTTAATCAAATCACTGTTTATAGAATAACAAATTATCTTTAAAACATTTATAGAAAACCTATCTTTATTGAAACTTTGCTTTATGTATTATGAACATTATACTTAATATTCAAATGTGTGCATTTAATCAATGATATATGCGTAGTGCAAAATCTCCTGCTCAACAATTTTGTGCGACGACGCAAAATCACCTTGAAGTCATCTTGTGAATAACCAATCAAATTACAGCATCTATGCCTCATTTTGGTATCATAATTCACTAGTGAGTTGTCCCGCGACTGCTGCGACGTAACGCTGTTATACAATTTATTGCTCACAAGTGCATGTCTTATTAATCGTTGATGGTACATATCGCCATTTGTCGTCTGGGGATTGGGACAATTGTGTGAAAGCTAAAGAGCGTTCTAGGTAAGGTTAAGAACTAATTGTGCAACAATTTCAAGAAGTTTTCACTGACTTATATTCTACACTTTATAGTAGGTACATATGCCACTTCCCGCTTGGCGCAGTAAGAAATTTAGTCGGCGTGTCTTTTTCACAATCTTATTTATCTTAACTATTTTAATGACTATTCGGTTTATTGCATCGACTGTACAAAATAAATATTTTTCTCTCAAGAGGTGAAATCGTTCAAGCAATACAATTGTTTGATTAAACATTTAGCGCAAACGCTTTATAAACTATTTAGTCAAAATAGCATGTTTAATTTGTGTACGCACGCACTTAATGTTAATCATTGTTCGTATTTCAATTAAACAGAAACTACATATGGTACATGTGATAAAATTTTATTGAATATTCGTTTACAGAGAAGAATGGGACTTGAAATAAATGAAAAATACCAAACATCGTGAGTAAACTGAAAGTGATATTTTATTTAAAAATGTCAGACCAGGGCGAACATTACCACCGGCAACATACAAATCGTGTGTCTTCAACAAGTGACGTTAGAATAGGGCAAAGAAACCAGATGTTTGCGCGCTCACCACATCCATCTCATTCGGGTGGCTTAGAACGAGTTGAAGAAGAATCGAGTGCTGTGGTGGATTCTTCAACTGATCATAAATACAGACCAGCTTATATGTATTCAAATCATCATGGCATGGAGCAACAAAATGTCTCTCACAGCAACATGACATTCAAGAGATCTACACAACAAGGATATTTTCGTTTCCCCATTACACCTCCATATTATGATAATAGGTACAGTTGTACAAACCCAATGTGTAGAGAAACACAATATTGCTATGAACATCAGATGAATCCATACATCAGTTCTTCAGTACCAATGCCTTCAAGTCCATTTATGCACGATTGCTCTTTTCCGCGTCAAGTATGCCGCAAATCTCCCTTGTTGCTGAATCAAAATGCCATAAAATCAAGAGTAGAAGATGATGTATTAAGACCAAAACATGAATGGCCGATTGCTTACAGATCAAATCATATAATGACGGATCCACCGACACCAACAACTCCTGCCCAGCATTTGGCAACAATATTCAATAGTAAAGACAATACTAGCATACCTCCTTCAACGGCAACATCATTAAGATCAAGTAATCTGGAACCGTTTATGCATCCGTCAAATTTTCCCAGTCCAAGACAATCCGCGCGACTAACGCGAAAACGTGCAATGTCTACTTCGCCAGCCTTGTCCATTGATTCAATTGATATAAACAGTTTGATTCGTACATCTCCCGACTCCCTGATTGCTTACATAAATGCTCCTAGATTATCTTCGGCTGGCTCGTACGGTCATCTTAGCGCCAGTGGTATAAGTCCTCGCCAAAGCCACCACGGTCATCTTTAATGCGTTCACCAATGTTCGGCTGCTGGCAAACAACACCAACATTAGGTGTGAGACCAATGTCGTCGCAACATAGTGATCAGAAAGACAAAGAACCTGAGGTGAAGCAGACAATTGTTAAGGAAGAAAATACCTGTAGTGACAAAGATATTAAACATGAAAAGAACGAGAAAGAGGATAACATGATTGTTGACGAAAAATTGCCTTCATTCACTTCTTATACGGAAACGGACAAGGTTAGTTTACTTATGACAGTTAATTTGTCTGTCATATTTTTTATTTGCTTTTCATTGGTGTGAATTTGTTTACTTGAATTACTTTCAATCGTCAAATCTTTAATAGACATTATTTTTTTAAAATCACAAATTTTTTATTGAAGAAAAGTGGCGAAGTTCCTAGATTTACAAGTAAGACTGGTGAACTTCCTATAGTTACAGATATGGCAACAATTTTAAATAATAAAGCTTTATGAGTTTCAACTCTTGTTAAACTTTGAAAATCATAGGATGATGAAAAAGCTTTCTTTCGCGTTAAAGTTAATACAAATATTGTTCAAAATTACTTTGCATGGAATGCTGATTTTTCGAGTATTTTGATAGCCTATAGATGATTGTATTATGACATTCCATATTCGCACTTTGATTTTCAAACTTTTTTATTTAACGTGAAATAAGAACAAAACCATTGGTTCAGCAACATTTTTAAACGTAATGGTTGAGTTATTTATATATAAAATTGATGAGCTTCATTGAAGTAATTTATGCATTTTTTAAAACGCAATTTGTAACCTTTTCTGATTTACAAAAACGAACTAAAGAGTAAATTTTCTCTCCCCCGTAGTCTATGAAAGTCGCACATACGCATTCTACACATAGCCTCTTTTACCAACGTCCTTTACCATTCAGATCATAAAACATTGAATTTATTGGTCTTTTGTGTTGAATACAATATTACGTGATTATTTTTCAAGCAGTTATAGCTAAATCACCATCGTCAATTATTCAACAAATGGAAAAACAAATTGTCACACTGACAAAATATAATTGCAATGTAGACTGTATTTTTAGTGATGAAGGCAGAAAGATAAGTATAAATTCTTGTTTAAAATCGAGTGCATCACTAAACATTGCCAAGTCCAAAGACAAGTATCAAGTATGAGGTAAATGTCAAAGTTTTAAGACAAGGATATTATGAGACCAAGAAACGCCTTTCAGAAACACAAATTCAATTAATTCATATGACTAATTGTTAATTATACACTAAGGCGTTCACCACATTAATAATTTGGAAGAAGTTACAAACGCACATTTTTAATATAACTTCTACCCATAAAATTTAGCTATGTTAGTTACGCATGCAGAAAACTAGTTGACCGTTAGCTGGATTTGAACTATTCAAGAAATCCTGGCAGAAAGTAAAACTTATTATAGTAATTGATCAATTTAATTTGACTGGTCACTAAACGTAAAAGAAAAATGATAGCTTAATTACTGCCTTAGGAAAATTTGTAGTTAATTATTGTAGAGTTTGTGACGCCATTAGAGATTTAATCAGTCTAGCCATCTCAGAAACTGAGAAGTACGTTTGTTAAACTATTTATTCAGCAATTTGACTCTTCAATGAAATATTTCTTGACAATAATGTCGCTATATTGACACTGTTCGAGCAATTAATTGTTCTTACGATTTTCCTAATTTTTCAAATGAAATCTCTGAAACTTTGAGAATTCTGCCTGCATTGAATCATATTTGCTATCATTGATAATTTGCTATTGCGACAAGAAAGCGTATTGTTTACAGAAACCTAACCATGCATAGAGGTTAAATCAACTGTCTCAAGTGTTTGGTGAAAGGATTTAATTTTTTTTCTTAACAACGTCCACAAATGTTATTTGATCAATATCTACCTCAACTAAGCCCCCCGAAGTCATTAAAATATCAGTAACAGCTCAATTCCACGCATTCTACAGAATCTACACAGAAACAAACTCGAGATGAAAACAAAACGAAAACGTATTTCGAACAAATGATGATCACGTCGTGTAATGCAGAGATTAGTTTTCAGTCAAGTTTCTCAAGTGTCAAAAAAAGGACAATGCCAGATATTTGTTTATAAAAAACAATTTGAATGAATCGATAAAGAGATTAAAACCTCAATAGTTGAAAGATGACTTATCTTCGGTCATTGTCCATAAGATTACTGAAGAACCATCAACTCGATGTGCACAGATGGGCAGTACTTTAGATACGTGCATACCATTTGTTCTCAAAGAACACTTGTGTGTTGTCACTAGCAATTATCTTTGAGCATGCACATCAAAGCGTTCATTTATATTAAGAATATCAACTTGAGTTCTATCATTTGTTATTGAAAAAACATAACTACTGCATGTTTTGCGCAAGAGTATGTTTCGAACTGTATAAAACAGTCTCGTTTTGAGCTATAGTACATTTTCATATCGTTCATCAGAAATGACGATTTGGTATTCAATTTATTTCTTTCACGATCAAAATTCAAAACATGAACTCAATCTGCCACTACTGTCGGTGTTAATTAAGTAATTCACAATGATTAAGGTGATCAAATGGCCTAATTTTACTTGTCATGTCAGATTTGCTACATTGCCATTTTCGTAAATCTTTATCTCTTTATTGTTCTTCTGAGTTAATAATATACACCTATCAATTCATATCATGAATTTTGAAAGTCAGTATAATGAAAAACATAGCTAATTTTTATAACATCTGCTTCAGCACTTTCCGTATCATATTGACAAGTGACCAGCAAGTACTTCTTAATTTGACAAAAAAAATGTCGCCATTGGCCCATTGCCACCACAGAATATTTTCATTTTCAGTATTTTAGGCAGGGAAATTGATAAAAGAACGCGGTTGTTTCACCTCATAATAACGACCTATTTAATAGAAATAATAGCCTGTTCAATGAGAGCTGGGACGGGTCGGTTTCAGATGCTGGATAATATACGGGTTCCAGCTCCAAATACACTTTGTTTAGTTAGTCTCGGTTTGTTTATGTGGAGTCTGGATGATTTTCTTCACGTCCCTGTTAGGCAGAGTCCAAGTTTTGACCGTATAGTCGTACAGAATGCAAAGCAGGTCAAATCAAACACATGTTTACCGTATGTGGTCATAACCTTCCCATGATACTCTTGAAGAACATCAGATACTTTTGAAGAACATCAAACAATTTCCTACAGTAAATTCACTACTTCTATGAAATTAGGACCAAATTTTCGGCAAAATAGGGCGTTTGTTTGTGACATCTTTGGGTGTTTTCAAAATTAATCGATGTCAAGCTTTTGTTATAATCCTGTTAATTTTGAAATACCTATAAATAATAATGCTTTTAAAATGGCATGTGGCTTAGCAAGGTTAGTTTTAAGGCCCTCCATAAAAATACCGCATGCGGCACAGTATTTACACAAGCACAATTAACAAACTCGTGAACTTGGCGAATAAATTCCCAAAGACCTTGGGTGACACAATTCAAACCGGATCTACTTAGCTCTCATTATCCTTTTTTATCGCCACTTGTTACTAAATTCATGAATATACATCAGTTGTTCAAATCCTTACTTTTCCTCATTAGATATGGCTTTTAACAAAATTTAGGAATGTTATTTTGACTTTTGTGTATTATGCAAGAAACGAGATTCGCGTTTTAAGAACTATATTTTCTTGCAATTTTACATAACGAAGCTCGGCCGAATACTCACGATTAATTTCTTAATAGAGAATTTACAATTAATGGAACAGCACTGCAAACGCCTGCAGGTATATGTAGCAAACAAGCCGCATGAAATATTTAGAAAAAGGCAATTAATAGTTGATTTCTTTTCGAGCGGTTTAAGCAGGTTTACGAAAAATTGTCTATTAGCTACAATTACTACGAGATAATTTTGTCATTAATCAAAACTTTTTGCAATGATTAACTTCTTAATGATACGATCATATAATAAAATATTTATTTAGGACGAAAGGAATTCATTTTGAACAAAACTTACACATCATTTGTTGGTGTAGAAGCGGGCACCTTTTGGCGAAATTTTTTACCAGTGGAGGAAGATTGTTTGATCATTTTCTAAACAAATGTTTTATTCAACCAACCAAACTGCTGTTTATTCAGTGCCATGTATTACTGAGAAATCTTCTAAAAACATATACTATACGGCAATTACTTTTCAGCAAAACTTTTCAAGATAACCTCACTAGACATTGTCAAATTTAATCATATCATTGTCAAGGAGAAGAATAAAATATTTAGCATTTAGTTCCGACTTTTGTAGAGAGTTTCTTCCAATATGCGCAAGGGGCTTAAAATATGGACCATTCTTCACAAGTGAGACTAGCCAAATAGACACAAAGTAATTTCAATTTTTTTACTATTCTTCAGCGAGAGTCTGATGCAGAAAACGAGGAGAACAACGAAGGAGTAGGAAAAGATAAAAACAACAACAAGTTTTTATGTCAATGGAAAGACTGCAATATTTTGTTTCAAACACAAGAAGACTTGGTCAAACATGTGAACACAGATCACATCAAAAAAGAAAAAAGAGACTTTACTTGTCATTGGATTGACTGTCAACGTGAACAGAAACCATTCAAAGCTCAATATATGCTAGTTGTTCACATGAGGCGACATACGGGAGAAAAACCTAATAAATGCTCAGTAAGTAACTAAAACATCCTCAATTTCTACTCCTCGAAACATTTTAATTTCCAAGCTATAGTCTAGAAACATAATGTACGATATTTACAATGTTTTCAGTAAAAATTTTTAAACGACCAATTTATATGATTTCCCATTCAACTCGGAGCAATTACTCTGCGCAAATTTGAGTTGGGACAATTTTAAATTTGATTTCAGAGGGATTTACATGAACAATACGACTCTCCTTCCATTATTTAAATATTGTAACAAAGCTCACTGGTAAAATAGTTATTGTAGTTTAAAGGTTGTAACTTACTGGTAGGCTACTGACCTTTATAATTTTATATCGACCAACATGATTCTCGTTGTAGTTTAAAGGTTGTAACAAAGCTTACTCGAGACTTGAAAACTTGAAAACTCATGAGAGATCTCATACGGGAGAAAGACCATACGTGTGCGAGTTTGAAAATTGTACCAAGGCATTTACAAACGCATCTGATCGGGCTAAACATCAAAACAGGACACATTCATCGGTGGTAAGTGTTTGCGAACAATTTCTACAATTAAATAATGTACCTCATAATAATTACTTGAGAGGTTTACAATTAGCTATATGCATGGTAACACTATAGGGGAGCAGACTGTCACAATGTAACATTTTTTGTTATTTACACAGATACACATGTAGCTTGGTTATATAAACCAGAGTTAACACTGATTTAGTCATAGTTTTCATAAGCGCGTAAAAAAACAGATCATGCACGTCTCATAAATCTTGACTGGCATTCACAAGACGCAAATTGTATAAATATCTACACAATGTGTAGACTTGTAAATCCTCAAAGAATAATGATTGTTTTAGCCAACAATTATGTATGAATTTCTGCTAGTTTTCGCTCTCTTGTTACAGAAACCATACATTTGCACTGTTGAAGGGTGCACTAAACGTTATACGGATCCAAGTTCTCTCAGAAAACACAAGAAAACATGTCACCCAGAACATTTCAATGGAGCCAAAAAGGTGAGTAAAAGTTTGACTCAAGTCCCCAGCAAACTTAGATTCTTGTTTAAGTTAATGAAGTCAACAATAGACTCGACATGGATAAGAAAGTATACAAATAACGGTCATCCCATGTTGTCAGGATGTTATTTTATGGTTTTTTACGTTATTTAGTCTACACAACTGCAAAATCCCTAAAATTATTTATGATTCTTTTTCTTTCTTAACAAAGCGAAATGATTATCTCGTAAGACGCGGGAACGCTGGTGTTATTGCTTTTGTAGACCACATATTACACGTTTACCAAAATATGTTTAACTCATTTTAGCCGAAAGTTGACGAAGGGAAACGCAAACAACCAAATGAAGAGACTAAGAATGTTGCTGGAGAGACTAAAAGCTCGACGACAAATAACAGCTCAATAAAGAGAAAGACGCAAATTTCAAATCAATCAAATAGAACAGGTGATCAGTCAAGCAAAGGTAGTAAAGATCCAAAGGATAGTGGACAAGGAAAGAATATGCTAAACCTTCAACCAGCCGAGTTTTCACCACAAAGCTTTAGCGGTGAGTTGACGTCATCTTCTAGCTGTGTCGATAGTCCACATTCAACACATGTAGCTTGTGAAGAAACGGACGAAAATCCCATAAGTCCCGCGACAGTTGGAACTCAAAATAAAAGTAATACGTCGTCAAAATCACCTAAAGCAAATGAGATGCGCTCGTTCCAAGATCGCCGTGAAATGCCAGAACTTGGTCTTGGTGGAGGTGGTGATGTTCTTGTTGAAAATCTAATTGTACCAAATCGGCTGTCACTACCCACAATCAATAAACAAAATGATGTAGGTAAATGGGTTGCAGACGTAACTCAGAGTATGAACCACGTCAACAGGTATCCAAACGAGCTCAGAGAAAACTATGCAGTAGATTATAGTAGTAGACGATCAAGCGAAAGTGGAGTATCATCATATATAAGTAGCCGAAGATCAAGTGAAATGAGTACAGTAACTAAGCAACCATACACTACTGTACCAACAGTTGTTGAAGAGACTGTAAATGATATATTCTCACCAAATAAACATACCAATGATGCACAAAAGCAACAGCAATTTCCGCCAATCAACCAATGGAATCCAAGACATTCTCCTGCACCTGATGCACTCCACATAGAACAAAGACGCTCCAGTAGTGGATACGGAAGCCATCATAATCTTGCAGTTATTCGAAGCCCGGTATTCCATAAAGTACCAATGCAGAACTCTACAGAGCCTTTACCAAACAGACGCATGAGTGATAGCATCATATGTGAAGCGGATAGTTCCAACAGATATCTACCGATAAAGAATAACAATATGGGTTCACGTCGAAGTAGCGAGCCAGTTACTAATTACTATTCCAATGGATCAAGTGATTTACATTCTCAATATTACCCACAAATTAGGCAAAATGGATCAAGTGATTTACACTCTCAATATTACCCACAAAGTATGCAAAACATACAGCATACATTAGAAAGCAATTATGGACCACATAACATGATAAACAACCATCGAGCACATTCACGACCACAGCCCTTAGATAGAGGACAAAAACTCTCACACTATCCTTACTCCATTGAAGAAAGAAACTCGCCGTATCAACCAAATCCACCTAATCACAACGTAAGATGTAAGCCACCTCAGCCAAACTTGCAGCAAACAACAAACTTGTGGCAACACGAACACCATATAAATCAACAACTACTAAAAGTGAGAGATCGAGAGAGTCAATGTACTATTTTACCTGGGCAAATCTATCAAAATGACGTCAACGGAAATACTATGAATCAGCAACCAGGAGTTGAGTGTGATCAGATCGTGAATAATCACGGAGCAGAGGGCTCTTACGAATCCATGTTAAACGGGATAAACAATTTAAATACCAACGACATGGCACACGATCCTGGTTTACAAAACATACCATCAAACATGGTTATAAATGATATGAACACTTTGTTGAATTCATTAATAGAAGAAGAAAGGTACTTAGATAAAAATCAAGCGCAAAACAATATGACCAGTATGCTTTCGCATATTTTTTAATGCAACATAAAGACGCATTCCAAAAGCTGTAAAGTCATGCATATTTTATTTTACTTTAAGATGTCCTTTACTTGCAATAATTTAAACAGTAGTACGTAGTTAGTTCTCGGAGATGCCTTTTCATTATCAAAAGATAGAAAATACCTTGGCATCATTACTGTAAATACTAATACTATATAAACACTATATTTTGAGTAAAAAAAACACACTCTCTACAATCATGGTCAAACTAGTTCAATAGAACTCCCTTAACCAAACGTTTACAGCGTAAACCAGAAGCAAATCACTCAGCAAAAATAACTAAACAGAATAAATGGTCTTTATCCATGATCTGTATCTTATTTAAATTAAGTCTAACAATTTGAAGCGAAGACTACGATAATATGGCAGTTTTTTTCACACGGATAAGCACGCATGTCACATACCCATAACAACATAGGAATGTTCGAAAAATACGAGGCATAATGCTTAAAATGATATTTTAAACAACTGTTCTTATAGGATAAATTTAATATTTTTTTGCCATTTGTATGCCAACTTTTCCATTAGTTTCAGTTCAAGTCCTTAGCATCAAACCCTCAATCAGTAAGGAACATTATTGAAATCAGAGGGGCTCGACAGAAATAGCCATTATGCAAAACTTTGTATGCGTGGTTTGGGAGATGGGGAGGGGCGTGTGTTTAACTGCATTGGAATATTTTGGTTTTTTAATTCTTTGATGTATTTCAAAATAATAGGAAGCATTACGATATAAGTTTTTCGGCTGTCTCAGGTTTCAGTTTATAGCTAAGGCAGCTTGAACTCAAACCCTCTCTGATGTGGTCATGACTCGAACCATAATTTTGGCAAACAATCATATATTTAATCAGCTTGAAGGGCCACATCAACACACAAGTCATTCATTCATAGCTTCTAATATCTCAACTAACTTGTTAAGGAGCAAATTATGTGACTGTAATGCTACAATCTTATAGCAACAAAAAATAGACGAAATCTTTTTAAAAAGAGCAGCTCTGTCAAAAGATACGTATATCTTTTATAGTAAAACATGCCTTGAAACAATTGTACGTAGATAAGTACGATTAAATCCACAAAATTCACCAAGATCACACAACAAAATGTTAATCCATCAAGGAACTAATGATCGATTGTCAACTTTACCTAAATAACGAATTTAAAGATTGCTATTTACTACTTCACCAAACATAAAAAAAATTGCATAAGTTTTGCAGACAAACTAAAAAGTAGTTAAATAAAATTTGTCACTGATGTGGTCAATGTTGATATTGACAAAATTGACTGACCAGCTTTTACATTTAGTCACGCAACTTAACTATAGTTTGGTGGAAATCTTCCGTTCAGTAGAAATTGTGAAAACAATTAAATATTAGAAAAAAAGAAACTTTAGCTAATTCCAGTCGGTAATTCATGTGTAAATCTGATTATCTTCAAGCTACTAGCTTGCTGTTGTCGCTTGCTACCATAGATAGGATTCATCATAGAATTTTGTTTGAAATCAATAATTTTCTAAATTTCAATTATCACTAAAAACCTATTTCTATGAATTATTTTCTGTGTTGTGTTTGTAAAAATCGTTTTGTAGAAACATTTCGTGTTTGTCTGTGACTTTATGTAAAATTAAAAACACCCCGAAAAATGAGACGCTTTACGCTTGCACCAACAGAACTTTCCACCACTGAAACACTATTGTTTTTACTATACGTAACTATTTTTCTTTGGACATGACATTTCATTAATATTGACCAGGTCCTAGTCACAACAATTTATAAGTTTGATGAAGAAACATAAACCCTTACCAATAAAGACAGAAGGTTTTTGACGAAGCCATGGTGTATTTCTTCTAAAACCATACAAGCCATAGCAGCCAATGATAGGTTTAGGGTTTTCCATAAACAGACCATGACCTCGGACCATTTCTTTTGAATTTCCTACACATAAAGTAAAAAACATTTGTATGTAACACTTGTACACTTTCTGATATCATAAACATAATTTAAAGATTTAAATGAATCACTCATTGTCTCAATTTATCATGGATTGTACATAATTACGTTAGCTGGACTGGTGGAATAGTAAGTCTAACAGTAATTATGTGTAATTTAAAAAGCAAACCTGCTCCATTTTGATTTCTTAATTGAATATTTCTCCCCATACTTCCTGTAAGATAGAATCTGTCCATTTGTTTGCCACACAAGGAATCTCCTTGATTTGCATCCTATGTATGTGTTTCAAACAGACAACAAAATCATAATGTATGAATCACAAACAATGAGCATGCTCTTCTTAAAAAAATCACTGAGAAACAAAATGAAAGGCATCTAGCACAATGATACTTGATATTTACTATTTTGAGCATGTACTTTGGCATCAATTATTTTTAAAGAGCAACTGCTTGATTTTCAAATCATTGCTTATATGCTTATTTGACACATCATTAGAAGACGTTGATTTAAAACAAAAACAAATACTAAATAAACCTTTAAGATCAACTTGTTTATTTATTATTAACAGTTCTTGTTACAATTCACAATCAAAATACTTTTTGTAGAGAGCCCTTGATGGAGCACTCCCCTCAAATGAGCGTCACATCTAAACTTTGAAAAAATAAAGGGTGCCTCAAATGAGTAAATATGGTGACTGATTGCTTCTCATTTACTCATTGACGACAGCTAAGCAATCTCACTTTTTTATACCACTTGCAGAAATGCATATAAGGTGCTATAAAGTCCTTACAGATACAGATGGTAGAACCTTGTTGTTATAAAATCAAATTTCCACCATATAGGCAAATGTTCATGGTTTTCCACGGCCACGCATCACCGGGGCAAAGCTCTCCACATGATCAAAAACTGTAGATCCTTTGTGGAAAAAGGCTTGTTTTGCATTCCTGGAGTTTTTTTCTGGTTTAGCCCCCAAAAAGGTAATATTTCTTAATCATACCTGTCCAGTTTTCCTTAAAACCTTGTGCACTGAAGGGCATTCAAAATAGTTTCGAGCGTACTTGTCCTTTTGACCATTGTATGGAGGAATTGCTGTAGCCATTTTAGGATTGGCGCGACCCGAATCATCGGAGAGAGTTCCAACAAAAACACAATCTAGTATAAAAGATTTTTCCAGTTTTCTTAACTCTGCGTCAGACCTCTCGGGAGGACCATACTTCACACATCTTGCAAGTTGAAATTTAGTCGCAGACTGTGGCATTGTTTAGTTTTTAGCTATTTTTCATACGAGAAGAAATACCTATTTGTTGACGTTAATAGTCTATGGTAACCACAAATACCTATCACAAATAAATCACCTCTCCATTTCATTGACTTGCAGATGATCGACGCAAAATTAAGAATCTCGACTGCCCCCTCTCGTTTTCATTAGGTATTTACTCCCCCCCCCCTTCCACTTCTTGGTAATCAAAAGTCATTTCGTCTTAATATTAAAGTCCTCGAAATTTATATTAACATCATGTTTGCGTTTACGTTCGGCAGAAGCTGGCTGAAACTTGCTTCCGAGAGAAGCTTATTTGTGTATTGGATGGCTTTAAGAACTTATAAAGTTCGCTCGTCGTTACGATTACGCTGTGGCAATTGTCGTTTCGTTAAAAGGCGAGGAGTTCTACGTGTGATATGCCAGCAAAATCCTAGACATAAACAGAAACAGTCAGGGAAAGAAAAAAAGTTTCTATAAAGATTTTACCTACACTCGAAGGTATTTGGCCTTGTCAAGAAATCTACGACAGTTGTGGGAAATGTGCAAATTGAGAACTAAAAAGCTATCTTTTATAAACATACAAATGATGAAATGAAGCAAAATTTTGAGTTAATCAAGCCATCCGATTGTGCAAACAATGAGTCAATGTTTTCATTTTCCATTAAATCTCAGGTCAAATGATTCTTGAGATGCAGCCTTGCAGTTTTTTATTTAATTGTTATCAGTGATTCAGTAGCTTTGCAGGGGGGGGGGGCAAATGCTGAAGGTGTAAAATCTCAAATGCCAGAAAACAAAATGTTCAATTGAGGATCTCAAAAATCTTTTTCTTGCATTTTCAATTGCAGTTTATAGCATAATATTTTTTAAAGCAAACAGGGTTTAACCACGGCAACTTTTTATTTTTGGTGAATCTTAATGTGTCAACCGAACAACACAACACGATATACAACAGAACTCAACATGACATTACACAATATACAACACAACACTACATGCAACACAACACTACATGCAACACAACACAACACTACATGCAACACAACACTACATGCAACACAACACTACATGCAACACAACACAGCACACAACACTACGCAACTCAATACAACTCTTCACAACCCAAACCACCTTAACCAATTACAAAACAATGAAACCAATGGCACAGCAAGGCTGGTGCCATGCAAACACTATCACATACAAATGTACTTTGTTATAAGTTATAACTCTGCCTCTGTCATGCTTCCAATGAACAGAACGAGCAGTATTGACATCTAAGATAACTGTTTTGTGGTGTTGTGTTAGGTCATACTGAAGTAAACAGCTGTAGAGGATTCAGGATTGGGCAAAATCAATTATAGCTGCTAATTTGAAAGTAAAAATATTTTAAAATAATGTTATTGTCTATGAATTACCAGAGAATAAAATCTAACCAATCGATGAGCTGTTGTAATTTGTTTTGCCCGACACTGGATCTTCTCTTGGTAAAGAGTAGAGTTATAAGTTTTGTTTTCCAACATATGTGGTCATTAAACAGAATGTAAAGGTCTGGCAAAAGACAACAATGTGATATGTGGTTTCTTTCAATAGTTAAACAAGGAAGATAGCAATGTCTATAGGTGACAAAACCTGAGTTTCTAGCCAATCTAAATTGGGAATGCCTTGGTGATGTGTTATAAATAAACTATCATGTTAACTACGCGTTTTAAAAGAAAACTTTATGCCAACCAGTAACTAACCTTTGTTATTTGCTATACATTACTTAATTCATTCTTTCATCGTGATTAAGTGCAAATTTGTACAGTAATCTATCTTCTTATTAACACTGCTGCAGATAGAATTCGCCTTTATATTTAAATATAAATTAGATTGAGGAAAAAATCACTTCACTATCTTATGTTTCTTCTTGAATGTTCCTGTAGCATTTATCACAAAGACGCTGAGGTCGTTTTGGTGCACACGTGGCGCAAAAGGTACCACCGCAATTACTACAAGTACATCGAGCCTATATTAAATAAAACAATGAAAACTTGCAGAATATTCATTCAAACGCACAACAACAACAACAGGCTGTTACAACTATTTATTAAAATTCTTAACTCAGGTAGCAATTGCTCTATAAGATGACATTGTTCTGAAAACTTTTTTGTGTAAATTGTTGCTTACGTATGTCGATATTAATCTTTCAATAAAAACCTTGGAATGCAAAAAATGCGTTTTTGAAATCCGAAGTCTAAATTTACAAAGTTTGTGGGAATACTTTTTATCGGCTTCCAACAGTTGAAATTGCAATGCCCATAAACTGGATCCAGTCCCAACCTGTTTCGCTACCTTATTTCATGCAATTTCGTGCTCGAAATAAATTCTGAAATTTTATGAAATCATACCGGCATAATACGAGGGAATCTTCTTAAACACCCCATACAATTTCTTACAAGACTTCCGGGAGGACGAATTTCGGCAGTGCATGCTGTATGGTATGCACCGCACGAAACAGTTAAAACTCGTTTTCCTTCGAAACATTCAAATATCTGAGTTGGTTGAGCCCTGAGAATGCAAATGTAGATATCATAAGTGTATAAAATATTTGTTGTGTCATTGCACTTTGATAAATTGAAAGAGTTAAACAATTAAAATTAGCTGCAAAGTATACACACATGAGCAAACTATTAATTACTATTATCTTAAGGTAAAGTTCATTTATCTTAAAGTTTACTTAAATTTATTATATATTTCTAGTTTTCCTTCCCAACAAATTAAACTTGCATCAATTATAAAATCATACTGTTAATATTCTTATGCAACTCGTTTTGTGTGGGATTTTTGTCTTAATTCAACTTTTTTTGCCATGGATTTATAAACAAGCCCTATCTTTTCGTGCCCATTGGCAACCCTACATTTTTAATAATAAAAAACTACTTTATAAAAAAAAAATTATATTAAGATGCCTTTATGAAGTTATTTATTTTGTAAATTATAACACAAGGAAAAAATGCATTTACATCTATTGAAAAAGAAAGACTACGATTATGTAGAAACTATATTTGAAGAATTTCGCTAGCTTTTCGCATCACCACAACTATGCAAGTTTATTCAACAAAAAAAGGTGACTTGTGCAATTTGTGAATGATTTGGTAATTCGACTAATTATTTTATAGAGAATGAGGAATTACTTGGTAAAACATCACCATGCCAAGCATTGCAAATAGTTTGGTAAATTGACCAATTATAATATAAGAGAATGAGAAGCTTACCTAGGTAAAACATCGCCATGCCCAAGCATACCAGCATAACCATAACCCCACGTAAAAATATCACCTTTAGCTAGATTAATGTAAATTATAAGATTTATAAACGCATTTTACGGCCTTGTTTGGGGTCATGGGATATTTTAAGGATTTTACATCGAGAGGGGGGGGGTATTAACCTAAAAGGGGCCTCTGAAGCAGGAGCAATGTAGCAGAGGGTCTGAAAACACCCTTCCCCAGTGAGCTTTTGAAAACTGCAATCTCGTAAATGCTATTTTATGCATGCATTTTGTAGAGCAATAACAACATAATAGATGTGTTGTAAAATAAGCCTACTTATACTTCAAGCGAGCAATTTATCATCCGCTGTAAAATATTTGAAATATGAATTACAACAAACGCCAAAAGGGGCTAAAAATTGGGTGTTATTAGCTATTTTGTATTTCTCGAAGATTGATTTTCCTGTTGAAAATTATACCACGTATACAGATCGAAAAACATTATGCTAACTGTCATTGAGAAAAGAGCCCCGATTACATAAATGAACAAAACACACTTTTCTCTGTCTTGCAACAAAGAAAATTATTTATTAGATAGAAGACTTAAAACTCTCTAAGATTTCAGGGCTTGCAATTTAGTTTTAAACATTACATGTATAGAGAACGGTAATGACAATTGTATAAGCAAACCAACCTGTTAAAGCTGCAGTATGAGAAACACCACAAGAAACTGTTTTGATTTTTACTTTAGATGAAAATTTTACTTTCTCTGGTTTATTGTATGATGTAACATCTGTTGCATTCTTTCTACCAAGTTGGCTTAACGCATTGTCTCCAAAACAGTACACAGCTCCTCGAACTTTAAGTGACAATATAAATGAAGGTTCTTAGGGGGCAGCCATGCATACAAATGTATACGTAACTTTGACACACTTACGCGCCTGCATTCTAAAACTCACACTCAATGAGTACAGGCGACTTGGAAATCGCTCTCCCATTAATCAACGCCAACGACGGCAAGATTTTTGCTATAATGTTTCTAATCAAGCAACCAGTGGAAGGAAAATACCGTCTTGAAATAGTAGTGAATGCAGTGAGCTTTTAGAATACAGGCGATAGTCTCAACTTAACAATTGATTTTATGTTAATTATGTCTTTTTAGTACAGTTTATGTCGAAAACTTGATCAACACGCAAAGTGCATACAATGATACAAAGTACCCATTTTGATACAACAAAAATTACTTGACTCTGAAGATGACTACCGCTAAGGTTGTCGAAACTTCAGTCAATATCAACAACAGCCCTTTTAAGGTTGACTCTGACGATGACTGCCGCTAAGGTTGTCGAAACGTCAGTCAATATCAACTACAACAGTCCTTCTAAGGTTGACTCTGAAGATGACTACCGCTAAGGTTGTCGAAACGTCAGTCAGCAACAGTCCTTATCAGGACTCTACTAACCTGGATGATTTACATCCATTAACATGTTCGATTATTAATTGAAGTATAAAAATATTTGACATTAGTGAAAAGGCAAACAAGAAGCTAAATATTAAATAATGCATACACAACCAAGAAGCTCGGACATCGGAGTATACTTACATGTAACTATGGCTGTATGTCGACTTCCACAACTGACGTCAGTTAAAAAATCGTTCGAGCTAAAATAATTTTGGTATCATTATATCATTAAAATCACAAAAAATATTACAATCATGTATTTCTTAATATCGTATTGTTAATATCAACACATGCATCAAAAATCGCACATGTATTATAAATTGGAGAAAGTATTAGCTTGTCACTTAGTCTGACCATTAATTTGTAATAAATTCGAAATATCACTGTATCCTATTCTGTCCTTTCTTTTATCAATCCTGTGAAATGAGTGACAATACAGGCAAACAGTCAAAGAAGATAAAGCAGGCCAACGGGCAAAAAACACAACATTTTAAAGCAACGAAAAGTGCAAAAAAATGTATTAGTACGTTAAACAAACGTCAAAGTCATCGGAAAGGAAACTACTCTTTTAAAACACTTGACATAAAACTATTGAAATGCTTGTTGCACACATCATTTGAATAGCTAATTGATCTGTTCAATAGGTTTCTCGTTTAAAATGAGCAGCAGAAAGTGCTTGTCCGATAAAGTCATATTACATCATGCCATACAACAAGTACTGCCTTCAAGTACAAGTTTCATCGTTGTAAGCCTGCATTTAGATGCAATAAAAGGTTTACATACTTGTCGTTTTCATGTAACTGCAGATTGAATGGTTTGCCAACGGTAAAAAAATCTTCAGTCCCAAGTTGTCCAAATCGATTCTCTCCCCATAACCAAATGTTTCCACCGTCTATAATGTTGAACTTATATAAATTGTAACGATCTACATGTTATAGAGACGTAATCAATTAAAAATTCACATCATAAATACTCTTTATCAAACGAAAAAAGTGACCACGAACTGCTGGAACAAGTGAAGCAAAAGTAATGTATATCTATTTATTAACAGCAGAAGAAAGCCTATTCAACTTGCTAGTGAGCAATGCTTTCCAAAGCTACAATGCAAAAAATGAAAAAGGGTTTTGGTTTTGAAATGTAGTTGGGTTTTTGGCCCAACAAACTTGTCTGGCGTTCGAAATTTCAAACTAATCTTTCGCAAGGCTTTCATTAGCTCAATAAAGGATAGCTTCCATCTCAGTGAAACTTTCAAAAATTTTTGTAATTTTCTATTGTTTATGTGTTGAAATCACAGCCAATTTGTGTGATTACATTATAGATTCGGTTACAGATCCTCATTTAGATCAAATTAAATGTTGCAATTTAGCTGAAAGCCTTAATCTTTGAACAAAAACATCATCAGTACAGGTAGTCATAACAGTTTAGTAAATATATCTTTCCCATGATTTTGTGCATGATTTTAGTCTTAAAGTAACAATGAAGACAGCTAGCTACATTTATGTTCATAATTTTGCCAATGATAAAACTTTGTGATAACTGAGTTGATTGAACTGTATGTTGCTCATATGCGTGACTTACCTGATATAGCCGCAGAATGGTAGTCACCACAATCCATTTTCACGATGCTTTCATTTTTCATGTTGTTAAACTGAATAATTGTGGGTTCACGATGAGAATCGTTATCCCCAAGACCAAGTTGATAATATCTGTTATTACCAAATGCATACAACTGTCCTTCGTTTGTGCAAGCTGTAGGTAAATGCATTTACATTTGAATGTCGATAATGTCATGACATTTATGGTATTTTATAGACAAAAATTTAAGACAGCCATAAATATACATCAAATGCACGTAAAAATAAACACAATTAAAACCAATTTATATATATTAGTTTTATTTATACTTAATGGAAAGAAATGAGGAATGATGGATTGATTTCAACTGTTTCACACAATTCAATTCACTATTATTATAAACAACAAAAAATTAAGTAAATTTATAAAAGAAATTTATCGTAACATGATAAAATAAGCGGGTGATCACGTCTGTGATGGATTTAATACTACATTTATTGCTATGCAAGGTCTTACCCAATGTAAAATCTTTACCGCACGACGCTCGTACGACAGTGACCGAAGAAAGACTTTGGACAAGTTTGGGTGTTAATTGTTTCTTATTTACAGTTTCATAACCAAGTTCCAAACTCCCATATCCCCATGTGAACAATTTACCTTCGTCTATAAATATGCATATCAAAATTTAATAATTGAGTCAAATTTAAAACTATCAAGCTTTCACCCCCCAAATGTGATATAACTTTACATTCTGTGCTCAAGTGTAGGAGTTAATCAAAATATATTAATTCTACCTGTAACTGCAGTAGAGTGAAAAGTATTGCAAGATATCTGTATAACGTTATGTTGCTGCAACTCTTCTATACGTAATGGTGTAAATCTGTCGCGAAGGTGACCTTGACCAAGTTGACCTTTTGATCCAGCTCCCCAAAAGCGTCTCACCCTTATCTATGCAGAACATGAAAGTTTTTTCGATTTTAATTTGTCGATCTTGCATTAATATAATGGATTTTCTTTTAAAAATGAATATTTTGCATGTGTGCTGGCTTGATTTTTTGGTTTATTGAAACTGTAAAATAGGTAATTTATACTCGTCAATATCAGAGAAATTTGATGGATGAAATGTATGTGATTATTTTCATAACAATCAAAACTTTCAGATAAAAAATAAAGTCTGGGGCTGGTTGCACGAAGCCTGGATAGCGCTATCCATTGGATAGCGAAAATTTTCAAACTTGTAAAAAAGGTGTTTATAATTTTCTCACAACAAAGAAATTTTGTAATCTTCGAAACAATATTTTATTTCAGCTATTGCACAGTTCAAATCGTACACTTTTCTCTTTTGTGATTTTATGAACGTTCAGAAAAATTTGCTATCCAGTGGATAACGCTATCCAGGCTTCGTGCAAACGGCCCAGGTTTGCAGAGTAACAACGAAAATAAACATACTTTGGAGAAATGTGAATAAGAAAATGATTTTCCACGAACTACCTATCTTGTCTCTATCACAAACGCTTCAATGTAGTTCAAGAAGTAAGCATACAAATATAGATGTTGAAAAGAAAGTTCATAAAAAGTTTTCGTGGATTTTCAAATAAAGGAAATAAAAATTATTCGCCATAGGCACTTTCTAACTGTTAACGAAGGTCAGATATGTGGGATGTTGATATTGTAGGTAGCCTATGTGCAGGCTAGTGACTAGGCACCCAAGTTTTCTCCCACATGCAGTTAGTAGTGTTAGAGTTTAGATTAAAAAGCTCAAGTATTAAACTGATGATAATTAGAACTGTATGTTACTACATATTCATAAAAAAACAATCAAATGCATTTATAAATGTAATGTGTTGTACTTACCTGTAACACAAAGCATGTGATTCGTGCCACAAGCAACCAGTTTAATTCTCAAACGACTTAATGCATTAACAATTTTTGGTTTATACTCCTCAGTTTCTTCACCATGCCCAAGTTTGCTGTGCTTGCCATTACCCCATGTATAAAGATCACAAATTTTAGCTGGAAAACGACATGATCGTTTTTATTGTTATGTGCATTTTAGAAGAAAGGGGAAAAGATACAATGACAGTTCAACTTCCATTTTAAAACTATCGTGTGCTATTTTTGAAAAGTATTTTTATATCACCAGATTGTAAACAATATACTTAAATTTTATTCAAATAAACTTACCGCTTTGTTGTGTAAACGTCATTGAAGAACCAGCGTTAACAACAGCATTATTATCGGAGTCCTTCTGCAAAAACCACCATAAGTTTTATAATTATGTATTTATATTTAGTAAACCCTAAAAGTTAAATTATTGTGAATTATCTTATGGAAATACTTTTCAACGCGCTGTAATTTTTGTTTCGATCAGTGGGTCAGATTATGATTTCACGTTGATATATAATTTGACTGCGTAGAAGCACTATTGATAATGAATACCCAAGACTTTGATTTTGATTTGATAAGAATATATGTAATTTTCATAAAAGAACAAGCTGTTCAGGAAGCATAAATGTAAAAGACAATTATAGAAACCTGGTCGTTATTTTTTGTAGCTATTGTAAAACCATAAAATTTGCTTTGACTAACCTGGCTTGAATTTCTTTCCAAGTTCGACACAATACTTTTAACTGATACACTGTGTTCCTCTTCATCGTTGAGGATTTCGTGTAAAAGTTCGCTGTTTTCAATTCCTTTTTTTAGCGCCTACAGAATATTGGTTAAAATTATTTTATGGGAGGGTCATTCCTTTCAATGTTGAGTTTGAACATAGCCAACATACATACATAGTTTTTAGTAAATTTGAACATAGCCAACATACATACATAGTTTTTAGTAAATTTGAACATAGCCAACATACATACATAGTTTTTAGTAAATTTGAACATAGCCAACATACATACATAGTTTTAGTAAATTTGAACATAGCCAACATACATACATAGTTTTAGTAAATTTGAACATAGCCAACATACATACATAGTTTTAGTAAATTTGAACATAGCCAACATACATACATAGTTTTAGTAAATTTGAACATAGCCAACATACATACATAGTTTTAGCAAATTTGAACATAGCCAACATACATACATAGTTTTAGTAAATTTGAACATAGCCAACATACATACATAGTTTTAGCAAATACATACATAGTTTTTAGCAAATTTGAACATAGCCAACATACATACATAGTTTTTAGCAAATTTGAACATAGCCAACATACATACATAGTTTTTAGCAAATTTGCGACAAGTAAGTGGTCTACAATTAGGTTTGTCCCATTTGTTAAAAGTTGTGCATGCGTATTTTTAGGCGCTTCGCTTTTCTTTATTTTTTCCTTGTAAGTTTGTTACATAGAAACTCCTCACGTCATAATGGTGGGACAATATGACGAAACGCAATCATTGTGCACTAGTAGCAAAACGCTTTGCCTTCACATTGACGCTGAGACATCACGTGTTGTATTAATGCGACTAGATTTATTTATTTAGAATCTTGGGACGTTTTACAGACAAAAAGAGTTTCTTTTTGGGAACACTATTTTGAAAGTGTACCCTTTTATTTTATGTAGTTTTATAGCTAAATTTGAACAGCTCACCACAGCACTTCTACGTTAAGATTAAATGTTTTGAAATCTTTAAATAGGTACAAATTGTTTTTTTTATTTCTTTTCGAAATAATATTTCTCATATATACGTCATATGCGCCGTGTAAATGACATTTTACGATGGAGGATACAAAAGCTTATAATTTTGCAGTTTGCAAGCATCGCTTCGGTTGTGGCCATTAGAGCATTGAACAAATCAAATCAAATTGGAGTGTTTTAATGAAAAATTACACGTTGCGTCACCTACAAATTATAGAAGGTAATACCTCAAATTTTAACTAAACAGTTCTATGTAAACGTAAGCCGTCTAATTTCTAAGTGTTATATTTCCACCCTTCCATCAAAATTTATGGTTATCATAAACTTAGCTTATGTTACGTTAAATTAAACTTACCTGGAAACCTGCAAGCCATAATTCATATTGTTTTCTATCCTCGCAAACAAATACTATGCTTCGTTCTTCATTATTTACATTACACAACAGAAGTATGGACAGTGCCTGTATAAAGATGTAAAATGTTACGTTTAAGTTGAAGTTTAGTTATGACATACTTTACTGGTTCTTACTGAAGACAGGGAAGTTGCGCTAAGGAGTTGACAAAGGAATGTGCAAAAAAAAATTTTCAAAAAATTGGTTGAAAGTAATGGTTGATGTTTTCTAATTTCTTCAGAATAATTGCTAGTGACTTGCCAGGCAGGAAACGGATTCTTAGTTATAAGACCTTTGCCACAAATAAAATTTCAAACATAATAACAAATAACAATTTTATTTATTTCGAGTAACGTTCCGTCTTCACACAAAACATGATCTAAATTTATATAAGGAGACTCACACTGCAATCCTTCTACTTTGTGTAGATACGTTACAATGATGTCTTGTGTAGATACGTACGAAGATAAAATTTATTATTTGTTCTTAAAATGACTATGCGTAAAATTTTTTATTGGACAACTGTCCTTCTAATTTCTTCAATTAGAAACCAAGTAAATTTTCACGAATTTTGAGTTGGTTAGGGGTGGTGGAAGAGTGTCCTCCAGTCCCCAAATGCTTTCCTACGCAAATGCTCAGATGGAAAGAAAAATTATACTTACCTTGTAGTCATCAGGAATTTTTATATATCTAACATTCGAAGATTGCTTTCCTTCAAGAACTTTCGAGATTGCTGAGACAGAAACTTGATCTAGTTAGGCAAAGACAAGAAATGAAAATAAAGAGTTAAAAAACAGTGACAAGATTAACAAAAACCCACCACTTGATTCTTCTCTCAATATTTTCGAAGCATGCCAATGTATAGATTTTAAATCTAAAATGAAAATATACCCCAGCTTATTTTCTAAAGATTTTGTAGAAGACGGCAGGTGTGCCTGGGAGATAGTTAACATTATGTTATGCATAAACACAAATTAAATGTTTGTAGATGTAGATCGTCCAGGTTAGTAGAGTCCTGAGAAGGACTGTTGTTGTTGTTGTTGACTGACGTTTCGACAACCTGAGCGGTAGTCATCTTCAGAGTCATTCAGTCCTTCTCAGGACTCTACTAACCTGGACGATCTACATCTACAAACATGTAACGATACTGCCTTGTGATATCAATAGAATTCACGAACAACGCTAAAATTCTTATTGTATTTTGTAATATCTCGAAAATAATGCCAAATTATAAAAAAGTCTTTTCCTAATATTGTTTAATTTAGTATAGCTAGAAAAAGTATTATTAAAAATGCTATAAATGAATAGATTGCTGGCTGTATAGTGGATACCTTTAGCAAGGAAGATATTTCTGAAGCGACGTTCATTCTAAATAAAATGCAAATAAGGTGAAATAAAATAATCGACAATAATATAAAACATATAAACTAATGCTGAACATACACCACAGAAAATAGTTTTGGACCAATTACAACTTCCCAATTCTATACGCGGCTACATCATAAAACGTCACAATCATTCTTGTGAAGACAAAGACCTCTTTTGGCTTTATACTCGCATGCACTCAAGCATATAAAGGTATTTTTCCTTGAGTGCTGAAAAAACGACGTCTTTTGATGATGATAAAATCTGACACACAAAGTTTAAGAAAACTGAAGAAAAAACCCAGAAACTCTTCGTCTTTTTTCTTAGAACTTAATTGTAAAGCACAGAATTATATATTATGCAAAATAATAATATAACTTGCAGTCTCTGTCTTATTACAAATTATTCAGGAATTCACTTTAAATGCCAAAAATGTACATGATTATTTTGTCAGCAGTTAGTATAGAACTCGATGTTTAAGCAGCTTTTCGTTAAATCTTTGACATGGCCGTCATCATAATGGAAATTAAGTATTGATATTTCAGACATGTGTTTATTTCGTGATGTTACTTGCAAATTTCTGATGGCAAAGTACATACCTCTTTCTCTACCATAAGCATGTATGCCCCTTTCGACATTTCAGAAAGAGCATTAACGACATCACCAGATACTTGGCATAAATTCCCATTGCTCCCATTTATCATGACTGAATGGAAGTAGTTGTCATATACTGTGCCTGATAACAATAAAATATCGATACAAATAAAAATGTCTCGCTACCGGAAATTGTCACTTAAGCAGGCTCATAATGTGTGACAAAATCACAAACGAAGTAGGGTTCGAGCCTTTGTCCAATGAAATTCATAGTGATAAGTCAATAATTCTAAAATATCACAACATTGAATAATGCAAATTATAAATGGCTATCGGCAAATATTTGTAGCCTAAATTTGAATACATAATTTTCTGGTTAATTGCTACATGAATGTAGAGAGCAATTTTTATTTATGAGATGTTCTTTAAATTTAACCATTTATGATTTATTAGAATAATTTTGGTTGGTTCACGAGACTCAAATGAAGAACAGAAACCGAATATATCAACGAAAAGAGTGAACAGAGTTTCTCTCCGAAGCTGTTGAAATAGCGATAAATTTAAGACTCAGAAATTAAAATGATGCGAAACTTCCTCATCAAAATATAATTTGCTTTGTATGTTCACAACTTTCACTTTCAAGTTTCGTTCAAACAAAGTCTTACCTTAATCGAGTAAGTTCTTTTCTGCATTCAAAATGTCATTTTACATTTTAAACCAAAGAACAAATTCTCTTTGAAATACTCATGTCTTTGGGCAAGTATGGATGTACACTTAACCAATTGAAATATTTCCGGGTTCAAAGGTTATTTTGGTTATTATAGTGTTCATGCTTTATTTTCGGAGTGCAACTTTTGAAGTTTTACAATAGTTGGAAATGTAGTTTCCGGCTCTTTGAGTAATAGTTGTTCTCGTGCAGATGCTAATTTTTCACACTGATGTTCGGCCTTTCTTTGTCTACACGATATTAGAATATTATTCCAGCTTTCTAAGCAGCTGTATTGGACAGCTTTGGCAAACGAAACGTGAAAACGACGAGAACGTCAAATATTGAGGGCAAAGATCATTTTACCAGTTTGTAGTTTGTATATACATATATTAATGCTTAAATAGTGAAAAAAACAGAAATGTGATTGTAAAATTCAAATTTGAAATTTTCATATCATGATTATGCATACAAAAGCAATTGAAGTGCTGTAATTATACATACGTAGAAGTGCGGGAGTAGCGGGTTTAGGAAGGCATATGCCCCTACAAGAAAATTTGAAGATTGGAAAGTTTGAAAATTTCCAACGTCAGTTGGCAAAAAATACAGGAGAATAAAATTATGAAGTGCACGTTGCAGTCCACAAGTCTGGCATTTCATTGTAAGTAAATAAAAATATATTTAATGCCAGCCTTCCCAGGAAATTATAGCTCCCTTGGGCCTATGGAATATTATAATTACCTGATTTTAAATGATTTTAGAAAATGATAAACGATACTCAACACAATGTCAATTGTCAAGGTGAAACCTCCAATAGTGATGAGTTAATTGAATAACAATGACAAGAAACAAAAATTACATACTATAAGTTTAGGGGCTTTTACATGATCCCGACAAACCGAGTTTCAGTGAGGCGTGAAATGATTTCGAGGTATTGAAAGGAGTCAAAACTTCAAGCTTAAAAATTACAACTGTTTGTTTAAGCACCACAAGTCATTCCTGTTGTAATTCTCAAATTAAACCAAATTTGTTGTTGTAATTTTAAATGTTTGGTGTAGTTATCAAACCAGAATATTCTGAAATGGCTAGAGAAGATTTATCTGATGATGAGTATTGAATCGTTTCCATTTTCCAAAATCATTTATCGCTAGACTGAGTCCCGGCTACCCGGGCTCATGTAATCAGCCCCTTAGACTCAATGGATGTTCGCTTCATACACAATGCTATCTGGTGTTTCTGTAAATGAATTATATATTGTCATAGTAAACAAGTTAATACATAAAAAACCAAGATAAAAAACTACTTTGTACAATACTGTGCTAAGATATGTTCCGACCTTAAAATTTGTATCCAAGATTAGAACATGACCAAAGCCACTCGGCCAATCAGCATCCGGTATTTTGATGTTCTATATCTCATGCCCACTCTCATACAGCGTTGTTGCGCACGTCACCTTTCCAGAATGATTTGAAAATCTTCGTCCTTTCATGTCAAAATTCTGCCCATGATTTTAAAATACTCAATGCTCATTCCGTATTATCCTTGTTTTTTTTAATCTTTGTTTCTCACTCTTTTCAATTTTTTCTACTTGTATTGCATCTCGAAATCTGTGGACACGTTGTTCCTTCTCTTCAATCTGACTTAAGAATAAATTTATGTCACACTTTCCTTCACCCTTGAACAAATCTTAAGTTCCGATCTGCCATTCTAACAATTCCAACTCACTAAATTCACTCATCTCGTTATGTGCACAGATTAAAATGAACGACGTTAAAACTACTGCGTAAGGATATTAAATCCTTTCATTTTGGAATTTTAATTACTTTTCTTATAATGAAACAATCATGACTAACTGATAATCACTTAAATGAAAGCAGGGCAATTAAGTTCAATGCCATAAATAATCCTTCGTGGCTTTGGTCATGTTCTAAGACGGTTAGAGCATGATCACGTGTGTCCTATGGGATTAAGAGTCCCTCGCATTAGATAAAAACTCACTTGGGAATGCACCCTCGTGAATTTCTCTCTACTTCTCGAGACTCTTAATCCCATAGAACACACGTGATCATGCTCTAACCTTTACAAAGCTTATGACAAAATTCTTTAAAGGGCATCTGACTTAAAAATTTTACTATTTAAATTATAGTTTCACTTAACAGAACTTTGAAAATTTGAAATAGCAGGTATATTTGCCGATATATTACCTCAACATAGCAGAGTTCCCTTAATTGTGAAGAGTTAATCGTATAAACAATTGCATGATCATTTCAACCAAAAGTTGACTTGAATATAATAGATGTTGGAAACTTTGCAGGGCCTCGTTACGCAAAATGACGTAGAAAGCTGTATAGATCGGACATTACAAAAACTTCAAGATTTCGAGAATGAAAAGAGATGTTCACAAACTGTTTTAGAAAATACACTGTCATTTTCAAAGTTCGATTAAATGAAACTATAATTTGAGTAGTAATATTTTTACGTCATATGCCCCTTATAAAAAGCACTAAAAGGACAAAGAATTGGGTTACTGTTTTTTTAATGTCATATACTTTGTACAATATACAGATGTCTATAACCAGAAAAAGGTAACCAATGGTCAGTACAGTAGCTTCTTGGACATCCTTTGATATCTCCAAATCACATGTCGCCTGGTTAAAAAAATGCGATTTCAGATTAGCTTGACGCTGAAAAAAAATCAAATCAAGGGAGAAGTCAAAATGGCTGTGATTACGGAGATGATTCTCCTGGTTCGACACCTATTCCTTTCGGCTACGCTGCGAGAAATTCAATTATTCAAAATGAATTTGAGGTGTTGCAAATGCTTGGAAAAAGGAGGGTTTGCTTCAGTTGTCATGGTTACTTTTTATTATATACTTCGTTTAAATAGAATTAAGTAATTTAGTCATGTGAAGGAAATTTTGTACCTGATTTGGAAATGCTTTATATAACCTTAGGTACATAAAAAATTGGACGGCTGTCTCTATGCGATCAAAAGAATTCCTTTGAATCCGAAAAGTGTATGGTTTAATCGCGAAATTACTCGAGAAAAGAAGTTACTTTCTAGATTGAATCATGAAAATATTGTAAGGTAAAAAGAAATTTACCATTCAAAATGAAATAAAATTCTAGAACATAAGGGTTGAAAGCGAGGTTTAGTTTAGATGATACAAATTGCTTGGCTTAAAACTATTATAACAAAGTAGATAATCCCTTTTTTCCACGAAGCCATGGATGCTTTCAATCATTATGAGTTATATTGTATAAGGAGGCTCTTGTTCATCAAGAGAGGGTTATGAAAACGTTACATTGTAAAAGCGAACAAGTAAAAAACGTATAAACATGTTTAGAGTTGGTTTGAGTTCAAAGTCAAAAAGGCAGAAGCTGTTTGAACGTTTGAAGCATCCTTGGATGTTTTAATATCTTTTACGAGAGAACTTCTTCTTGTAAACAAAAAGATAAAATTCGAAAGCATAAAACCCCGTTATCGGTCCATGCTTCCCGATACCTTCTTAAGCGCAAGGCACTAGAACGCCACATGTTAACGTTTCGGTAGGAGATTTCGACCCCTCCACGCTATCTTACTTGGGAGATGCAATAGCAAGCTTCCGCCCATCAGACCCCGAGATTGCCTGGGATAGTCTTTGCTCGGGGTACGCAGGGAGAGTGCGGTCGCGACCGTGGTCAGGGCCCCTAAGCCACTGCATACTATATCACACCCAGCTTCCACTGCTAGTTGACATCTACTATATAAAGTATTTACTTTATATATATATATGTACAAATTCAAAGGCTTACGAAAGTTTTGGTATAATTGACATTGTTACTGCGCATGCCCAAATGATTTCAATGATAATTCGCGACTAACTGAGTTAATTGCGACGAATGTAGTGCAAGTACATATAGTTAGTCGTTTCCATGACTATGAGCAATTAGTCGAATGGACTGCGCATGCTCGAGCGCATGCGCAGATAATTTCTCTATTAAATTGCTACTGAGCAGGAAATTTACTTCATAATCGGTGCTAGTAGATGCAGTTGGTCATGGCCATGACCATAAACTTGGGCAGCTGGTAAAGTCGACTGCGCATGCGCAGATGATTTATCTGAAAATTTGTCACTGAGTGAGGTAATTACTCCATAATTGGTACTAGTACATTCAGTTGGTCGTTTCCATGACCATGAACTTGGAGAGTTGGTGGAGTTGAATAATGATGCTCAGATTTTTTCTCCATTAATTTGTGAGGGAGCGACCTCTGATATTTGAGCTTGTATTTGCGCTTAGCAAATTTTCAATCATATATTTTTGGCCCGCTCTTTGTCTTCTTAAGCTTGTTTTGACAAATGCATATCAAACTCATCAACACTTTGTTACGCCACTCATAATATCTGTGACAATGTTGGAGATGTTTTTATTTTTTAGTTTTTAACTTTGTATGTGCATATTTTGTGCATAAGCAATGCTCCAATATTTATGACAAACATTGTAATTCGTGGACTGAGGTAGAAGAAATACTTGAAAATGAAACAGTGAAACAGTGAAAAAAAATCAAGCTTGACAGAGGAGAAACAACGACGCGCAGGTTGAAGACAGCTTGATGAAATTGAACGTAGTTCAAGCACCCAGCGTACGTTCGAGAGTTTTTGATGAGGACTCGTTGATCAATAAAAACACGAATGATTCCAAGCATGTTGACGACGATAAAAGCTGTAGCGAGGACGAGGCTCCAATACAAAAACAATCCATTAACAACACGGAGCCTAATTAAGATATGGCCAAAACAAATATCGATGAATCGCATATACAGTTTGGAAACTCGTTGGCTCACGCGCTATCCAGATTTCGTGCAACAGCCCCCCCCCCCGATAATAGCATAGTTGCAAGAAATGCGTAAAAGCATTGTAACCATTATATTACTTCTCTAAATAAAAATTATTAAATGACAGGGAAATATTCATGTCCATAAGCAAGTGGCATTTATCTTAATGGAAGATTAATAAGATTTGTATTTATATACGTTATTTCATAACATTGCCAACAGAACATGTTTTTGTGCATGTGGGCAATTTTGAACCCTTGTCTGTCAAGCCACTTGACTATACCATAATAACGACGAATGCCTGACGCAGTATCACTCACAACATGAAATTCTACATTCAATTGTTTAACGTATTTTTTTAAGGTTCCTTCAGACAACATTTGTGGTAGACATTGCCATTCATCGCACTCTATGTCCATCTTTAAAACGTCAATCAAATTCTATAAAACATTGTTTGAATTTTCAGAATGGAATACTATGAGGTTTTAGTACGAAATTCAACCGCAAAAAAGCCCATTTAATTTGTGCAAAAACAATCGCAAATATTGTAAATTAGCATATCGATTATACACTAGTGAACAATAATTTATAAAGATGGATTTCAAAATAGCAAATACCATGGTGAATGGTGATAATAATGTAATAGTTCTTAAAAGAACTGTTTTAACCAGAACACTAACCCAACAATTCAAAGGAACCATGCTATAGCATGGTTTGGAAGTTCTCATTTAGCAGACGACACCTGACGAGTAGTCTGCCGAAATGCATAGTGTCTCTTTCTAGCTGTAAATAACGGTTCCTTTGATTTATTGTAAAACATCTTTTACGCAACACTCGCTGTGCCAATGCTTATTCTGATGAAAACTTTAAAATTATTAAAAAATGTCGCTCGTTATTCCAGCTACGCGTCATGGAGTCGGTATTAATTAAATTGACTAATCCTGTCCTTTGCCGACAAAAGGATTACGTGTTGATTCTGTCTCTGTTTTAAGTGGCATCTCTAAAAATAGGGATGACATTGACCTTTTGTAACATAAATATAGCATGATTTGGAAGTTCTGGTTTAGCAGACGTTGACACCTGACGAGTAGTCTGCCGAAATTCATAGTGTCTCTTTCTAGCTGTAAATAACGGTTCCTTTGAATTGTTGGGTTAGAGCTCTGGTTAAAACAGTTCTTTTAAGAACTAATACATTGTTCTTATCACCATTCACTAAGGTATTTGCTATTTTAAAATCCATCTTTAAGTTTGTCACCACGACAAAGTCTCTGTTTCAATAATTTATAAGGAATTAAGAAAACATATTACGCCTTGTTAATAAAATTGCAAAAATAACATCATCTAGGCAATCTACGTAAGGTGGGTGATTATAAAATTATCCTCAAACTGAAAACAATTTATCTTCACACTTTCCAATGCTGTAGAAATCACAACAAATTTATAGTAGAGATGCTTCATGCTCATTCTTTAACATTCAATGGGCTTTGTAAATTTGGAGGACTTAGGCCTAATTTTCATAAATGTTCTTACATTTTCTGAGTTTGGGTGAGGGGAATGAGAGGGGAATGAGCAATATAAAATTTACTGTCGTTATCCAAGTTGAGGCAAATTACAAAATAATGTAATTGTTGTGCCAAGGAAGTACTATAAATCATTTCTTCATTTACGTCAATTTATCGACATTCTTAATTTGTTTGACAGCCATGCATGTGGCTGCCCCTTGATGAAATCTACATAGGAAACAAAAAATAAAATTTAATACTTTCTCATGACGAAGATCCTTGATGATGCTCTTCAATGTTCTTGTTTTCCATGCAAGTTTTCCAAATTCTCTGGGTTTTCCTTCGGAATCAACATGTGCCAAGCCAAGTCGAAAAAACTGTACGTATGGCGAATGAAAATGGTCTTTTTGCTGCATGGATGGATCAAAAGAAAACACCTGGCATCCATAGTTTGCAATGCTATCATCAAAGGACCATTCGTTGGCAATTCTTTGAGAAAGATCATAAATTTCATTAGTTAATGCAGTGATATAGTAACTCACAGAAATCGCTCATTGACATAAATGTAGCAATGTTAGAGAAATTTTATGTATATTGTTATTTTGTTCCAACCAGGATTGAGAAATGCTAATTGTGGTACTTAATGCTAATATCAAAGAAAGTTACTTACTTGCCTAGTTAAGTTTTCAGACTTTTTACGAATTATATAGTACCTAAAGTCAAATGCTTATTGATAATTTTATGTACTGGCAATTGATCCTGCTATGCAACTTTTTCTAGGTTCCCGCACTGGAAAAACAATATATATTTTTAAAGAAATGAATAATGTTAATGCTCTGAAATTTTTATAGCATGACTAAAACAGGAAGGCTGACTTTGCTATAATGGTCAGTTATGTTTAAAAAACTACAGTGTAGAAAATGTATTTATGCATGCAAATCTTCGTTTGGCAAAGCGAACATGGATATTATGAATTCGTGTAACATACAGCACGATGGTCTCCAAAGTGCATTCAAGTAAGAAATGGCATTTATTTCCAAAAATTCCTCTATGCAGACTGAACATTAAAAATTTAGCATATTTTTTGGATTTATGATGACTTCTGTACATAGCTACAACTGCATCTAACCCGATGGAGTAGACAATGCAAGATCCTCTCTTCAGTTTAACTTCAGGATCAAGGCAGAGGTACCACATTCCGTCGGGATCAAATTCTGGTGGATTTTTATCTTTCCTATAAACTCCTCCAAAGTGACGTATATTTTTACACACAACTCCTTGACTAGACATGTGTAATTTATAGCGTGTCATCTCTTCATCAAAAGTACCCTGACCTGCGACTTCCGGTTCTTTGTATGTAAAAATGCTAGTTGTATCTCGGGAACTCCTTGTCAAGTTAGTATCATCTCCTGTGATTGACCGTGACTTTGAGTTTTTGAGGGCTGTTAAAATATTAAAAAAATTCCTTTGATTTTTGCATTCATTCTTTTATACGTACTAAAAACAAATGATAATGCCAAACATATGCTGTAATTACTTACCATCACTCATTAACTTAGTGAAGATGATATTTTGAAACCGCTGTAAACAAATGAAAAGTTACTGATTTGATTTCAACACCAAGACAATAGGTTGAACAAAATATTTATGATCAACAGTGAATGGAACGACAGCCCGACCAAGACCTTCACACTCATTTTCAACTCACCAATTTTTTATATGTCCAGACAACGCACATAAAGGTTGCTAAAGCTAAAATACTATAAGATATTTTCCTGATATTTCGAAGCATCTGTTGTCTGAAAAAATTCAAACTATTTACATTGAGCTAGTTGGATGGGCAAGTTTACTTTTGAAGGTAAACTTGCATTGAAAGGCCATGGCCAAAGATCCAGCTGGAACAATGTCCCTAGCATACATATCTATACATCAAAATTTAAAATGGAATTTAACAAATGTAATATGCTGTTATCATTGTCTGTCCAGTGTACAAACTAAGTCTAAAAAGCTGTAAGATTTGCCCCCATGCAATGCAAATCACATGATCTCAACTTACCTGTCTGTTGATTTTGATTTGCAACAATAAGACGGCTTCAAATACAATTTGCAACTTTTATCTTCGTAATTGACTCAAGTTTAATGATTATATGACCATTATTGTAGCTGGTAAATAATTGTACCATAACTTGCACCTTGCACGTGCTATCGAAATTTAATCAAATTTACGATATGTATCATGCAAAATGCATACAATTATATAATATTTATTTGGAATGAGAGACTTTCATTTACGTCCCTGTCAAGATTATGCACGGTACCCGTCTGATGATTGCATTGACATAACAATAATAGTTAAGGATACCTGTTCTTTGTTTTTGAGCGCTTCTGGTCTCTTGCAGCTGGGCTCTAGCTGCTTTGTGGCTTGAAGTCTAATGTTTGCATTCAGTTTTTGTTCCTACATATCATTATTATTATTATTACTATCATTATGATTATTAAAACCTTTTAAAGATATTTTTGTAGGATAAGCTGAGTGACAATTAGTTTCGTATCGTGGACATCACACATTTATCAATCACTTTTCACATTACTGAAAGATGACTCAATAGTCGCTTGTCATTTTTTTCCTATATGTGCCAACCAGAGAACGTCATCATCGTAAACCTATATATTTTGTGCGTACACAACTACCATATCCTGCTGTTTTGTTCATAAATCTATAAATAACATTTTGAAGCAAGATCCAACAAATTAAATGTCTTGTAGCTACATGTATATATAAAGGAAATTGATCAACTCATTGAACCAATTAAGACCGTCTTCCGTTGCAATTGCACTTTACATTTTTGCAGCCTAGACAACAAAGATGTGCAATGAAAAATAATAAAACAAAAAATAAATGCGAAGAACATGGGAAGCGAACAGATTTTTTTGTCCAACAATAAAAATATCAATGTGTACATCAGCGTTTGCTTTACGAATAACAGAATTAGTTCTTTCTATTTCGATAAAAAAGTGGTTACGTTGATACGGTTAACATATTCAAACAAACATTGTATTTTGGCTTTATCTCTCAACTTAAATACCAAGAAATAAATGGAAGACACCATTTTCTCTGTCATTGAAAGAAAGAAGCCATAGTATAAATTGATAAAATGCACAAGAGCTGCGACAGGATGTAATTTATCGGATCGATAAAGATGACAGTCATGACACACGATACGAATTATTGATACAGTCGATTTTTTCACTTTGAAAGCACAAAAGTAAGTACATATCAACGATTCAATGTGTCTATTGTGTCTTGTATGGTAACTTCAACACAAAACGAACTACTCATGTTTAGCTATAACTCATAACGTTTTGCTTAAAAGTAAAAAGAATAATAATTCCGTTTTATAGTTCTACTTTGTATGTAAAATTATCTTTTCCTACCTATATATAATATACACCTTACCTAATCTCATTCACCTACTATGCTCTAATGCATGTATGCTGTAATTGTCAATGGTTAGATTGAACGTGTAATGCAGCACCATGTTTGTTCTATCTTCAACAGAACGAAAGCTATGGTACCACCAGCACCACGGATACATTTATCATGGTGACACTAACAAAAAAGATAAAGCCAAGAATGTTTAATTCAAAAAGCCACAAAAAAACCCAAAATTGTACGCCAAGTGATAAGCGTTCTCCTATTAATAGATCTTATATTGACTTCTCTTTCATCCTATACACATTTTCCCACACGGTAAGACCAAGATTGTACCTTCCTTGCATTAGTTGTCGAAAGAATATATTTTTTGGAAAAAATGATTTCAAGATAAAAACTATGATATACATCAATTATGAAGTTAAACTTGACGACTCACATCTTTTAGTCATATAACACAGCGTGACGCTATCTTTTACTAATATCTGAGGGAAATCATTCGAGACATAATGTAGTTTTATCAGACATCAGTAAAACAGCTGAGAAAATATAGCAGCAATTTTGATAAAGCTTTCCTTGACATACTTTGCAAAAACATATCAGTCAAAATGTCCCAGATTGAAATGAAACCTCTGCCTGCAGATATATCTGTGAGCTCAAAGAAAAAATGAGAAAATGACAGCATTCTGTGAAGACAAAATCGAAAAGATGTACGACTACACTAAACGAGCATGCGAGACGGCACTTGAGTTCGTTGAAAGATTTATAACTTATAAAGTGTTCTATTCAACATAAAGTAGACAAATATACGTATTTTCGTTTCGAACCATTTTGACACTTTATAGTAACTTTCATGGTGGGCTTACACATTCTTCAAGCACTGATAAGCAGTGATAGCACAAGAGAGTTTCATCAAGGACAATTAACAATAGTTTGAAGCGTTTTTGCTCTTCAGAAATTGTTATTTTGCATTAATTGAAACCGAATGCTCGTAAAATTTTTTTAAATATTAGTTCATGTTGTCTAACACATCTGGGGATTAAAGAATCAGTGTTATAATTGTTTATTAACAAGGCAGATGTGTAAAGCAAGTTGGCTTGTTTACTTTAATGAATTCTATTGACATAACCATTGACTTTTGATACACATCTTCCATAAATATACCAAATAATACTAATGTAAAAATATCTAAAAAAGAGACAGAAAATTAACAACTATTCCTTTAAAATTTCGTGTCTTTGGTTTCAAACAATTATTGACAACGATATTTTAAATTTTATGGCTGCAATTATGTATCAATTTGCACTTAAAACAAAAACATAGAATGGAAAAGACTGTGATATAGGTGTCATGATAAACCCACACTGAAATGTTTTATCATAATTGACATCGAACCATTTTGGCAATTAATTCAGTCGTTAAAAGCTGTTGCGGACACGAGACCGACGAGAGCAAGTAATGTAGTCTTTAGATAGTTTTTCAGCAGTCGTAATAACGCCTGAGCTCAAGTGATATACAAATTTGGCCACCGTTTTCTGAAATTTGTCTCAAGCAACTTTACAATTGCTAGAGTTTGTAATCGCTAGAGTTTGTTTTGAGAGGTGAGGCAATTCAAATTCATATGGGTAGCCTTTGATCATTACGAAAGTCTTTGCTACTTTATTGGTTCAATCAAGTTTACAAATAGCTAACATTAGGTGATGAATTCAAAGTGTATGCATACAGAGTCAATGGCGTCACCGTGGTCGTATTTACCGTTTTGTAATCTGACGTACCCTGCCCATATTCAGTATTGTTCGTGTTTTGATAACCGAATTATTGAAGATGTTAACTGCAGCAAAATTTCTACAAAGTCCGACAAGAACCCATCTTCAAAGACAAAGTTTCCAGGCTGCATGAAAAAGCGCTTCATCAACCAGCAACAATTTAACATTTGGAATTGACCGGATTTTAAAAGAACCAGACGACAAGGAAAAATATCAAGGTAAAAGTTCCTTCAAACAAATATTATTAACTGCTTTGTTTACCAGACTTTATTATATCAATAAGCATTTAGATTTTTTGTCGTATTAATTATAAATTAATAAGCTTCAGAGTTTCAAATCGAATTCCAGTCATTTTACTGTTACATTTTTTAAAAATGTGTATAGTATAGGGCGTCTATGTTAAAGATAAGCTTCATTGACCACAAAAAATGTTAAAGACTGTTTGCTGAAATAAAGAAACAATAAAAAAATCCTGAAATGGTTTTCTACTGAATCGGTGGCATTCTTTAAATTGATAGATAGTGCACGCCTTCTAGACTCATGATATAGCAACAATTATCCTATTTGTAATGTGCTTAATTGCTCCAATTTCTAAGCAAGATTACATCTGCAAAAACTATGTAAGGTGCAATGCATTTAAGATTTGTTGCATTTTACATTCACAAACAGCTACTGTATAACGCCAATACCTCTAACTTCCTTAACACGAATGCCTTGCAAACGTGAAAATTTCATTTTCCCTCCATCAAATTTGTCCGGATCATTTCCTGACGCTAAACGATAGCCTCAAAGGCTTGAATTTTATAAATCGAAACTCAAAGTAAATGTTGCTCATACAACAAGAAATTAGCTCATTTATACATGCACGATGCATTATACTTAGCTTTAATGGTGTTTATAGCAATTTATCTCAATACTCAATAGCGTTACAAACTTGATGTTAATGATTTAGCTAATGCAGTTAGTAATTATAAGAACCTCAGATTTTTCAAACGAAATTGAAAAAAACTCTCGCTAGCTTGATTAACTTTCTGTTTTCCTTTAAAGTTTGAGTTGTTGGAGTTATTGAACGAATTCAAATAATGAATACAACGCATTCGATTTGTCAAATTTAGTGTATAATGGTGTCATTTTTTTGTAATTATTTTTGCGTAGTTTCCAAAGCATATTGTCATACTTCAAGTTTTGAATTATATTTAGAACAAACAATGGTTTCTGAAATAGACCAAAAGTATGAGCACAATTTGCCAAAGAGTGTTGGAAAAGTGCGTAGAAAAAATGGAACGCGTTCAGTGTTTTCTCATGTCCAACGAAATATACTGGAACTTCATTATCAAGAACGCGAGTACGTAACGAAAGGAGAACGTTACCATATTGCCATGGCAACAGGAATAAGCGAAGAACAAGTGAAAATCTGGTTTCAAAACCGTAGAACCAAAAAGAAAAAGCTGGAGGGAAAACTGTTGCAACTAGGCTCAAATTAAATAAGCGGGAAAAACTATACTCACGACCGTCTATCCATGTAAATAAAACTCGTACTTGAGATTGAAAGAGACAGTGAGTTTATATTCACATTTTTACAAAATCATGGAAGTCTTCACTTCATTTGAAATAAATGAAAATATATGTATCTTCCAATCTACACACATAAAATACTGAGTGTGAAAGCCCAGTAGGTAAACTAGCATGGAATTCAGAAATTTATAGGTATGGTTTTTAAATATCGGAAACTGAAGAACGGATTACATGCAACATGTTCAGATACTCGTGTAAGACAAATATCTTGATTGAAGTGTAAAAGTATTTATTTAAGGACCTTTTTTTGTAAGCCGACTGTAAACACTAAAGAATATTTTATATAAAGATAATAGTCAATTCTCAATAATAAAAATGTTTCACATAAGAAAACAATGCCTTAAAATGCTTAGAATAATAAAAACATAGATTTTATTATGCTTAAAAATGGCAAGTTGCTGAAATAAGGGAATTGTATCAAATGCACTTTCACTTTAATATAGCAGTTTTTCGATAGCAAATTGATAAATAAACAACAGTACTATATTGTAAAATAATGGCATCATTGAGAAAATAGAAAAACAATGCTTTCATATGTTTTCATACAATTCGGTTGAATATACATAATGCATAAATAGTTCAGTCTCATTTCCACTTTTTTAATTGACATTCAATATTTTTTTATGCTGAATTATTGAAAAATGGCAACAATTTTTATGTTTTTACATCAGTAGGTTAAACGAGCTTAGTTTTTACGGCTATCATTTAAATCAAAAGATGTCCAAGTGAGATTAATTTGAGATAAAAAGTGTCTAGTCATTACCAGCGAAGCCAGTCTGAGCTTTTACTCAAAAACTTTGTCTTTTTTCAGCAAACTTATTATTCATTTCCTTAAAAATTTTATTCAATGTCTTCCGATAATAAACTAAAAAATATTTGTGAAAAAATTGCTGGCTTCACCCTTGCTTACGACATGCTGCGTTTATCATAATGCGTTCAGTTATAAACGGGCGGGAAAAATTCGTATTTACGTTGTAATAACTAATACGTCATGTCTAGATAAATATGCCAATTTGACCTTTCTCAGGACTGGGACGTATTTAGTCTGTGACATAATATTTCTAAAAAAGTCTTTACATAGATATTTTATGAAAGTCTTATGTTTCTGAAATTAAATCTTTCAAGTATAAAATCATTATTTGAAATTTGTCCTTCTGACTTCCCTTCTAGATGTACGCACTGCGCACCTATTTTTATATATCTAACCATCACCAATTCTTCACTATGGCCACCATGAAGTATGAGGACATAATGGAAAGGCTCATTGAATGATCGTTAAATAATTATAATACATCATGCTTTTATTGCTTTATGGTACATTTAGTTTATTATAAGTCAAAAATATAATGGCTAAAGACAAGTCCATCGAGACGATTCATGCTGCTCTAAAGCGAAGAGTATTCTTTGATGAATGTGTACCAAAATTATTTGGCCTTGACAATCAAATCAGGTAGCTAGTATGCGTCAAAAAGGTTGTTGTTAGTCTTATGTCGGTCGAACATATTTTGATAAATTATATTACATGTACTATTCAAGACTCAAATTCTTTTATAATTTATTTAACTTAAAAATAGTTAATATTTGTAATAGTTAACATTTCAGCTTGGGTCATGTGTGCAGTGTGCGTATTATGAAAACACCAAAGTTTAGGTGGATACCTGTCTAGGGCACACATTTATCACAATTTAAAATTAGCATTGCAAGAAATCATGTGTTCCAATATGTATTTTGATCTAGAGTATAAATTTTCTTTTTTTAGTACGTATGTTTTATAGCAAATATCATTATATTTTTCGACTTGTAATTTTCACAAAATATAACAAGTGATGTACCACTGCTAATTACACCACTCTCCATCAAGAGCTGTAGCGGCAAGATTTTATTGTTGGGTGGGGGTGAGCAAAAACGCTCTTACATATTATAATTGCTATGGGTGCAAGTAAAGATTATGGTCTGGAAAACATGCTTCCCCCCCTTTCCTCTCCATTTTTGGCACCAATGGCCATTACATGAGTGAGAATACATACCCTTTCCCATTGAATGGTGAAAAGTTTTCTGTGACTTTTCAAATTTCCATTATATTTTTTTCACGAGCGGATCTGGCTATTGGCAAAATAATTTGATACAGCCTATCGATTGGTTAATTTTTATTCTTTGGAAAGCAACAACCAATAGTATTTTAAATTTAAAATGAGCAGTTATAATTTATTTGGCTTAACCATGGATCTGCTACAGAAATTGTTGTAGAATATGTTCTATTATACAACACATATTTCATTGTCACATAAGCAGCAATGATATATTTCAAGGAATATTTCATTTTGACTAATATATTACATAACTTTTGTGTTAAAAAGACTTTACGTTGAAAAATCAATGGATATACCATATGAAGAGTTATCATGTAATGATTGCTTTATAAATCAATCCATACAACAACAGACTAATGACCATTGGGTCAAATTTTTGTATAGTAATAACATTTCATGATTTTTGAAATAAACCTGGTATTGTTGAAATGTTTCAACTGTGATAATGATACAATTTTAGTACAATAAGCAATCACTGAAAAGAAACTTCACTCTGGATAAGTTTCCCCATTAAAATTTGCTTTTGTTAATTTTTCAATGGCATCCAATGTTGTATGTATGTTTTCAACATAGAGAGCTGCAAGAACTAATTCTGAGATGCTGTCAGTTTGGAGAAAGTAATTCTGTTTTATTGGTTGGAGCAAGAGGAAGTGGGAAGTCATGCGTATGTCAGTATGTTTTGTATAAGTAATATTCTTGTGAATGTAAATTATTTTTTATTCTTTATTGACCAGTTGCTGATCAATAATAAAAGTGTAGAATAGTCATATTATGTTGGGTATATAACTGCAGAACATAAAGTCTTTTGATTGTCAAATGTTTTTGTCATGAAGTGGGTATTTCAGGAGTGGCCTTACCTAAAATGCTGCAGAGTTTTGTAAACTTAATATCAAGTTTAAGCTGTTGTGTTATGTTTTGGGTCTTCCATTATTTCTATGCAAATTATGCACTTTGCAACAACATATTGTACCCTCCACCAACACAATGCACCCTCCACCAACGCAATGCACCTCCACCAACACAATGTACTCTACACCAACGCAATGCACCCTCCACCAACACAATGTACTCTACACCAACACAATGGATCCTGCACCAATATAATGCACCCTGCACCAACATAGTGTACCCTGAACCAACACAGTGTACTCTACACCAACACAATGCACCCTGCACCAACACAGTGCACCCTCCACCAACACAATGCACCCTGCTCCAACACAGTGCACCCTGCACCAACACAATGCACCCTGCACCAACATAGTGTACCCTGAACCAACACAGTGTACTCTACGCCAACATAATGCACCCTCCACCAACACAATGCACCCTCCACCAACACAATGCCCCTCCACCAACACAATGTACTCTACACCAACACAATGGATCCTGCACCAATATAATGCACCCTGCACCAACATAGTGCACCCTGCACCAACCCAAAGAACTTTTTGCCATAAACTAAGTTTGTATTCGTTCGTATGCATGCAGTACGTATAATCTAAAGCTGATCGGCCCAAACTTTGCACTATCATAGTTGGTCGTATATTTTTTAATGTACTTAGGTACTTCTAGTGTTACGCATTCATTTGAATTTCTTTCTTCAGGCCTTAAATCATGTTTTCAAAGTTTTGGATGAAAAAAAGAAATTGAAAAATCTCTTGCAAGTTCATTTAAATGGTAATTTTATACAAGCCCTTAACATGTATGGTAAATTTATCCAAGTATTGTAGACATTCGTGTATTTCATGCATGGTTCTGTCCTCACATTTGCCAGGTCTCCTTCAAACTGATGATAAGCTGGCTTTAAAAGAGATAACTATTCAGCTGAAGCTTGAAAATACTGTTGGTGATAAGATATTCGTAAGCTACATCCTTCATTTTATTTTTTGTATGAACGAAAATAGTTAAATATCTTGCTTGTGCAAAACAATGTTGTATTTATTTATGTATCATGTAATTCACAAACGTAGAACGATGAAAACGCGAATGCCTTTGATATATATTATAAAAAATCCATGGAAATGAATTATTTTTTCAGGGATCGTTCGCGGAAAATTTGTCTTTTCTTCTCGAAGCTTTAAAAACTGGTGAGCACGTAGAAAATAAGACATCTTTGATTTTTATAAATGTACAAACGTAGCCACATTAATTTTTTATCTATCTTACCTTGGAAGAAATTAGTTGTCACATGTTTAAAAGTGAACATCGCAAAAGTGAACAGCGATCATTTTGAGCCTATGTATTTAAAATGTTCTAACTTTACTATGATTATACAATTTTAGTTATGTAAATTAAAAGGTTTTTGTTCTAATTTCTGGTCATTTTAAAGTTGTTCGTCTCTGCCTCATGACCAACTCATTTGCAGTGTAAATTTTTTTCTACTTTTAGGCGACAAGGAATGTCAACCCATTTTGTTTATACTGGATGAATTTGATCTTTTCGTTTTTCATAAAAATCAAACATTATTGTATAATTTATTTGATATTTCTCAATCCGCTCAAAACCCGGTTCTTGTCATTGGACTCACTTGTCGTTTGGTAAGTTATCACTTCAGAAAACCTTCGTTCGCATCATGAAATGATTAGCCATGTGGAGTTTCACAATGACTGCGCGTGCGCATATATTTATATGTTGTTATTTTATGTGGACTATGTCAGTGAACTATAATAACGACATTTGTTGTACGTTGCTTTCTGGATTTTTGTAGGATGTTGTTGAACATCTGGAAAAAAGAGTAAAATCGAGATTTTCTCATCGACAAATACAGTTTTTCAACGATTTTATGTTTGGTGACTACATTGATATATTTAGGTTTTAATTTTATTCTTTACCGTCAATTTACACTCTTCCATACTTATTATGAAAAGTAGATTTTGATTCATCAATATTGACTTACATGAAGTATCATCTTATGTGTTTGTAAGGTCGATCGTTGCTGTGCCTCCAAATTTTTCTAATAAAGCAACTGCTAAAGCTTGGAACAAAAGCATCGAGGTTCTCGTTTTCAAACTCTTATATGTGTTGTGTTATAATTCTTTTTTTATTGTCACACTGACTTAGCTATTGTGTTGAATATTTTGTATGTTTTGTAGACTCTGTGTACAGACAGTCGTTTTCGTGATGTATTATACGAAAATTATACTTACGACAAAAGCATTCAAGGATTACATTTGTTGATGGTAACAGCAATTCCTTCATATTTAATGTCATATTGTCTCATGTCATTGACAAAATAAGTGTTATAGGGACAGGGGCGTTAAAAGACTAGGAAAAGGGGGTAAAACAAGGATATTGTGCTTTATGAAAATGGATAAGCGGATCTTTGCTTCCCTGAACTCGGAATAGGGACATCTATACAACGAAACAGCAAAGGGACCTTGTTTCTAGCACTATTTTATTTTGCTATTCTATCACGTGTTTTGCAAATCAATTATGACTTTGGCTTATATATTTTGCCATAGTGAATGTTAAACCTTCTATGTAAAAAAAAACAAACCTGAGTCTTAATTTATGAAGATCCATAAGGCATCCATGAGCGTCTTTAAGGCATCCATAAGGCATCCATGAGCGTCCTTATGGCACCCATGAGGCATCATTGAGGCGTTATTAAGGCAATTATGAGACATCGATTTCTACGCTGAATTATAATTAATCATTTCTGTGAAAGTAAATGAGCGATAACATATTTCTTAGAATTCGCCAGTTTTGTTTCTCTCTCGTGAAAACCCTATCCTGCTGACGGAAGACTTTGAAGAGGCAAGAAAGGGTTTGAACGTGGATCACAAATGTGTCATGCTACTTGGTAAGTCAAATTGTTATTTGTTTTTCATCCGACAGTACAAGCCTTATTGAAAATGGTTATAAAGTTGAGCGTATACACAACAAGTTTTCTTCAATCGCCAATCAATGACAGCGAGGCACACGCGATATCACGTGTACAGAAGACGTGTTTGGCTTGGCACAAAATCCCCTTACACATCGCGTGTGTAGACTTTTGTACACCCTTTATGACCGTATTAATAACAGTTTTCAGTTGAAAATATATGTAAAAAGTTTCACTTCACAATATTTAATGTTTGTGTTGATGTGTATTTGTTATCAAAGTCGTTGTGAACAGTGAACGTGGTCGTGGAGGTGTGACATTGACTTTGAATATAAAATGAATAGAAATTTTATGTTTTCTATTTACGTTGGAAAGACTTCTCCCAATAACTGCATCGGTTGTGTTTGTTTACTATACAACTCAATTATAAAAAGAAATTTTTTTCTTGTTTTGCCTTTAAGGATTGTCCGTTCTTGAACTATGTTTACTTGTCACGATGAAATATTTGGTTGAAACGTTTGATGATGATACCTTCAACTTTCAGACTGTATTTAATGGTTCGTAGATCTGCCATTTCATGACTTGTGAGACCTAAAAAGAGGCTTTCATTGGTAATTGTGTTTCTTCAAGAAATCGTTCATCACTTGAATAATTTTGGTGGATTTATTCAATTTATAGAATATCAGAAATTTGTAAGAACAAGAGGCCATTCTCTACAATGTTTTGAAAAAAACGTCGTTTTGAAGGTGTTTAAGATTTCATAGCGAATTTATTGATATAATTAATAGTTACACATGTTTTTATTTATTTGTGCTCTTTGATTATTTGTAGGCGTTTGAACACTTATTAGCACTGGAAATTGTTAAAAACGTCGACAGTGGTGCCAAAAATACACCGAAAGAGTACCGTCCTTTGAGTTTGCTTGTCGAGCCATATCAAATAATGGAAGTCGTAAAAAAGTATCCTGAATGTCCGACTGAGTTGGTTCAATGGGCAACAAGTGGGAAGAATTAGGATAGTTATATAGTTAAAAAGCTAACGACAGAAATAGACTGTGGCAAAGAATTATTCCGTCGTATTGAAAGCATTTTCAATGCTTGAAAGATGTTTTCAACGGCATCAACCACCTCCTTTTGGTAGTTGATCATTTCTACATTTCATCTCCTATTTTCAGGGCATTTTGGAGCAATTGCATTATGCATAGTCATGTATTTAGATTATACGTAATATTTCACGTAAATTGAAGTTTATGGAATTAGGTAACCATCCGCTGGTATCAATTGTCAGTTTGTTGAATGAGCTTTGTTTTGTCCCAGTGGCATTTTTTCATTGTTAAGTTCTGTAATTTGGCGGTAAAATGAACCAATTAACAATATACTTGCATGAAACCGCGGGAATGATAGTGGATATATTTCCTGCCTAACTAGTGTCTTCATTATTGTTTGGTTGCCGTTGCTGTCTCCTCCCATCGTTATGAAAGCATGTTGATTGTCAAGTGACCGTTTAAAATTAAGATGGATATCAACGACTTTGAAAAAATTGAAAAAGTTGGGGAAGGAACATACGGTGTTGTTTATAAAGCAAGAAATAAAGAAAGCAATGAAATGGTCGCCTTGAAGAAAATCCGACTTGACACGTATGTGTGTTTTATCATTCTTATTGTGGCAAGGTTATCATTCATTTGCTAGCCATAACCCTCCTTGTTGCATATGTTGTCTAAAGCTTCAGTATTCTTCAGTTTAAAAACTGGGAATGACCGAATGAGTCGTCATTTTTATTTTAACTTACCATGTAGTCCAGCTAACGCAATAATGCCAATAATGTCAATGAGTGGCATTAGTTTATTATTTGATTTCAAACCTTTGGTTGTAATGGTTTATTTTATGCTACCACTTGATTTATGCCTTTCATAATGCTGAATGTCGCACCACGTGCAAGCTTGAAGCATTTATCCTCTGGATAGAAGCAACTGCTTGTTGCTGTGTTGTTCTTTAGTTTACCTGTTATGTACAGTATTAAATAAAAGATTGACTATAAGTGATTGTATGTCTTGCTTGTTGTTGCATGTTGTTGTTTATGTTTGTTTACAACATTTTTTTGAAGATTTCCCTTTAAAATCTATGTTCTGTGCTATTTTTTCCATTATTTAAGTTGAACACAGAACAATGCGTTGACACATCCCCAAATGAGTTCATTCTCATTTGTGTGAATTAAAATTTCTTGGCTGATAAGCCAACTTGTAAAGTAAATGGTTTGAACCCGGGAGTATCGTTACATGTTTGTAAATGTAGATCGTCCAGGTTGGTATAGTCCTGAGAAGGACTGTTTTTGTTGTTGTTGACTGACGTTTCGACAACCTTAAGGGGTGATAATGTACCAACTACTCATTTGACTCTGAAGATGGCGGTAGTCATCTTCAGAGTCAAATGAGTAGTTGGTACATTATCACCCTTAAACAAGAATTTTTTTTTATTTTTTTCCATGTATTTAAATAATCACCAAGTCAAGGTTACTCCATGTAATTGGTGTTTTCAACATGATCAGTATAAAATGATGGAGGAAAAATTCTTTTTAAGTCCCTTTTTAATTCTTTTTAAGAATTTTTCCTTCTCAGCCCAAACTGTTTAATCCACTTTTCAAATCTGCTGCAGAACAATAATACATATGTATGAACAAATCACTCATTTTACATTTAGCATTTGTTATTTAACATTTATACAGTTCCATTTGATGGCACAATAAGCATGCAGTTCTCTCCTTAGAAAATTTTACAGACTGACAAAAGCTAAGACATACTTCCAACTATTTGATTATATACTTAAATTTGCATTGCTAGCTGAAGGTGTCTTATTGAGTCTTATTGAGCATTTTGTCAGTTGAATCTGTTATGCCTTGATTGAAATTTATAAAGGCTGGCACCTATACTAGTTAAGTAGTATCAAACTTGTCTACTAGAGATCTCTTTGAAAAACATATTTTGGCTGAAAGTTTTAGAAAACGTACTTTGTATTAAAATAAGCCTGGATATGCTATCAACTGGATTCAAAAATCTCTTAGAATGCATGAACACGTTAAACAAGTTAAACTAGGCAATTGGCAGAATGAAATGCAAACTCAACGATTTGATCTAATGTCCACACATTTTACTTCATAGTGAATCAGAGGGTGTACCAAGCACAGCAATAAGGGAAATATCATTGTTGAAAGAAATGAACCATGCTAATGTTGTCAGGTATATATATGAAAATTTCTTTACACAACCATTGAAGGAAATTCTTGCATTCCCCTGAATTGTCAGTAAATTTAAGTTTATAATTAGATTGTTGGATGTGATTCATGGTGAACAAAAACTTTTCTTGGTTTTCGAATATTTAAACCAAGATCTTAAGAAATACATGGACACTGCACCACCCTCTGGAATATCATTTCCACTTATAAAGGTATGTACCCCTTAGGCAGTAGTTTCACTTGTAGAGGTATGTACCACTTAGGCAGTAGTTTCACTTGTAGAGGTATGTATTCCTTTTGGCAGTAGTTTCACTTTTAAATGTATGTACTCCTTAGAAAGTAGTTTTGTTGGCATAGTCACAGGAAAATTAACATAGCAGGACTAAATAAGTGGACTGGCGTTAGGCTAGTGTGTAGTTTGACCAGTAAACTTTGATAATGTCTTCAAAGAAAGCAACCGGTCTGCTTTTTCTGGTCAACTAAAATTTGTCATTAATTGATATAATTGACATAATGAGAATAAATTCCTCATTATTTTTTGTTTTAAATGTATTCAGCACATGTAAAGTTTTACATTTGAAAAGGGCGTTAGGCTAAATTCAACTAGATTGTGATTTTCCTGCTAGTACATTCACTTGGCCCATTGAAAGGTTCTGTTTGGTTTTTATTAGCTTGATTATGAATCCTTAACATTAAAAATATAGTACATATATGAGACATATGAAGATCATATTTACCAAAATTTTGATTTTTAATTTATTTCACAAACATTGAGTGTACTTTACAGTATTGGTACAGTTTTTGGCACAAAATATAGTATCACTAAAGTAAATTATGTACTAGCAATTTAGTCAAATTAACAGGCACAAAAAGCATCAGCAAGCCTTAGTGATTATAAATTCTAAGTATAAGTTCAAAGATGTCTTTTGGTGAAAAAAATGGAGAAAGAAAAAACCAGAAAGAATAAAATAGAGCGACAGCACTGCCGTTGAGAAAGTTCCAAAGGATTGGACTTATTCCAATGCACTGTTCATATATAATATGAGTTTTGTTCTTTGAACTTGTCTTGGAAGTTATTTTACTGTACAGAAAAACCTTTGCTTAAAATGGGAGCAATGTGGCTGAGATGTATTGCTGTTTAACGTTTAAGCAATGGACAATAGATTTTATGTGAGTGATAACAATGATTTTCATTTGTCATTTGTTTCAATTTCTCTCTTGGCAGTTGATAAATTAACAGGTGTTTCCTTATATTGCGGCACATTTTAGACTTGGCATATTTCAAGGGGCTTACGACATGAATTCTATATTGTCGTAGTTAAATACAGCCATTTGCAACTGACCGTGCGGCGTGCATAAATAAAACGTTTGTTATAGTTTCAAAACTTGACGTTACTAACGGCTAACTCATTCTTTCTAAGGCGTACGCGTGATGTTATGGAAAATGTTGTTTTTATTTAATAAACAACTGTGGCGTGTTAAAATTTAGCAAGTATAGAAAGACGTTTGAAAACGTTAAACTCTGTCGTTAGATATAAGACTTTAAATTGGTATTGGTGAGATACAGTGTGTCTTTGTCGTAACGTCAAGATAGCTGTATAGTAACGTCAAGATAGCTGTATAGTAACGTCAAGTTAGATGTATAGTAACGTCAAGATAGCTGTATAGTAACGTCAAGATAGCTGTATAGTAACGTCAAGATAGCTGTATAGTAACGTCAAGTTAGATGTATAGTAACGTCAAGATAGCTGTATAGTAACGTCAAGATAGCTGTATAGTAACATCAAGATAGCTGTATAGTAACGTCAAGATAGCTGTATAGTAACGTCAAGTTAGATGTATAGTAACGTCAAGATAGCTGTATAGTAACGTCAAGATAGCTGTATAGTAACATCAAGTTAGATGTATAGTAACGCCAAGTTAACTGTATAGTAACGTCAAGTTTTGAACCAATAACAAACGTTTAATTTATGCACGCCTCACGGTCAATTGCAAATGGCTGTAAAGCTCTCCCGAAAAATGTAATGGACCTTTTTTAACATTAATGTTTGCAGACTTATATCCCTTGAGCTCTGGAACTTTTTGTAATACGTAAATTGAAGAATTTAGGATCTGCCGTTTTCTAATTTACAAACTTTAAATATGTTTTATTTCGTTGTTGCACTACAAACTTGCGCTGGTGTTTTATCTAAAATATGTAGTTGTTTTGAAAAATGAGTCAGATTTATTTAAAATGAGAGAAAATAAATACATGATTAACGAATGGTTTGTTTGAAATGAAATAACTAGAAATCTCTAGTTTCAGATATAAAGATTATTGTCCAAAGACCATTATAGGTTTAGAGCAGGGGTCTCCAAACTACGGCCCGCGGGCCAGATGCGGCCCGTTGGGCCTCTCAATCCGGCCCGCAGAGATACTTAAGCAAAAAATAATAATATTATTAAACAAAATAAACTTTGTGCAGAAAGTTCACGTTATGTCGCAAGCCAACTAGCAAGAGTGGCTTACGTCAATTTTTCTCCCAGCTTCCTACTTCCGTTTCAAGCACATTGCGAAATTTAAAAAGCTGAAGGATAACGTGGAAATTTTTTATATTCTTCGGCCCTCAACATGCTGGATGAAAGTTCATGTGGCCCTCTGGCTGTAAAGTTTGGAGACCCCTGGTTTAGAGGATCATGTATTTAGAACAAAAATTTGCGTCATGAGAATTTTAAATTCAAATTTTCAATACTGACCGAAAAATCTTACTTGTAAAAATGTAGTGTCAGTTACTTGCCTAATATGAAATTTTCAATGATAATTTAGAGTTACATCTACCAAGTTTTATGTGGCATTGCCTATTGTCACTCACACAGAGTTTTACATCGAGATTTAAAACCTCAGAATTTACTCGTTAGTCACGATGGAGCAATTAAACTTGCCGATTTCGGTTTGGCTCGTGCTTTTGGCGTGCCAGTAAGGACATACACGCATGAAGTGGTCACGTTGTGGTATCGTGCTCCAGAGATTCTTTTAGGATGCCGTTATTATTCAACTCCTGTGGATATCTGGAGCATTGGGTGTATTTTCTCTGAATTGGTAGGTGTATGAATCGTCATTTACTTCGAGTAAAGTTTAATGTAAAGAAAGACGAATTATCAAATATTCGGTCATTTCTTGTTGTATTTTCTGTTATCTTTTATACAGAAGCGTAGAACAGGAAGGGGGTGTAGGGGCTGCCCTGTAATAATTTGCCACAGATTAAATATATATACTATTACAAGTACTTAGGAAGTTTTAAGTGAAATACTTGCCATATTATGTTGTGATGTTACATTGATTCATTGAAACCCACTCAAAAATTAGTTCTTTCCAACGCTACTGTTATTTACTTACATTTGATTGGGAAGCAATTTGAGAAATCTGTGGCTTATTCTTTATTACTTTTTCAGATTACTCGACGAGCATTGTTTCCAGGGGATTCAGAGATTGACCAGTTGTTCAGAGTGTTCAGGTAAGGAGCAATCATTGCAGGAAATACATGTACAGTACACACTCACTATAGTCGACAATTAGTCAACAATTAACCCCATATACATATGTACTTTTAAAGTAAATGATTTGAATCCGGAGTATCGTTACGTATTTGTAATAAACATATATAATTGAGAGTGGTGCTTATTTGGAAATTTTACTTTGACACTGACACTATGTATAACTATATATAGTTGAGAGTGGTGGTTATTTGGAAATTTTACTTTGACATTGACATTATGTATACTATATATAGTTGAGAGTGGTGGCAACTTTACTTTGACATTGACACTATGTATTACTATCTATAGTTGAGAATGTTTGTTATTTGGCAATTTTACTTTGACATTGACACTACGTATAACTATATATAGTTGAGAGTGGTGGTTATTTGGCAACTTTACTTTGACACTGACACTATGTATAACTATGTACTTTTCACTGTTGGATCTTTGTAATTCTTTGGTATTCTGAAGATTTTTCGACTGTACTAATGTTGAGACCGACTGCGTATACCTCAGGGGAGGTAACACCCCCAACATTTACGCCCCTGCACACATAACAATCGGCAAATCCTGTTGTTGATTTTGCTTTATCTTTGTTGCCTATACTAGACACCAGCTTTTGTTAATGATACCCGAATGTGAATGTGTTTTAATAGGGATATTGTCCGAGAGGCCAACATGTACCTTAAGATTTAATTAAGAATATTTTTGTCTTTTTAGAACTTTGGGTACGCCTAATGAAACCACATGGCCGGGTGTAACCAATTTATCAAATTTCAAATCTACATTTCCAAAGTGGAAGGAGCAAGGCTTAAGTAAAGTTTTTCCAACACTTTCACACGATGCCATCGATTTACTGAAGGTGTGTGAATGTGTTTCATATTTTGAGGGTTGCTATAGTTGTCCTATGGTTGTTGTAGTTGTCTTGTCTCCTGCGGTTGTGCTGTGGTTATCGTTGTTCGTCATTATATTTGAATATTAAGAATTCGGTTTGTTTATATAGAAAATGTTGACATATGAACCAAAGTCAAGAATTTCAGCCAAAATGGCGATGGCGCATCCACTGTTCAACGATGTTGCTATTCAAAGTCCGTCGTAAAAAGAAATTTATTACTTAAAGGCACATACAGTTTGTTACTATTTAAAAGTACATGATTCACCATTTTAAGGACATCTTTCCTTACGTAAATTGTTTCCTCTTATGTTTCAGCTTCTACAGATTTTCTCTATATTTATTAATTGCTATATAGAAAATCGAAATAATTACTGATCGTATAAAATTGGCAGTTATAAATTAATTCTTCATTAAATTACATCACTCTTAAATGTTCAACGTTAGCAGGAAGGTACACGCACCATTACGAGATCATGAATTTTCGAAACAATAAATTTCTAGATCGTCATGTTTACAAAGCCATTGTTATACTAGTCACTATGTTCACCTTCCCAGAGAAACTTTCTTCAGAGAAACTTATGAGGAATATATTTGAAATTCAATGGCGTACTCAAGGGTTGAAAATGTATCGGACCATCCCAGAAATATGAGACACAACTAGGAGAAAGTTCAGGTTTTTAGCTTTTAGGATGTAGCAATTTTCTCCTTTGCCCGTTAGCACAAAGCAGTATTGCGTCTGTCGATTCGTTTTTGGGACTGTATACTATCCTACTCTACGCGCAGTCGACACAAAATTCTCAATTTTACTCAATATAACTATTCCACATCACAGATAATCTTAAACATTTCAAGCTTTTACATTCACAGCCAGCGACAGAAGAAGCCTGACTTTCAACGTGTCACAACTAGTGATGGGCGATTACCGATTACTTGGTATCGATACCGCCCGATACCGAGCCAAATCCGGTAGTCAATACTGCGTGGTATCCAAAAGGACTTCGATTACTTTTAAATTTTATTATTATGTAAGTTTGTCTTTCTTTTCATTATTGGTTTTGACAAACATGTTGTTGTTTTTTCTGTTTTATTATTTTAATATTTTACTCACTTTTACTAAATAATACACTTTGAGATCTCGCCTTCAGAATAATAACATGTAACCAATTTTTTATTCGAATTTATACAGCTTCTGAAAATTTATCGTTACTCTTAATAATGTTATGACAGCTTGTAATTTAAGACAAGAAAAATAAAAATTTCGTCGTATTGTTGAAGTATATAAGGCCACACTTTGGCAATTTCATTATCAGATATTTATCAAGTGACTCAGACGTTTATTTTCGAAATTGGAGAAAGTAATCGCTTTAGTAATCGATACCTCGATACTTTTAAGAAAAAGTAATCGGTATCGTATCGATTCGATACTAGCGGTATCGCCCATCACCAGTCAGAACTTATAAAGTATTATCATAAGTTCCTATTTCCGTTCTTTCATAATTTCCTAGTATCAAATAACACTTATCTATTACTTATTTACATAAGTTCCGACACAGTAAATATATTACCTTATAGCGGTTAAAAAATTGAAAATTACTATCGTTAGCCTTAAATACATATTACAGGTGTCAGATGTACTAGGAAAAATTAATTTCATTACAAGGAGCAGAAATTATTCTTTTTTTGTGGTCGGTTTTTTCCATCCCTTGGCCCAACTGTACTGATAAAATCAAACGGTACCAACCATTGAGTTCTATAATAACTGGAGCGGCTATCTCCAACACGGCTTTAATTAGCGGCTGGCACCAAAAAGATGGAGGATTTGTTCCATTACCGCTGAGATTTACCGAAATTGACTGCTTTTCCGAAAATCTCACAATTTCTATCTCCCCCCTTAACTGTTAAGATTTGTTAACTCGGGACCTAAGGCTAGCAAAGAATTACAACTCTTCTCTTAAATTACAATAAACTCATTCCACCAGTCTGGTCTGTTGTTTCAATTCATCCTTTTAAAATATGACAGCTCTTCCAACTCCGCTTTCAGAAATATCACACTATTTAATTTCTATTGCGTGACTTCCGTTAATTAATTCATGAATTGTAAGTATATAAGTTTATGTATGGTTTGATTATTATCATTCTGTCTGAGGATGACTTTGAAATAAAGTCGAAAATTTACAGTTCACTTCGTTTCTTGTTCTGATTCACATTTTTACATCTCAAGATGTCTTGTTCCTTCGGAATTTGTTTTTTACTAAAGTCTTATAGAGTACTCTATAGTCGTATTTATGTCAATGGATCGTGACTAAAACACCACACGAGTACATACGAGTACATACAAGTACATACAACTGACATACGACTATATAGGGTTAGGGTTATATATATATATATATATACTTGTGACCAGTATGTAGTCGTATGTCACTCGTATGTTAGTCGTATGTACTCATATGTCACTCGTATGTACTCGTATGTTAGTCGTATGTACTCATATGTCACTCGTATGTACTCGTATGTTAGTCGTATGTACTCATATGTCACTCGTATGTACTTGTATGTACTCGTATGTACTCGTGTGGTGTTTTAGTCACGATCTATGTCAATGTGGTATTGTATGTTAGTGCAATCAGACTAAGTTACACAACATATTTGCAATAAGAATTTTCTTTTAATTAAGTTTTGAGAAAAAAACAATATATAATCTTTTCGTATTTCTGATAAAGATAACTAAATGACAAAAAAACCAAATATTTAAAATTTATTTTCTTGTAAGGTTTATCGTACAGTTGCTGCAATTGTTCAGCACGTTTTTGACTGGTAGGTTTGCTTCCCTACATTGCTTGGCAACATGGCCCATTCTTTTGCATATGTAGCAACGTCTTCCTGTTAAATATTCATAAGAAAGTTGTAGTTCATAACACTTTTTATTTGTTTGTGTCATTAGCTTATTTCTGTTAACAATAATGCATGCAACTTGAAGTTTTCAACCATCTAATCAAGCTGATGTTTTATCACTAGGTCAATCAAACTTACTTCTTCTCATACGATTAAACTCTATACAAAAAAAAGATACATAATTGTCAATTTCAATGTTCATGAAAAGTATGTTATTTGTCATTACTTTTTTCACATTCATTCATTTTGTGGCCTTTGTGGCCACAATTATAGCATCTTCCTTCATTAAAAAAACAATGGCAAATATCAGCCTGGCATCAAAAGCAATTATCAGCCTGGCATCAAAGGCAATTATTACATGTATACACTATACCTCACCTTTAAATGAATTTTTTGCTTTGACATTGCTTTCTATATAAACAAATAGTTTGTTAGGTGCTGTTTGATTTGTTGGGTGTATGATTAAATTTCAGGTTAAAAGACTCATGGTGAAAAGATTCAGGTGAAAAGATAAAAGTATCATGAGAGAGCTGACGGGTGTATATCATATATGAATGAGAACTTATATCAATATGAGTGATCATGAAAAAAAAATGACCACTCACCTCCTTTTCAGTGCTCTCCGTACATTCAATATCCTGCACCTGTTGAAATAATGTTGGCACTGCACCAAAGTCTAGATACACTTTTTCACCTGATATTCTCTTCACATTATCAGCAAAGTGATATGAGCAAATTCTGCTCCACATCGTTGGCACTGTAAGAGGCGACCATTTCTTTATATTCTCTATCCAGTCAGTGAAAACTGCTGGATCTTTTTTTTGGTCGGGAAAACTATTGTACAAATAGATTAGTAAATTTATGGTTTCATATGGTTTCGTTGACTCAACAAATAAGTAGAAAGAAAACATCGGTATATGCAATATTCAATACAATGTTTTTAACAAGTACAGCCTTAAAGATTTTTCGGCTTTCAATTGTACTCACTTTTCCATGTTTCACGAACATACAAAATAAAAAAACCTCACCAGTGAAAAGCGATGTGCTCTTTTTGTGAATATTTGGACATCCAACAATTGCACAACGAGTTGGCATTTTAAAAGAAATATTGTTTCGCGTTGGAAAAAATATAGCTTTGCTTATGAACAATTCAAACTGCATTTGCATTAAAGGCGGGAAAATCAATCTAACAACAAGCAGGAGGAGGTCGAGAATATAATTTTCCTGCAAAGCGATCATTTCAGCGGAAATAGGTGCATTGGCCGCCATTTTTTGGCGTCAGGTCCCAGTCCGCTTAGCCGCTCCAGTTTTTATAGAACTCTATGGTACCAACTAGGTGCTCATCCTGCAAGAAGTAACAGCTTAGAGCTATCAGCAATATTCATTGAACGATTAGGTATTTGACGATAGTTTCTATTCCTTTCATTCGACTACAAATGTACAATAGTGCAAGCAGACGGTCACAATAGGTAAAATGATAGAGTGGGCAAAGACTAGACCATGCCCAAATTTGAAACCCGTCCTATGTTATCATCAAAGCTCTGCGTATGTATTGCATGGTTACGGATCGCCTGGGTATGACTCGCCTAGTTATAAAGATTTATTCATTGACGTAAAAATGTCTTTGCATGAGAACGTGTTGGAAAATATACGTAGTATAAAATAATTAAAATTTCTATTCGCCAACTTCATGTTAACGTCAACACAAGCATCGTGCTTAAAAATAGGCACGCGTTGTATATTATGCACTTGCACTAAGGTACGTTACTGATTGGTGAAGATGATATCTAAAGAGATTTAGTCGCAAGGTCCAGCCTACTAATCGTATTTTGCGTAATAATCTAAGATCACAAACATTTGAATGTGATTTGTACTGGTCGAGTATCAAATATTGCTAACCACAACAGTGTTAGTTGTTTCTCACGATACATGACCACGAGAAAGAATACTCAACAATCTTACTGAAAAACGTGTTTCGAAATGTTGCAACACGGAATTTTTTCATTCTACGCTTGTATGAAATTAATTCTGTTAGTTTTTGAGTGCTTATATCGATGTTTTGATAACAAAATATTTTCATAAAATTTACAATTTGACATGATGCATAGTGTCTACGATTCTACTCTCACCTAGAGCTATTCCCAACCAATAAGTTACTCGTTCCCATTGCTTAGCACCCCTCAATATTAAACATACTTGACATTTTTCGCCTCTTGAAGAACTCTTCCCGTGTGTGGCGGTTGTGAGCAACATTCTCACCAAACCGCGGAGATCGCGAAGACGGGGGACGAAGGCATGGACCCCAATATTTCCATGGAGAAGTAATTTATCGGGTAGAATTAAGCTTTCTATCTAAGATTATGCTCTCATCATGCTATGCTTTTGAACAGGCTCAGCGATCATTGCTAAATGACCATTATGAAAATGGTCATAATGTCACATGATGAAAATAAGAATGGTGAGCAAGTCACACGATTTACAAGATTAACTTTTCGCCCAAGGGATAGATCTTGTATGCGACAAAGTAATCATACATATAACAAGAACATTTCTTAATCAATGAGCGGTGTTTATTAAACTTTTTTCTGATCCAGATTTCAGAGTGCGGTGTTAATAACGAGCATATTAAAGAGTCAGAGTGGCTTTTAATCAATCACGTGACACGTTTTAACTGTGACACTTAATTATCCGGGTAATTTCGTATTTCCATTTTCTCTTAGCTCTTCCATAAAGAGAGACGCAACAGACGCGACAATCTGGCGCTTAGAAGATGTTGAATATATATTCTTGCTGCATTGTGATCGCTATACTTTTTCTCTGTCATAATGGTGAGTAGCAAACACGTAATAAACGACTAATAGACTATAAGATTCACATATATCTTGGGGGGTACAAGTTCCATTGTAGTACAATGTTCAAGCCGTCAACTTCTAGGTTTATTATTTATGTAGTTGGAACAACGTACATTTATGCGCTTTCGTTGAGTGTATGTTTCCATTTTTCCTAAATAAAACATAAATATAATCCGAACCCAATACGATTTTCTACATGTTGAGATATATACATGAAATCAAAATGTCCTTTTAACGTGTTATTTCAAAGAAACAACAAACCACGTTTAAAGTTATTCGATAAAAATCGTTAATAAAATCAGTGCTTGTCTTGTTAAAAAATCGTGTTGTAAAGAAGTGATTGATAATTTTTGGTTGTTCAAGAAATTTTTGAAAAACTCCCAGTGCAATCTCGTGTGCAATTCACAACAACGTCTTCTATCTACACCAATGTATAAATTCATTATGATATTAGTTAATAATGCCCTACAAATAAGATTGTAGAAACCTACAATACTTTGTGGAAATGTTATATCAACATTATCAACAATAGTTCATTGTAGTTTCATCATTGTATTTATATGACCTAAGAAAGGCATGCTTGCTTTCATAGTCTTAAATGATAATAGTGAACATACTGTATTGAATTAAGAACAAAGTAATAGCTGTACTTAGGCAATATTTTTGTACCATGTTGTTTCACATACTTTATGTTGTGTAGCATAAAATGGAATTTATTGTAGGTTGATGCCTGAAATTGTAAATTTTCTCCATGTTTTGAAGTAAACATTAAATTGTAAAACAAGAAATATACTTTGTCTGTTTAAGTACAAGAATAAAATGTCCATTTTATTCTCAGTATATGATGTAAACAATTATTGACATAAGTCATGTAAGACTAACAACAAACATGGTAAAATTTTACCACAATCTAATTTGTGGTTGTTAACTACAAGAAGTATTTTTTAAATCCTTGCTTTAGCTTAACACTATAACACCTGTATTCTATAAGCTCACTAACACTCATGCTCACTGAGTGCAGCACAAAAATCGCACTCTCTAATCAATGGCAAAGTCATTACTTCATGAATGGCAAGATTTATACAACTATATTTTACATCAAGCAATCAGTGAAACAAGAAAACCATCTTTAAATTGTTATGAGGTTATTTCAAGGCTCCACTAAATGAGTATGAGCGAGCTTCAACACAATGAAAATGGTGACAGTAAGTTAATAATGTCACTACAAGACCTGTGTATGCTATGTCAGGAGCAAAGATTGAACAAAGTTCTTAATGAAAATGTGCTGTTTTTGACCAAATGCCACTCTACTTGTCATGTACTGGCTCATTATTTGTTCAGTATGAACAATTTTTCCATGGTCATGTATGATAACAAAATCACAAAACAATTGCTAAAATACTAAGTGTCTCACACAATTAATATGCCATGTTTCTTAAATGGTGTCCATCATTTTGTCTGAAAATTTCCACTTACGATTTTGCCACAAGAGTCCATTACTTTGTCTCAGCAATTTTGTAATGAAATCATTCACTTAAATAATGATGTCAATATTTTCAGGAGAATCGTATTGTTTACACTTGTACTAACTTAACTTACCATCATGATTGATTTTTAAATTGACCACATTCTTAGAACAGCTAACAACAGGTTTCTCATTGTAGCCTTTAATCCTGTACTTGTCTTCCTCCAAACCATCTTTAGTGCTAACTAAAAATATTGCATATTCTCAACATTTTCATGTAGTGTTTTAATGTAACATATTGACATTGCACCTAAGGTCACGAACATGTACTTCGGGAATACGATAGTTGGGGGGCAGCTATATTAGTATATTCAAATTAAATTTCAAAGGAACTCAATAAGACAGATCATGATCCCAATCATTAATTTTGGTATGTCCCTGCACCTAAATGTTACAAAATTTAATGATCTTAAACCTTTTCATTTTGAGCGCCATTCAAACATGTGTTTAGTTAGTGTATAAAGAGAAATCTACTCTTTCATTTAGTTTGCTTTGTTCTAAATTTACACTTTCACTCCTCACTATCACTGAACATTTAAATATTTCTGCAAATTATTGCCATAAACTCAACACAATGGAGTTGAGTTTAGTAAACATATTGAATATGATCAGACAGGTTTCAGCTGTTGTTGTGAGTAAGAGTAAGAAAGAGATGTCAAAGGAGTCAACTTAATTTGTCAAGGCCTTCGAGCTCCCAGTGTGTTAGTTTGTTTAGTAATATACATGAAAAAATAATATACATGAAAAAATAATATACATGAAAAAATTTCTCAATTTTGATTGGTTAAGAGCAGTGCAATTTATCATAAATAATATCGAAACACAGTGCAAAAAAAGGAAATACAGTGCAATTTACTTTTGGAAAATATGCTCCTGATTGGTTAGTCAAACAAAGAAGTGATATAAGAGCCAATCAAAATGCAACATTTTGAAGGCGGGAAAGTTAAATTATTGTAAACAAAGCAATTACAATGGCTGGCGTAAGTTTATGTAGATTTTCTTTGGCAAACAAGTTTACAGTTCACCGTTTGCAAGATGTTTGTGGATGAAAATATGAACACTGCTACAAGTGTGTGGAAGCTATGGTGTTGTGAAAAAAAATATCTGAAGGAATTGAAATACGAGCCGGTGGATAGATATTAATAACTCGCCCGCTGAAATGTACGTACGCTGAAGTTAATAATCAATAGAATTGAGAAATTCTTTTATGCATATTATTAATAAGTAATAGCGTAGCTACTCGTGCAATGTTTTTCCTAAATTGCACTCGAAACCATGCTATTATATATAAAAATTGATCACCATTTATGACATATCAGAGATACAATGTTTTTTCAGATTAAATGTCATCACAATTAAAGAGCTATTACCCCACACGGCTTGTCTTGCTACTTGTCCTAAAATGGCTTTTTACTCATTATTGTTGGCTGCCTGATCAGGAATGCTACGCAATGCAATACTTTCTTGTAATGAGCTTTTTTTTGTTGTGGAGTTAATTGTTACCATAGGCACTTGGCGAGTGCCAGATGGCGAGTTTCTATTGCCAGCTGAAAGAAATATTGCAGTAAAAGACTAAAAGTTAGGATGCCAAGGAGTGCCGCACCATTAATTTCTACTACAACGCTGCGGCAATCACTGCGAAAAGTAGAAACAGATTCCGAAAAATAATATAGTAGAAAAATAATGCCTTACTTTATTGTTGCGAAGGATTTACATCTCTCAATCTTGCGTGTAATTTGTTTAGTAAAGTAATTACAAAAAAAGTTGTAAGACAAGTTGCATTGTGTTACAGCGCCTATTTTCGCAGCTCGAATATGTTAATGTAAGATTTCATTTATAAATCAACTTTAACACTTCTAAAAGCAGTCCTATTGTGTCGTAGAAAAAGTTTTGAATTGTTTTTTAAAAAAGGGATTACCGAAGCGAATTTTTTTTTGACTGTTTTCTGTACGTGGAATATTCGACTGCGATAAAAACTTTCATATTTATGAAATGGTTTTCAAAAATAACTTATTGATATATTGTTAATTATTATAAAACTTTCCTACATCTAACTTTGAAGTAATGTCGACGTGCCTGTGTTTAAAGTATAATCATGTTTTTCAATGTATTGTTGACATGTAGTATTTGTCCATACCTAAAGAATTAACATGTCAAGGAACGTTGTTTTGTTATTCATAACACATGTTTAAAAACATAGTTTTACGACGTACAATGCTTATTACACTATTGGATATCGGGCGTGTTGATAATACAATCACTTTAATAGTAAACTTTAATGAATATAGCATCTTACTTGCATTCGGCGTTGTAATTTTAGCGATCGTTCAATCGCTGGCTTGTTTTTTCTCGATTTTTCCTATTGTCAAGACGCTAAGTTTTTGAAGATAGACTCCATTGTTGCGTTAAACCATGGTGAAACGCGAAAAGTTTTTCATACATATAGGTAGGCGACAATTTTGTGAAGAACAAAGTGGAGAATGGGACACACAGTGTGACCAGACTTTCTGAGAGTTAATTCCCAAACCAAGCCCCCAAAATTACAAAAAGTTACCCAAATTCGTTCCCATGCCTTCAATCAAATAAACGCCTCATATCTAAAACGCCCCCTTAAAATGGAAATTGCACCACTGACCACCATCTAATAAATCATTACGATAATATCATGATTACACTTATTTTTCGATTTGGCTCAGAATGAAACAAGACTTAGGTTTTTCTTCATTTGCTCACACCAAGGTGATGGAATGACATAAACGTCTCTCTCTAATAAACGCCTCCTATCAATAAACGTCATTTTCGGTATAACAAATTACTAACATAGCTAAATAATGCGAAATGTTGAACAACTACAACCACCCATAACCTAACCAGATATCGAGATATTTTATTGGTTTTGGTTTTGTGCTTCCATAGCTTAAAAATAAGCCTTCTGTTTTTCCGTACGAACAGAATTTTTTTACTATTATTTATAAATAGCGACACTGTTCTCAAAACGTGCAACTTTGACCTATGGAAATATCAAAACTTCATCGTCGTGAAAAACAAAAAGTTTAAAAGTTGCGAAAGTTACTATTTCAAAAAAATTACTTAAGTAATTACTAAAACTTTCTAATTACCAAAAACATACCAAAAAAGTCACAAATTCGTGAAAGTAATTAAAATCACCAAGTCTGGTCACACTGGTCAACGGGACTAGGAAAACCAAAAGCCAGAATTTCTAAAACAATCAATTTTGGTGACGATCCAGAAACATGCAGCAAAGAAATGATTCTTAATTAACATCATGTTATTCATTGTCTCTAGGTATGAGCGTTAACGCAACTCTATGTGAAGAGTTTACACTTAACAAAAATCCACTTACTCAAATCAAGTGTGATCGTGGTGGTTGTTTTGCTTTATGGAAAAATGTCAGTGGAAATATAACAGTACACCACAAAGGTTGCTGGACGAAGGGAAATGAAAAAATGCCAGATAAATGTCAAGGCATGTCTCAATCGTCTAATTTAATATTCTGCGACTGTGGCACCGATTTTTGTAATAGAAATTTATCTTGGGATGGAAGAAAAAGAGGTTAGTGTATTAATGAGATGATTTTTACAGTACTTTACCATTAACCTCGGTGTTTAAGTTAAACTCGTCAACACATAATCATACCGCTCTTTTAAATTTCTTCATTTATCTCATGACGATGTTTGCAGGCACATTAATATAAATTATTATATGGCAAGCGTCACTTCCGGAAAAATGGCGCGCTTTGATTGGCTCAGAAACAGTTTTGCCTGTCAATTATTTTCCCGTAATCGACCACGGTCCAAAACGCGTAATTTTACTGTCTAATGTAAACAAACTTCGTAAAGCAAACAGCAAAACGCAAAATAAACGAAATCATTTACAAATGTGATTCAAAGGAAAAACACTTGGAAAACAGTTTAACTATCCAGACGATACAATTTGAAACGATTTATTTTTTATGGACGACAACTAGTAAAGTGAAAGCCAACCTGTAAAAAAACACAGCAAAGGACGAGACAGAAAGCTAGCTTCGTTTCAGGTCAAACAATGCCTTATAATAAACCTTTTAATAACCTCGCTTTCTCGGTCTTTACTGAGAAATATCGGACCTCTGTCTTTTTGTACAAACCTCGACCTACAGGCTCGGTCTGTACAAGAAAACTTCCGTCCGATATTTCTCCGTAAAGATCTCGCGCTCGGCTATAAAGGGCTTATTAAAACGCTGACTTCATGCTTAATTTTGACTTATTTTATGTCAGCAGAACGATAGTTTGCTCTCGAGTTCAGGAAATATTACTAAATATTCTCGCACTGAGCATGCGTCAAATTTTTAATTCTTACTATTGGTCAGCGGTTATTATTTATATTGTTTCCTGTGTTTCAGCTTCCACCATCACGAACATTTCTTCCACAGTTGGACAGCCCTCCAAAAGCAATGATCATATCATATACGTCGTATTGGCTGTTGTTGTTCTTGCAATTTTGGTATTTTGTTCTTTATTATTTTCTTGAAAAGACGTGTTCTTAGAAAACCAGAAACAGAAAACATCAGCAAAGCCAGTGAGATTGAAACCTTGATGTCGCCGGATTTTGCCGACTTACCTCCGATTGATCCAAAGGAAGTATTATCTCAGGGTCAATTTTGCACTGTGAGAAAAGGTCGCATGGGATACAAAGATGTCGCTGTCAAAATCTTTCCCTTTGCCCAATTCTCCAAACCAACACCATCGGCTTTGACAGAAGAAGATATATACGTCGTGTGTAAACTTAATCATGAAAATATTCTTAAATTTGTTGGAAGACGCGTTCATGAGGAAGCAAACCAGCAAGAGCTTTGGCTTGTCACAGAATACATCGAACAAGGCTCTTTGTCTGATTTCCTGAAGCGCAACACAATCAACTGGGAAAACCTGTTTCACATGGCTCATGGCCTTGGGTATGGCGTATTTGCACTCTGAAATTCCAAAAGTAAAGCCTTCCATAGCTCATCGTGATATAAAGAGCAAAACATCCTTGTAAAAATAATCTTACATGTTGTATATCTGACTTTGGTCTTTCAATGAAGTTTGATAACAAAGATGGACCCGGTGATACTCACGGTCAGGTAAGTATTTTTTTCTTTCGATGCTATATTCGATTAATTTTATATTGGCAGTGGTTCTTATCATCAAAATGCATATTTTTATTCTCCTAAGGTTGGAACTCGCAGGTATATGGCCCCAGAAGTCCTTGAAGGTGCAATCAATTTTTCACGAGAAGCGTTTCTTCGTATTGATATGTATGCATTTGCACTTTGCCTTTGGGAGCTACTCACAAGATGTACCGCATTGCAAGGAGGTTTGTTTGTTTTATAGTAAGCTTTCAACTCGTTTAGTGAGATCAATGGCTGAGGAAAAATTATTAAAAGTTTATTTTACATTGAAATTATAAAAAATTAGAATTATTTTTTCCTTTTTTTATAAAGCAACGTCTGTTGTACTGATGTCAAAATCTTTTTATTATTTTTGGGTTGATTTTATTTATTTCGTGCAATTAGTTTCGATAGTATATTATTATTATACAACATATGTTTTTAGATCGAACGCCTGAGTATAAATTGCCGTTTGAAGAAGAAGTAGGCATCCATCCTACGTTGGAGGAACTTCAAGATTATGTCGTTAATAAAAAATTACGACCTAGTATTTCGTATGAAATGAAGAACAAAGATCAAGTAAGTCTAAAAGTGCAATATTAAATCCTTTTTGAAAAAATCGACATATGGCCCTTAAATAGAGACATTGTAAGGGTATTCGTTTAATAAATTATGCAAACTATGGATGCATAAATGATGCATTTTGCCATGCTTGGACTGGCTCCAATTTAGAGGCCTTGACATTTCAACTCTTAGAAGGCCCTGAAAACTAACCCTGCACAATTTGAAATTTAGACTTCAGATTCTCTGAAAGGCATTTCTCACATTTAAGATAAAAGTTTTTATTGTAATTCTGAAGCATAAATTATTGAAGGATTTATATCATCAACATGCAACAATTTACGTTTCAGAGCCGTTGCTTATTGAGTAAAATAGTTCTACTAAAGTGTTTTACAAAACAGAAGTTCCATTTCCGATTACTTTAACGATGGTCCAAATTACTATACATTCCTTTGTTCTTCGTCGTTTTAAATATTGTTTTTACTACCTGTACTTTGTCTTGCTTTAAAATTGTTTTACTGTTTGCTATAATTGTAACTCATTTCACAAGTACGATAATTAAATTATTCCTTCAATTTCAGTTATATTTGATATCATATAGATGTGTCACCTTAATAAAGGGCTCATTTTGATCTTCTAGTTGGGGTTGGGGCACACGAATCATAATTGCTTTTATGCTTGATTTCTTTGTATATTAATATTTTGCAATAAATCTGCCCTTGTTTTTGACCATTGCGTACAACACATTGGCACATAGGCCAGCCCGAGCCTGCATTTTACCCATTTTATATCTTTATTAGCAAATGTCTCAACAAGAATTTCAACTTATTTTTTTTAAGGCTATTGATGGCATGTTAGTCACAATAGAAGAATGCTGGGATCACGATGCCGACGCTCGTCTTACTGCTGATTGTGTGGCTGAAAGAATAAAACAGTACTTCGAAAATGGAAAACGGCAGGCTAACACTATTTTTACTGGCATGCATATACAGCTTGAGAAAGAGAACGAACTGTTGGCATAGTAAAACACAGATCTTGATTTTATATTATGAATAAAGGCCTGTTTCAAACGTTGCATTTTACATGAGCTGAGTGCAATTAACACAAAAGATGATGAGGCATTTTATCTCATTTTCTTTTGTCTTTAAAGTGTTCGGCTCATGTAAAACGCGACGTTTGAAACAGGCTAACTGTTGCGCAGGAAACGCAATTTTTATTTCTCTTGCCCTTTAAATGTTCTTTTAGAACATTTTTGATTGGTTTGTTCGACAATGAACGTTTCTCAAGCTGTCAATGCTACTGGGTACCATTTTTTTCATGAAAATTTTATTTAGTTATTCTCCTAGGTCTAGGCACAGTATGGAAACAAACAATAGTCCCACTTCGCTGTACGACGTAGTGCTGCATATTTAATTTGATTACTGGCTACGGCTGGTCACCTCAGCGTTCCTATTGGTCAGAACATGCAATTGAGGGCCACAAGTTTTTCACACTTGTTGTGTCACGTGTTACCCTCTTTTAATAAAGTTTAATCAATCAATAATCAATCAACTAGCTGCCACTATGGTAATCCCATGCGCAAGATATGCCCTACTCATAAAAAATTAAGTAGAGTGGGACTACATTTTATTTCTATACTGTGGTCTAGGTGTCATGTATATAGTTAAGGCAAATCTGCCAAGCATAGAAATTTAAGCTTTATGTGTGTGTGTCATTCACATATGCGCATAACTGTATATGTCATGAACAAAGTTCGTGAAAACGAATTCGTACTTCGTAAACCAAAATGAACATAGTTTATCGAGTTTACTAAGTCGTTACATTTTAACCGGATATTTTTTCCCACCAAAACTGATCTACAAGTCTTTAATCATCATCGCAACTCCGGTGTTGCTTACAGCATAACAGAACATCTGGTTTGACTGCAAAAAAAGTCAAAAACTGCTGATCAACTAAGCTAACTGTTACAGGGAAGTATATTGTTTCTTCCCAGATGATGTACACAGTATGTACATAGTATGTACATTTTTAGTTGCATTACTTATAATTATTTTAGTACCATAGTCAATCAAAGCTATTTCATAGCAAATTCTTCGTTACCGATGATACAGGTGATATACGCAAGCTCTGGTGCAATCATTAAAACACATCCTAGATTTTAAAAAAAAATGCATCTCTTACACATTGAAAATGAATAGAAAATTGCCATGATCGTTTTCTTGTATTTGTCTACTATTTTAAGTAATATATCGATCATTTAAAGGTTGCTCATAGCTTGCTGCAAACTTTTGCATCTGAGGCAAAAAATTGTGTTTATTAATAAGTAAAATATCTCTTCGTGGTATGGACGTAAATGCCAGATTAAACGAGAGTTTACAATGTTATACTATTTTACGACTAGTTCAACTTGTGTAGGTGGTACTCATACCGCTTGACCATCAAAGCAATTAAAGATACCAACGCAAAATACAAAAAGCATTTGGAAGGAAAGCTTTGTGAGCCTACGAAAGTTATTTAAGTTAGCGTTTCCTGTCTATTCATGAAGTGAAAATAGACGTATACAATTTGATCACTTAGCCTATCATATATTAGTCGATAAATCAACTACAAGCTAATTGATGGGTATATATCGCATACGCAATCGCCAATATTTCTCGGGAATGATAAAATGAATATGTGAGGGATTGTTTCTTAAAATATATAAAATATTATAATTATTTGTAGATTAGTCTGTTTTATTATATCATTACGAATTTTTGATGTTTTAACAAATTTCATCATTGTAATAACTTTTATGTGTTCATTGAATAAATATAAATTACATGTATATTGAAGTTAGTGATTGTCTAAGTAAGTGCTAATGTCAGCATTTCCCTGGTTTACTTTCTAGAACTATGGCATGCTATTTCTGGAAATTTTTCACACCATCAAAAGCGCGACTACCTCTTTTTTAAATAAATGCATTTTGTTGAGCTATTGAGAATAACAATACCTTATAATAAATAAACAGAGGTACCTTGCTGCTTTTTCTATTTTTCAAAAAGTGCAATTGTTGGCGGCCTTTACGTAATGGGACTTGCGTGACGTGGAAAAACTGTTGTCTGTTCCCGGAATTGAACTGTGCTGCTGAGGCCGTGCTCATTTTATGGCCTGTGCTAAATGTGCATTTTTAATTTTGTTCATCTTATAATCGACTCAATGACGGTGGTCTGTTTTTGAAGTTTGCCAGCTGTGACCATGTTTTGACCTGGTGTGACCACTGACCACTGTGTTTGTGACACCACTTCGATAATTGAGACAGCTTGAAAATTAACTCAAATATCGCTCCAGATATATGTCAGGTCAGTGATATTCGACGCGCCATTTATAAAATTGTTTTAAAGATATTCAAAAGAAAATTTCTGTCATTATGGAACAAAATAATTCCCAGCAAAAGCGTCAAGAAGAACTGGACGTGTTTATTTGTAAGCTCGATCAAATTGAGGAAAAGTTTTTAAACGAATGGACAGGCGAAACGCTTCATAATCTAAATAAACTTTCACATGAGAATGTGGAAGCAAACTTTGAAAGTCGGAAAGGTGAATTCATAGTCAATTTGTTCTTATAAAAGATGAAACATCTCAGACTAAGAGTCTTTTAATTTGTGTTTTAAAGCAAGAATCGAGGAAATTAATAACAAGATTCTGCAAGATCGCGCTAAGGTTGAACAAATTTGTTCAGGTACAAAAATCGTTACATAGCACTGTTTTTGTAGCATTTTCTTCAATTCGTCAGCAATTTGATTTAAGGATTTTATTGGAAGAGAGGGCACAACTTTTTGATGCAGATTAAGGAAGGGAAATTCAAAAGATGTGATGCTGTAGTATAGTATTTACACATATTATTAAATTTGAATCATATTCAATAAAAATGTTTGAACTCATAATTGAGAAATTGCTTATCATTAACTAACAATCATGTTGATAGTTTGGGCACAAAAATTTTTCTTTATCCTGACCTTATTTCCCGTAACTACTAGAACATACTATTTAAGATTTGCAAATGATTTGTGATCTTTTGAAATCATCTTTGAAAAAGACAATTTATGATTGCTTATGATTTTTTTTGAGACTTGCTTACTATGACGACTTAAGATACCTTATTTTACTTTTATTCAACCAGTAAACACCAAAGGTATTTATTCATCAGATTCCTGGGGATATTTGTTCAAACAAAACACATTAAAAGTGAGGGCATTTCGCAATCTAAGTTTTGTGCTTAATCCTAACAAGCTGTGTATCATTTGATGCCTTGCTCCAATGTTGCCAAGTGCATTGCACTTATAAAAAAATGCTCAATGCAATCAACTCACTGTATATTATTTTCAAAGTGTCATTTTTTGAGCACACTCATAACCATGTAATTGCACATAAATAGTTGTTCTGCACAATCCTAACTGAAGGAAAATTTTATTGACCACCCCCCTCTCCTTCCATGAAAATATAACCAATAAAACTGCTCTTAATTTTTTTGATAGCTAAAAAAGAGCAAGAAGCTACTTTGGTGTCTGTGAACAAAGAGTTTGAGAAGTTAACTGTTCAGACTAAGGAACTCTCGGAGAAAAGAGTTTTGAAAGAGAAGCATTTGAATGATTCCAAACAGCAAAATATTCAAGAACAACAAGGTGAAGTCATGTGATGTTTTGGTTTGTAATTTGCAACATAAATGCTTGTAAAACTCAAAAATGTTGCTTACTTAGGAATCGAGTCAAATACATTTTAGAAATGATGCTAATGAAGAACAAACAACTGTAACACATTTGATCTGATTTAATTTTAGTACTTTAATCAATATGTTGACACTATGTATGATTACATAAATGGTACAATCAAGGAATAGTTAGAATTCAAGCTATACAAAAAACAAGCCACATTCAGATAGAAAGTACATGGTAGGTCCACTTCTTATTGAATCCCATGCAGTTTATCTTTGGATGTTGTTTTTAACTCATCAACATTGTTGAGATGTACGAGTTTTACCTTTTTCTTCCCTTAGGACTAAATGTTCTTACTGGGATTGAGATATGGTGCATTAGCTGAGCAATCAAGCTCACTATTATCACATTCACCAAACCAACGCGTTGCTTTTTTTATCTCTATACGCAGGAGTAAATCTTGCTGAAAATATAAGATCAGCATCAATTGATCACCAAAGATTTTCTCCCGATTAAAGCAAAAACGCAGTAAGATGTTCGGGTTGACAAGCGCATTATTTTTTTTACGAAACAAAAGAAAACAACATAGAGTGCGATGATTGTGTTTCGGGTAACAGTTTAGTAGAGGGAACGCAAGAATTACTACTATTTTTTCTTTATGCGTCGTTGTGTTGTTGCTTTCACCTAAACATGTTTCTGATGTTCCAATGTGTTTTTACTATCGAAATCATTGCCAAGTGTAGTTCATTTGATCTTATAGCATGTCGAAAAGCATCTGAAAAAATGCAGTTAAAGATGAATCAATTTAGCAAGGGCTTAACACTGTTTCAAAAATATCTTGGTTTTACATTTGAAAAAATTGAAAGTAAGTAAAAAAAGATATATTTACACGCATTTTGCTTGTTATAAAGATCTCTAAAACATAAGTCCACGTGTTATCTATTATTCGTGTTGATAAGACTATGCCCTTTTTGTTTCCTTCAGAAGACTTGCTAAAGTTTATTTTCAAATTTATCAATCCCGACGATCCTGAAGCGCCTTATTCGTTCACGGTTCACGTGGATGAAATAACAGGAGTGTATAGCGGTTTGTGTTTGCTCTTTATAATGCTTTGCTGTTTGATAGAAGTAGGGAAATATTGTTCGTAGATGTTGACTTTTTAGTTTATAATGCAATCCTGAGAATGACTGTTGATATTGATGTTGAGTGACGTTTCACTTTACTCTGAAGATGACTATCGCTAAGGATGTCAAAACGTCTGTCAACATCATCGTTTTCCTTACGTCATATATATTTTATCAAACATTATCACATCCATTGATTTTGCATTCTATTTTTGGTAGTCACTGATTGCTCTCCCATGATTGACCAACTGGACGATTTCGTTGGAAAACTGAATAAAACAAACGATTTTTCACTTTTTATCGTCAGAATACGTCAAAGCTTCAAGCAAATGGCATGCAAAGTGTAGTATGTATGATTTTTTCATACGTATTTAAAGAATTATTGAATATTGCTTTTGTGCATAACGTATATAGTCTCAGTAGGTAATCACGGTGCAATATGTATGCTTTAATGTTAGCTGATATATGCACTACGTATTTGCAAGTTGCTATTGGCAAAAAAATTATCTTTCCACTGCCTTTTGACAAAATGTGACGTTGCAATTAGGCTGAAACGTCCAAAATGTAAAATAATACTTTGTTGCCAAAATATTAATTATCATTGTACAAGAGCTTTCATGCTGGCCCAAAGCCATCTTGGATTGGCCATAATTTCTGTGCCCAAGTTCATAAAGATACGAGCAACTCCGTGGAAACAAACAGTCCAATTGCAAAATCAAGTGCAATGCAAATACAAATTGTGTGAAAATTAGTCATTGCACAAATTGCATTTCCAATCAAATTACAATCGTTGTATTTGTTGTACACGTCACGCATTGATCGTGGGCTCTTTTTCTTTTTACCAGAGACCTGGTATAAACCAGTGGTATCAATCGAATAACTATAATATTGATTTTCACTAGTTTGTACGTATTTGTGTGTTTAGGTAGAAAGAGTGTGTAAACCACGAGATTTTGATAAAAAAAGGCACTAGATAAAGGGAGACAAGCAAGCATTAAAGCAATCTTAAAATAAGTTGAAAACTATTTATACAAGCTCACTAAGTTGGTCAATGAAACTTCATCAATCTAATAATGATAGCTTAAAACTTATTGAAATACATATAATAAGCTTGTCTAAATCTATTTTACTTTAAGTACCACTCCAATGCTCACGAAAGAACTGTAGAAATGCTTGAGGTCGTCGTTGTTGACGTTGCTACTTAAATCTTAGTTCTTTGACATAACTGAATAGGATATTACGTGTTTTGTATTACTATATTTCTAAAATCATTTCGTTGTAACGATGTAAATTGTACATTAAAAACCCAATCTTAACAGAAGCATGAAACGACAAGGTTGTCTCAATTGCAAACCCTACTAAGAATACTTGAATTGTAAATATTTGCTTAGTTTGAGCTGTAAAGGTTTACGTAATTAAATCTAGTATTAAGATAGGATATTGGATCAGTGTCAGTAAAAAATAGTATGGGTATTAAAATCATTAGCTATGATATGCTAAAATAAAACGTTTTCACATTACGCAAATTGATTCTAAAAAATTTCATAAATATTGAAATTCGATATTCTACAAATAAAACAATACATCAGAACTCAACAATACGAAGGTTCATTTATTTTTACATACTAAATTACTTAAAATTTTTACTTTTCTTTTGGAACAACAATAACTGGAATATTCGCTCGACGAACAACATAATCACTAACGCTGCCGAATAATGACCGAGAAATTTTCCCCAAACCACGAGTGCCAATTATAATAAAGTTTACGTTGCGTTTGAGTGCCTCATCGCAGATTGTTTGTCCAGCGCGTCCCGGTACTGTAACTGGCGTATAATGCTCTAGAATCTTCAAAAAGAAAGTACAATAACTTTTGTTGAACCTTCTCATTCTTTAACAGAACAATACCATTCTTCTACACTCCTTAAAATAACTTTCATTATCAGACTGTGAGTATAAGCACACTTGTAATTGATTTTTCTCTTATTTTAGACGAACCAAAATATCTACTATCTTTCACCAAGACTATATTTATAGGTGGGTTTAAACATAGTAAATAGCACTTAGTTTAACTGTCTCATTCATTACACCTTGAAACATCGTAATTTATAATTTCAAACAAACTGTTTGTCAGTCTTCATTATAGTAATTTTTACCTCGTATGCAGCGCATTTATCTAGAAATCTCTGCATAACTATTTCAGCTCCCAATTTTGCTTCAGTCATGCTAGCTTTCCATGATAAAAGTCTGATTCAGGCTCAACTAAAAATAATTCAGGGTATAAGTATTCATATAAAAAAGCGATTCATATATTTAATCAAATACCAAAATCTTGACATCACAAGCAAGTCCCATTTTAAACAATTTATTTTTCATTCACAACGATTCAAGCATTTTAGCATCTTTTGCACAGCCGTAATAGTGTACTTACAAAATTATTAACTATTTAAAACATATTGACTTTGACATCATGCTACGCCCAGTGAGTATTTGACAGTGAACTCTATAACAACGTATATAGTTCAACGTATAGATTTGTATTAGTATTTACTGGTATTTGATAATCTAAGTACTCGTGAATGTAAATGTTTTTTTTAATAATACTCTGTACACATTTTTTGAGCCACTTAGTATTTAAGGAAACAATGAAAAACAGGGAAAGCTGATAAAATTCCCGAAACTACTATTCATAGCCATTATGTCTAGTCGTTCCTTCCTGTCCGAAGCAGTGTATTTGTAGTCATTAATTCATAATGACAATAATAATAATATGTTATTGTGAAAAACGCATACTGTTCAACAGACAGCTCACCTTGGTATCGACCACTTTGTAAAGTTGGTACTTCAAATACATGAACAAGAATAACTTTAGTTTCTCTTGTGTGTATATGCGTTACATACCCTGTAGAAATAAAGCAAATGAACAACATCGATTTGTTTGTCTTGTAGGACTCGTAAAGAGAACGCCATTAATCACTGTCATGAAAAACATTATTCGATGTTTTGAGTATGTAAATCAGTAGGTAGGTAGTTGAAGTTTCGTTTCATGTATAGCTCTATTGATTGCTTTTGATAATTATTGTACTTACATATGACCTGCGTGCATTTATATTTTTCTTTGAGGTAAAAAAAAAAAGTTGCTTAACCTGTGCATTCAGAATATGTATTTAATATAAAAACGTATAGAACGTGTTTGTTCAGCAAATGGTAGTGTTTGCAACGAGAGTAAATATTTTTTGAGGGTGTATAAACAAGATTTCGCCGTATATAAATGAATGATGTACCACTTTACACAAAACACTCTCATCACAAAAAATACTGGACTGCCTATAGAGTCTGCACCTGTATCTGCAAATGTTTTCATCTGGCATTTGTAGTGATTTCTAATTTCAATATATATTGCCGATAACAATCAGGGTTTCATCTATGCGATTAAAAGATATTAAAATTTACACTTTGTGAAACGACCGAAGTCCTTTACTCAACCCGAAAATTATTTGGCTTAACCTAAAAACATTGGACTTATTAATAAAAAGTATAACAGTACATATTGAAGAACACATATTGAACAATATACTTTGAAAAATACACGCAACAACACATGTCAATAAACGTTGAAAAAACCCATTGCCGGAACACTGCACGTTGAACAAACAATCAAACAACACATGTTGATTTTTGTCGCACGTGAACTAAATTCCAACAACTTGTTTACCAGTTATGGCTGAGTTACTTCAGAAAAGTAACCACTAAACATGTTGATGTAAAGAAAATCGTCAGTAAGTAGCACTTAGAAATTTACTTGTTGAAAAGCAAAAGAACTTTGTAGCTATTTTAATATGAGTTGTACACATGCACAGCAAGAACAGCAGCACATATGATGTGTATTTTATTTTGATACACAACAGTTAGCATGCATGAAGACTTTAAATCAATCCAACTTGCAGAATGTTTCAAATAGTACAAATTCTAACATAGTCATAAGGTTGCATTACTGATAAAACAACTGTATTTCCCATAAATGAACTTAGTTGCCATGAAACCATTAAAATAGTGTATATAAAACCCAATTGTTTTGAAAATGGAAAGTTTCAACCACAACACAGGCAAATCCATGATTTCATCCAGGTAAGGCTGTTTTTTTTGAGATGTCAAAACGTAATAACATTTTAATTGATGAATTATCAATCAAATTATCCTAACTGAAGAGGTGTTTGCACCCTTTAAACCTCTCTCTAAATCCACTCCTGCATACTGTTTATGTACAAGTAATTTTTGTAAATTTCAACAATTAATTGAAATTACATATAAAAACTATAATTACTAATATCCTCGGAATATACCATGTCTCTTTGCATTATCTGTATGATCTACCAATGCTGTCTTCCTTATAGATTGTTGTGAAGCTTTTGACTGGGGGGGGGAGTGGGCTACAAACCCCCAAAGATGCGGAAGTTGGTAGCTATTAATGGATCCAGGACAAAGTTCAGGAATCATGCTTTAGTAAATCTTAAAATATAAAGCCCCCACCACCATTCCTTTCAATGACTCACGAGAGAAATTTTCCTCTAATCTTTAAACAATTAACATGGTTTATTTTGAACAATTATTGATGTAACACCAAGTAAATGTAGGTTATTTACCAATTAGCAGCAGGGTACATATCAATTTTGTTGTGGTGTGTAGTCCCAAATGAGACAGACTAATTGCCTACAAAAATTCAACAGTACCAAAACAAACATAGTCTTGAGTCATGAACCTCAAACAATGTCAAATATGGCATTTGCGAAGCTAACTTTAAACAATTAAAATTTCTTTCTTAGAGCATATGTACTTGAGAGTGGTGTTTATTTGGCAACTTTACTTTGACACTGACACTATGTATAACTATATATAGTTGAGAGTGGTGTTTATTTGGCAACTTTACTTTGACACTGACACTATGTACAACTATATATAGTTGAGAGTGGTGGTTATTTGTAAATTTTACTTTGAAACTGACACTATGTATAACTATGTAGTTTTCACTGTTGGGTCTATGTAAATCTTCACTATGACACAGGTTTTTTGAACCTACTGTGTTATATTGCAGGGGGATGGGGGGATTGTAACACCCCCAACACCCCATATATTAATGCCCCAGAATTTTTTAGAGCTTATTTTGAAATAAAGCAAGCCCTGCTAAATTTACCTAATTTTGCTATTTCCTTCTTGACAAGCATGCTTGCAAGGGTAATAGAAGTACTGACGAAGAAAAATACTTAAGACGAATATTATTAAATCTTAGTTGACAGAAGCAAAAGCATGGTTTCCATATTGTTGTAAAAGTGTCCAGATAATGTCATACAAAAGTCTACTTTACAAAGTTTAATAATGAGCGTGAACGTATCCACCGCAATAATGAAAATGCGTATAAATTAACGAGTATAGTCTCATTTCTACTATGCTCATCGTCATCTGGAAACCAGTACTTCTTCTAAATATCCTATTCCTAGATTTTAATAAATCAAACTTTCGGTTTGTTTATACGTATTACATAAAAGTATGTAAACTTACATTCAAATGCTTTTTCACTGTTTTGACTTCCATCAACGGCAATCAATACCACACGCTCCGTAGGCTTGTTTTCTTCTGCAGCCATCTTTTTAGGCAGATATCAAGATTTTCAATTGGTTAGTCGACAGGCAATTTCAAGTTATACGCCAAAAAATTTGATTCGCGGCGCCCGCTGCTTATAAGAGAGAAAGGTAATAAAAATTGCAATGTAAAGTGAGCAAAGTTATTATAACGTTGACAGCTCTATTTATGTTGCACCTAGCGACTAATTAAGAACATCTATATAAGTGGTATGAAAAGTGGTTGGGCAAATGTTTTATTCATTGATTTTATATAAAGCGTTGGCGTTCTGAAAAAGATCGCAAAAATATTCATCATCTTTCATAACATGTAAATTCAACATATTTCACAATAATGACATATTTGTAATCGGTCTGATTTGTATATTATTTCGAAAGCCAAGTACTATTTTGGTTTTTTCCTTTTCTCCCCCGTGTTGTCTAATTCTTTCAAAGTCTAACTAAGCAGATATTTAGCTTTATTGTATTATTAATTTATTCGTTGTTACTTACAGTTGTATTTTATATTATATTTATTTACAACAACGAATGTTTTAGTTAAAATCAATCCGTAAAGTTTGGTCGAAACTTATTAATCCCCCGGCGGGAGGGGAATATATAAATCCATTTTTTGTTTACGGAAAGCAGAGAGTGGGCGTATATTATATATTGATTTTATTAATGTTTTATTGTGTTGCCGCTTTCTCAGCCTCACAGATAAAGCATTATTTCATAGCGTTTACTCAACGAGCTTAAAAAGTGCTTGAAAAGTCAACATGTCTTTCAAAGTATTGATTCCCGTTGATGGCAGCGAAAATAGCGAGAAAGCCTACGATTGTAAGTAAAACGATCATCTATTGCTGCTATGAATGCTGACGATAACAGCTTTGGAAATAAAGATTGCGCATGATAATGAAATGACAGAATGTTATTGAGTTGATTGAATTGATTGTACTTTTTACATTCAGCGCAAAATAACGTCAAATAATTCCTTACTTTCTTCAAAAGACAACTTTGATTGTGGAGATTTTGTGACTATTTCATAGGATACTTCCTGTCTTATACCATAGTGAAATCATTTATAGATATCTAAAAGACGAGGGATGCGATATGTTGAAAGTTGATTCATTCTTAGCTAATATGTATGTGTTAAAAATAATCCGCTACATAAATTTCATCTTTGATGAGCTTTTTGTATGGCTGTCCACTCCGCTCGCCCGGATTTTAATGACGAATTTGTGACTAGTTGCCTTGAACATTTTAACATTTTCGCTTGCGCTATATTTATTAATCAATATGACCTGCTTGCGCAATATGTAGATAAATAATGGTAATAACAGTCAGCAACTTGTGCATTGCTTTTCATATGCTTGCATTCCCATGTAAACGTTATGCTAGTGAATTAAGTAAAAGATAAGGAGGAAAAAAACTTCATTGATTGTTTTAGATTACACCTTTCATTGCTCATGAATAATATCGAGCTACAATATGATCTTAAAATATTTCTGCAGTATGGATTATCTTTTCGTATGAACTGCTATACATAACTAATATTAAATATTTATTCTTTATTTTATGCAATAATCATTTTTGCAATCAATGTCATATTTCTTTTTATAGGGTATGTAAAAATATGTATCAGCCAAGTCATGAAGTGATAATTTTCCATGCTCATGTGCCCCCACATCTGTCTACATTTTCTTTTAAAGGTTATTTATGATTTACTTCTTTGTATCTCAGTATCCATGATATAGATGGACTTACTTCCATCTTAGTTTAGAGTTTGTACTTTCTCAAATTTACAAGCTTGCATGCTTGCATACATGGAAATGACTCATTGTCTTAGGCACTTTCATGGTGAGAAAATATTTGTTACAAGTAATGGGCATTTCTGTCTAGTGTTTTAAAATTTTTCAATTTTGTAAAAAATGTTATCATTCTATAATTCATGATTAAAACAATACTTTGCGTGCATTTAGCTAAGCTATGTACAAGGAATGTTTATAGTCACTTAAAAAATTCTATCACTCATAATTATTAATTTACTATTTTGTTTTAAAAATTTCACAGATTTCATGCATGTCCCTGCTGAAGAATGGCAGCAAAAAATGGAGGCCAGTGTGAAAGAAGTGCAAAAATTGGAAAATCACTATATAACTAAATACCAAAGCAAAGTAATTTCATTTTTATTCTTGCTTTCACTGCTTTTGACCTGTGACAGTGTTTTTCAAAACTAAAATGAATTACAGCATCATGATCATAGATATAAAAAGTTTTTTTACAAACAGAGATGTTGCAAATTTAATTTAGCTTGACATATTACACTACATAGCAACTGCTTTGCACATTTACAATTTATGCATGAATTTTGTTTATATATCAATTGTGAAATGTTCTTGACTTTTAGTATTGTTGATCTAACATGCATTTATATCAAAATTTCTTGGATATTTTAACTCGTACTGTTTTATTGTCCTACTTATGTACATTTTAGGTTAAGCCTAAGTTCATCTCAGAGAATTGCAACAAGCCTGGTGAGGCAATTTGCAAGTGTGCTAAAGCTCAAGAGGTTGACTTGATTCTGATGGGAACTCGAGGACTTGGTTCATTACGTCGCACAGTACTTGGTAGTGTTAGTGATTATGTTCTTCATCATGCTGAACGTCCTGTATCGGTAGTTCCCACACACTAGATCACTTTTTTTTGTTATTTCTTTCTTCTACTTTTGTATCAGCTACTTAACTATAATGTTACAAGTTTCCAAGTAAAATTGTTCTGAAATTTCTTACAAAACAACCGCACATACCAGCAGCATTCAACAACAAGATCTTTAAGTATAAGTGATATCTAGCTACTTTTCTATTTGAAGAGATTCTGATTAGAGTATCTCGACTGGTAATCAATTAAAATAATTGTGAAAATTGCAAATAATATTCTGTCTTTTTGTATTATTGCTTTGTTCATTTTATGTTACAAAGTCCAATAAATCCTTTTTTAGTTACGGTAAATAAGTTATAAAGTAAATGGTTTGAACCCGGGAGTATCGTTATATGTTTGTAAATGATGATCGTCCAGGTTAATAAAGTCCTGAGAAGGACTGTTTTTGTTGTTGTTGACTGACGTTTCGACAACCTTAGCGGTAGTCATCTTCAGAGTCAAATGACTAAATTCATTTGACTCTGAAGATGACTACCATAATCAACAACAACAATCCTTCTCAACTCGGACGATCATCATTTAAACAAATAAATAAGTTATTTAAAAGTTTGATGAATTATTTCAAGATTGAGTTCTGCTTGTTAGTTTCTGTGGTCAGTTACCAATTCAAATAAATCGTACAGACTTCGTTGCCTTTTCCAATTAAGTAATGGTATTTAGTGTAACTTGTGTATGTAGCAAACTCTGCAAGCTTGGGAAGTTTTTTAAATTCTTTGAGGGATAAAACGCTTATTTGAGAGGCGTTTTTCAAAGAGAAACGTTTATTTCAAAAGTTCGAAATTATAGCTTCAGATAAGTCCAATGTAGACAAAATCTATAGTTTCTATTCTGATGCAGCTAAATTTAATGGGCAAATATAACTGTAATAATGGGAAAATCGTCGTTTTAATAGAAGACTGACTGACAGAGTAAAACTGAACTATCTATATAACAAGTCAAAGCAATAACCTTCAAAATATTCTTAGAACGTTGCCATGTGTCATATGAACAAACGTTTCCTTGAATCCCAACTTCTCCCCACCAGATCGCACGTCTATTCTCTGTTTCTCCATTTTCGCAACAAACATTTCTCATACCATGGTTTTTCGGCTTTTCTCAGAAATCCCATTTCATATTCCCTCAAACAATACGTTCCACTTTGTATAACATCGTAGATCTTGCACCAGAGATGTAAATTTTCATGACATAAGTCGACTCAATTTTGACTATACAATGAGTTGCCTTATTAAAGGTTATCATCGTAATACTTTAAATTCATGAACTCGATTATTTATTTCAACATTAAAAAACAAAACGAATGTAGATAGCCCTTTTTTGCCACGAAGCCCTCCCTATGAATGTATAACGCTCAGAGTTGTATAATGTAAAGATATATATTTTAAACGTATAAAAATGTTTAAAATTGGCTTAAATTATACGTCAAGAAACAATAGTGGATCGAACCTTTGCAGTATCCAAGGATTATAGTTTTATTTATGACAAAGCAGTTACGTAAGTTTAAACCGGGCAGGCTGCTCGTGGTCCTTCAAGGATCGGGTGGCCCCTCCACCGAAATCGGACAACATAAACATATTCTTAAAAATCGTTAATAAACCACAATATTAGCTGGTTCTCAATGTATAAACCGAAAAATACAAAATAGGGCTATCAATTTACTACCTGGAACACGAATGACTTTCAATGAGAAATATTCAGTGCATATCAACTTGTTCAAAAAATACATTTAACTTACTTTATTATCTTATCTGTATTGTCATAAATAGCACCGTTCAGGGTGTCGCCCTTGCTAACCGATTGCTTGGGTGCCAAATATTTATAATATGTGTGTTTTCAAAAAAAAACACATTGTTTTTCCGTTTTGATGGCGGCCCTCATGAGTGACAAGTCATTTCTTGTAAGTTCAAGTTCAGTCAAGAATAGTTTAAAAGCACGACATATCAAGTCATTCGAAGCTCTCCTTTTGCATAGCAAGCCCGCAAATTTAGCTACCTGCTATGCAAATTGTACAATGACATGGTCGTTATAAATATCTGCAGAAATCGTTTGTTTTTGCATTGAAGTATATGAACGCCAGTGGAGATGACATATGTCATTCAATGAATACCTGTCACGAAATGTGACTTGTTTCTGGTTTGTATCTGTGTCTCATGACCAAAGCCTGCACATCTTATTTTACGTCATTTGTTATGGGGAAAACATTCGATCGAAACTTGATGACGTCATATGACTAATGAGGCACTATCAAAAGCGTGAAAAACTGCACGTTTTTCCTGCATTGGATTGTTTATTGAACTTGTTGGAGCTCATATAAGTAGTTTTCCTATCACTTATAAGTTATAACGCAGAAACCGTAAGAAGTTGAGCGTAGTTTGTCAAACATTTTATCATGAGCGAACAAGCGAGTGCCGAAAGGAATGTTTTACTTGCTGTGGACGGCAGTGAACACTCTCAGAGAGCTTTTGATTGTAAGTAAATTTGTGCTATATTTTTTACTTCTAGCTTTATTGTACTTGTGAAATTCCAATGGTCATTTATAAAAAAGTAATTATTTGTTAGTAATAAGTTTAAAGTGACTTGCTTAATGATCTCTGAAATATCAATATGAAAGATAATTTACGATCGTATTGACTGTGAAAAATTAATATTTGTTATTTTAGCTTGCAAGTTTTGAAAATAAATTTAATCTGTATCATTAATACATAGTTTTACAATGAAATGGGTTTTTTAATGCAGTAATTTTTTATTGCTCCTGTTAACCTGCTCATGAAAAGTACCTTAATTGCATCATATCTGTGGGTGGAGTCAGCGTTCCCTACGACTGAAGGAGATAACAATTAGCTTCCTTCATAATTAAAATCCTATTTTTCACATCAGTTAATTAAAGTGTTTTTTTGCCATTAATCTTGATTTTATTCAATAGTTTATCTCAGTGATCTCTGCAAAAGTGGTGACCATTTGATTGTATTTCATGCCCAAGAAATGCCTACTCTTCCTGCAGCTCCATATCCTTGTAAGTTGAACTATACCTTCATGTTGCCAATTTATGATAAAGAAAATCAGTCTTCCAAGCTTGAATTTGTTTGAAATGACTATACTGACAATTTGATGTTAAAATTATAGATTTTAGCATGAGTGTACAGCCTTCAGGTTTCAGCTCATCACAAAATGACCCATCAGTCGATATAGGTTTGTTCAAGGGTGGATGAAAACAAATCCTCAACATCTATTTCCTTTGCAACCTAATTTTACCTGTTGATTCTTTGTGTACAAAAATTTGATTTTTATTAATGATCCAAGACAATGAATTTTGAAGGCTGATTTTCAATGTGTATTTCCAAATTAAAAGTAGTTTTTGTATGTGATTGTCTGGCATTTGTTGTTAGTGTTTTCATGAGTCATTGTTAGTGAGTTCATGATTTCATAACACAACATTTTTAACAGGTTTGTTTTCAGAGTTAAAATAATTATAATAATAATTTAAATAACAAGAAACAAAACTAAATAATAAGAAATTGTGTACATCTTGCCCTACAATCTTTGAAAATCATTCAATCAATTGGCTTCTAAACCTTTTTGTCTTTATTTACTGTTATGACACACTTTGATGTATTATTTATGCACTCAACAGATGGTTTTGCATATTATGAAGAATGGCAGGATGTAATGAAAAAAGTTGATGAAGAGGCTAAGGCTCTACTTCGCCATTATGGTGATGTCCTGAAAAAAAGAGAGGATGTATGTAAAGTGGCAAAAATTAATCGTTTTGATAGTTGTAATGAAATGTGTGAGATGTATGTGTTGTTCTATTGCTTGTGGAGCAAAATATTGTTCTATGTTAGTTTGGATTAACATGATCATCTACTTGATGCAGGCACATTTGTTTAGCATTTTTTTTTGCCTGCTTCATATTTCTTTTAACTAGGTTAGGTACCATTTTCCCTTAATATCGATGAGATCTCTGGACATCTAGTATTTGGCATCCATTATTTTTTTTAAACATTTTATACATTTCCATTTATACATTTATAGTGTTTGTATTTTTAAATTATATACTTTTTCTTATGGAACTACAAAAAATGTTTTTAACATGCAAGACTGGTTTGAAAACTTAATGTCAGTAGTTTAACAAAATTTTGTTGTAGTAACACACGACACATTTTTACTTTCTATAACTGTCCTGTGAAACTTATAAACCTGATGGTTGTGCTCACTAAGTGTTCTTATGTACTTTGTCTCTTTAATATGTTTCAGATCAAATTCAAGTTGGTGAAGGAAGGTGGAAAACCAGGAGAGCTAATTGTAAAAAAATGCTGAAGATGAGAATGCTCGTATGATTGTATTAGGGTCACGTGGTCAAGGTGCTGTCCGCCGCACGTTTCTTGGAAGTGTCAGCGATTACGTTGCTCATCATGCTCATTGTGCTATTTGTGTTGTTCCACCTGAAAAGCGTCATTAACATACGAACGTATATCACAATGAATTAAAGCATGTATACGTATATTACTATTAATTTAAACTCGTACAATACAATAATTTTGGTAATATCCGCACGGACATTAGACAATAATTGCTACAACTGTTCTTTGCTTGAGATGAGCAATTTGTTTTGAATTCAATAAATGATAGTGGGGACTTGATTTTTGGCTTTTGTTTTTTTTTCGTTTGGCCTTTGGCTTCATTTTGGTTTTTTTCATTTTGACTGTAATGTTTGTTACTAAACCAAATCGACCATTGATGATGACGTAATACTGCCGTGTGGATGCATCCAGAAATGGGAAAACGCACCTTATTACGTCATTGTGATGTGTAATTCCTTGTCAATAGAAAAACTAGTTATGTTGACATCCAATCCAATCAGTGAGAATTTTTTCTGTTTGATCGATACAATGCTTGGGGCAAGAGATTGAATAGAACATGCTGGAAATTTTGGTTAAATTTGGCTCTTTATTGGCTTTATCTCGATATAATGCTACTTCATTATGCTGAATTTGGCCTTTTTAGACCCAGTAACGCGCGTTGATTTACACGTCAAATCAGATAGCGTTGTTAAGAATGTTAGCTTCTCATGAAGTACTGTCTTCTGTGTAATTATATTGGACTCAAACATGCAGACATTTTCTTTCTTTCAATCTCTCCCAAAAACCTGAATTGTGCAACGAGAAGAGATCCATAAAGTCTCTGTTATTCAAGATTGTCATGTGTCAAACCATGGCATTTTTTAAAAATTACTTTAAAAGTAAGATGTTGAAATCTTGAATATGTACTAATGAAAAGTCTTTTACTAAAGAAATACAGCAAAATTTATCTTTTGTTGTTGTTTTATTAACGCCCGATATTAATTATATGAGACACTGACGATTGTCTGATTGAAATAATTGATTCCATAACCATCTTTTAGTTCTGTAATCTCAACTATTCTATAGTGTGAAATGTTTGGTAGATTGTACTTTACTGGAAAATCTGGCCAATTGCTCATTACTCCCAATTCTGCACAGAAGTGTGCTTAGATCTATTTTGTCATAATAACAAGATTGTGCAGAAGTTGAATAACAAGACAATAGCAGAGTTGAAATTACTGCAAATGGGGTACTCTCGAATATTGTGGGATTTAGAGAGGTGCCTGCACTGCAATGTAATTTTAATCCTTTCAAACATCTATAAAACGTGAAAAAGCACATACATTTAACTAATTTTAAAATAAATGTTTCATATCCTCTGTGCTTTAATGTATGATCAATCTATTGTCCAATAAAATATACGCCAATGGCTTCATATTCAGTTTCTTATAGCGCTTTGTGATGCCAATAATTGAACAATAAGATAAAACTTCCCATCAAACCTAACGATATCCAACATGTGTACTTATAGAAGGTACGTGGCTCACCAAAGTTGTATGCAGTGATGTAAAGTGGGGGTGGGCACTCGGGGAGGAGCCCTCCTTCTACCTTTGAAATGGGTAATTTTAAAGGGCACTATTGACAAAAACGTCAAGAGCCCCCATCTGATAAATTTAGTTCTACAGCACTGGTTGTATGTGATGAGTTTTTAGGGTAAACCATTGAAATATTATGATGTCGCCAATTCTACGAAGTACAGACGACTCATTTTAGAACTTTGTTTCTTGTCCATGTTTCTAGTCTCCGAGTAACCGCGTTTTCAGGAACATCTGTTTCCACATCATGTGCTACCCCGAGATATGAAACATTCGTCATTCATGCCAGTTACCAAAGTACAAATAATACTGCCTCGTCCCCGGGCCCTTGCTCATAAAAAGTACATAAGAAGAATAAATTCACGAATAAAACATAACTCCAGCGACATTGTAAGCGCGCTAAGAGAGATGGGTTTGTAAACGTTTTTATCAATTTTGGTTTTCATAGAGTTGTTGATTACTATTACTTATGGATTTAATCTTTTTTATCCACTTTTATGAGCACGTGCCTGGGGACGAGGCATAATCATAATAAATATACTCATTATCATTTAATTCATTATTCACTCTCAGCAATGGCGTCCAGAAGGGAACCCAGCTCCCTTGTGCTAGTGGCTATCGATGGAAGTGAATATAGTGATCGAGTTTTGCGATGTAAGAATAGTTGTTGATCAATAAATGTGCGTGTAATTTCAGTTGCTAGGCTACATTTTAGTTCAACATTAGTATAACACAATGTATATACACTCAAAGTTGTTAACTTTAACAATGTAAAGGTAAATTGGTAAAATATGACCTTATTTAAATATAAATGCAGGCTTATGTGGATCGAAATTACAACGTCAAAACTTACGTTGTCAAGGACTTGACGATGTTGACAGATAAAGACAATATATCATGAGCATTCATGTGCATCTCCTCAATGACGCATGATTCTATTTTTTTAGTTTACTTGAGTTCTTTACACAAGGAAACTTATACAGTTGGTTTGGTTCATTGTTATGAAAATCCAGATATTGTCATCCGTGCGTCTTCATGTGAGTATGTCCGACAACTTGACTAATAATGATAGGCCTGTTATGATCGTCGAACATTACATGCGCCGAATGCATTAAAGACTAAAGAAAATGAGATAGACTTCCTCGTCATCTTTTGTTTTAAATGCATTCGGCTCATATAAAGTACGAAGTTTGAAACGAGCCATAGACTGATATTGCAGGTGCTAATTATGCATTGGTTGTTAAATCATAATTTCATGAGCCAATGACACAACGAGGCGAAAAAAATATTTCGAGTTTAAATATTGATTGATGACATTTAACTTTATGTTACGCAGGTGAGCAGGTTGCAGTTACACAAATAATATATCAAAACTGCTCAGTTTTAGAATTAGCGGAGTCGCCAGGATTTTGTGTGTGTGGGGGAGGGTGGCACAAGCTAAATGCTAGTTTTTGGTGGGAGGCACATCAAAATTTGCCAAACATTCTCCATGTTATAACGTTGTGGGAATTGATTATTCATTCTAATCAAATAATGGTATAATATGATTTATGGCAAGGAATACCACTATTTTACTTGTTCTTCCTCCCCCAACTTAATTTCTAAAGAAATATTTTTGTTTTGCATTTTAAGCGATAATAAACTTCAGCACCCACCCGGCTTACGACACAGAAAGCGTTAATGCAATGCAACCAATGCTGCATCTTATGACCCTTTTTGGGCCTTTTTCTTAAAATTCAAATGGGAGAGCATTTTGGTGGGGTGCACAAAAAAATTTTAAGGGGTGACGCCACTGCATGAAATCTAACATTCTTATTTTCTTTCCTATTCCCTGTAAACGTAGTTACATGTTTGGACATTCAGCTTCCACTATCATTATTTGCTTCTGACGACCCCGTGTTGTGTGAAGACCTTTTTTTTATTTGTTAGACGAAAGCAATTTGTAATTAGAAAATTTACTGACGTTGACAAAGTAATTAAAAAATTGTTTTTTTAAGGCTGATTTCCATTCAGGGCAAACTGTTCCGGTTCAGAGCTTTCAATTGTAAAGAAAGTGATCTCAAAAAGTCGATCGCGCGACAATTCGCACTGAATGGAAATCTGCCTTAACTGAGTCACAAACCTGGTCGACGAAGGTTGCTTGTATAATATTGTATTCATTTTTATCATTACGCAGTGTAAATGAAACATAACGTACGTTGTTAATAATTAAACCAGTAATATACCACAGGACGCAAGGGAAGAAGGTAGCCTATAAGGACAATATATATGAGACCAACTTTTCAGTTAATTTGGGAAGGCTGACTTCAAAAATGCATTCGATACGGGCGTTAAGGGGGGTGCTTGCCTACAATTTTGAACTGAAACCTCGACAAAATATCTTTATTTTATAAAGACTACAAACATCCAACATAAAACTTTGAATAAAATTTTTATTGAATGCAACGTTATTATCAAATTTTATATTAACGTTAACAGACATTATTTTATTATTCGACGTTGTTAACAATAATTATTATCACCAATGACATTTTCAGACGAAATAATTTTTTAGGAAGTCTGAAATACAGACATTTTATCATTAAGATATTTTCTTGGTGCAAAGTTACAAGATATATTGATGACAGTGCGGTTGAATTTGATGCGCTATAGAGTTAGATGAGGCTTATTGTGACGGACCTGCTCTGGATGTTGACACTGAAATTGAGCTTGGAGTTAGAAGACTTTTATAAATGGAAAGTTGATCATCGAGATTAGAAAACTTTCATAGATGGAAAGTTGATCAACGAGTCATCGAGATTAGAAGACTTTCATAGATGGAAAGTTGAAATTACAAAATGCATAGGTTTATTATATAATTGTGGGGGACTCTTGTTTCTACCAAAAAACTGTTGACTAATTCTCCACGAAAACCATAAAATTTCCTTATTAGTGCAACTCTTCTTTGGTTTTTGTAATTCTGCCAAAAGCTCAAAGTTTAAGATAATATTCGTAAAAATTCTACTTTCACACAGTGAACAGCGCGAAATGGGATATGGATGAAATTGAAAAGGCTTTTAGACGTTCTTGGGATAGAGCCGATTATGTAATGGAGCAGTCCAAAAAAATCTGTGAAGAATATGAAGTAAGTTAAGGTTATTTAGCAAATAATAATCATAAAGTACAAGTTTTAGTAACACATTTTTAAAATTTAGCAGCTATAACATTTATTTCACGCAGATAAAATGATTTCTTTGTTAAATAACGTTAAAGAATCAATCGAGTATTAAATTTATGAAGCTATTGCGGTAAAATACTGTTTTTTGTCACTTGTATCATTGTATCATTGAGAAAGAACTTGAACATTTTTGTTAGAATTTGTAAAGATAAATAAAGCCCGGTCTATATCAATTTTTTCTTTCGTTTGTTTTCATAGATATCACCACTCTCATGTATGTCAGTTCCATTTTTAGGTTCGACATGTGAAGGAATTTCTTGAACATGCCAAAGAACCAGGAAAGGCAATTTGCTCAGTTGCTCAGCAACAAAAGGCAATTCTAATAGTTTTGGGAATCCGTGGTCGATCCCTTCTTTGTCGTACAATAATGGGCAGCGTGTCGAACTATGTCGTGAGACATTCCATAATCAGTGCAACACTCGTGGTTCCATAGTTTTCCGTTTTGCAATTCAACTTTAATATTTGTTTTAATCCTGAAAATACGATTTCATTATTCATTCGTTCGTTCGTTCGTTTGCTCGATCGTTCGTTCGTTCGTTTGCTCGATCGTTCGTTCGTTCGTTCATTCATTCATTCATTATTTGCAAAGCACATAGATTACAAATAGCACCTATAACTTTGCGCACCTGGCATGACCATGGCCTTGACTAAAGACTAACTAAAAACTATTTACAAACTAATAAAAAAATCAAGCAATTTGAAAGTAAAGAGTATTCTCAATGCCTGTAGAAAGTAATGGTGTATCATGTAATCTTTGAATGTTGTCTTGTTTGTGTTTGCCTTAGTGCCGCCTTGGTCCTATTACCGCCTAATAGCCAGATATAATTTAGCGAAAAACGGTTGGAACAGCAGTGATGACGGAGATTATTCCAGAGTAAATCCCTATATTCAAATAACGTAATTCAATGAAGACCAGGGGCCAGTAGCACAAACACTGGATAATATAGTTGTCTTTTCAAGCGTGTTTAAGGCCTAAAGCCTAAATTTACTTCACAATGATAAAGTTTCTTTTAATTGAAAATTCAGTTTATTGACAGATTTGTCCTTTTCTTTTCATTCTTTTTGTCTTGTATAGCACATGAAGGACATGAAGCTCATTTTAGTGAATGGAAATAAGTTGTGCGTAACAGTATGGCGGACACACTTACACTTTTGTAGTTTATAGTTTAAGTCATTGATTTGTGTTATATTCATTTCAGTGGTTTGTGTCCTATCACCTTGCAGATCGCAAGTATGATTCCAATTTTCATTGAAACAAGAAGATTTTCTGATTTAGTGAAAATCATGAGATAATGGTTATGGACAACGATATCACGGTAAGGTTTGTTAGTCCTTACTTGCCTAATTTGTGTAATTAACCAGTTAACCTGTCGTCTGTCAAAAAACCAATTTTGATTTTGAAAGAGGAAAAAGAACTTGATTTAAATATTTTTGACCATCTATTGCCAAAATATTCACTTTCTGCTTGTTTCATATTTGCATTATTCATTCATCCTTGTTACTGTTCAAAATTTTAGCTAGATTTTTACACATATTTAAACGCAAACTTTACATTGCAGAAATTTATGAATAACGAGTTTGCCTAAATTCATGAAAGTTAATGGTGATTTTCTATCGTTCAAATATTCTCCTAACACTAACACTATACAATTTTTTGTACAACAAGTAACCTTTCTCTAAATACATTTCAATTGAAACATTTAAAAATAAATTTTCTGCCCACAATTGTATCTAGAAGCAAGATGATAATAAACTCATTGGAATCCTTTTATCTATGAACCACATTTTTCATTGTATGGAACTTCTAAAGCCCTTCATGACAATAGATTTTGTCTGTTGATTAATAACAATTAAAATTAATTCATTGTTTGATTCAAATGATAATTATGTAATAGGGAAGTAAATTTTTGAACCTGGGAGTATTATAACATATTCATAGATGTAGGTCCTCCAAAGTAGTGAAATCCTTCAAGGAATTGTTGATGTTGATGTTGACAAATGCATATCCACATATTTATCAGTTGTGATCTTCCAGTGATGTAGCCAGTCTGCAAGTTTGCTTGTGCTATGTAAATACTTCAGCATACACTCACTGTAAAAGCAATCAATTTTTACATGTGCACAACCAAACTTGCATGCTGGTATACCACTGTCATCGTACATCTTGTCCGTCTTTCTCAGGATTTGACTCAACAATCAGCATCTACTACAACTCATAACAATAAATTTAATCCATCATACCTTTTCATTAACCTTAGTTTCTGGATTAGTTTAATAAAAATAAGTCTATTTGATAAAAGTTATATGTGTAGTTAATGTTAAATTTTTGTATGTAGCTACATAGCAACCTAAACCATAAAGTTTGAATACTGGAGACCAGTGTGCGAATTAACGGTGTGCAATGTGCAATTTGCACATCATTTTAGCTAGAATGAAAACAATTGCACATCACTTTTTCAAACGATGAGCAAAAATCAGCGGTCTTAATGAAAAACACTGTCGTAAATCATATGAATTTGTTCACGTTTAAAAATATTAATTTAGCAATTAGCGCTATATAATAATTAACGTTATATCGATTTGATTATGCCTCTAAAGAAACACTTTTGTCAAAAAAATTGTTTTTTCTGAACTAATTCGCACACTGCTGGAGACCAAGAAAAACAAAGACTTAGTGTTAACTGACTTGTATTGAAATTTTATGTTTATATAGTTATGGATTCTTGGATGGATTGGTTTGGTCATCATTTTGACCATTGGAACATTTGGAGTATGGTGGTCTTTCCTAATTTTATGAACATATTTTTCTGTCTAGTTGGGTAAGGACGAGCTGATAGTAGTGATCACACTTTTTTCATGATACATTTAAATGTTGTATTATGAGGTTTATTTGTAACCAGTCAGTGTATCAAAGAAGACCGTCACAAATAGTTTTGTTGTTTTTTATGTCAAGTTGGTTGAATTTAACTAAATTTCAACCAAGATGGTGAAAATCTCTTTGTCCTTTGACTTCTTGATGAAGGGTTGCTAGCTGCCTATTGGCCATTTTTATGGCCATTTTTTTTTACCTAAATTTCAATGCCTGATCACTGTGCTATTACCAAGGATGCATTTTTTTACATGTTTTGCTATAAGACGTTTTGTGGAATGTTCAAAAGTGGAAAAGATTTTGTACAAAGTTATGAATTATATGCACTTAGCGGAATAGCTGATAATGTTTAGGTATCTATAGGTTAGATTTCCTTTTGTATTTTTATACACCCTGTAATTAGCTAGCATCTTAAAGTTATGGTTGATGATTGTAGAAGGCCAGAAGCAAATTTACCAAACTGTATTTCGATGCTGTTCTTTTGTTGAAGGTTGTTTTTCCATTGAAGGTTTTGCTTTGTCTTGTGGTATGTTGGTTCACGAGCGGCCAAACGTTGTTTAGCACGAACATCGAAAGGTGATTTGGGTTCACCTAGAAATGGCCTGCCATCAATAATTCAAAAAGTTGAAAAAGAGCAATTTCGAAGTTATAAAATGGACAAGCGTTTGACGGGATCTAGTATTATAGATGAACCATTACAAAAGGTAGCGTTACTATAAACGTAAAAAAATTGATGCATTTGATTTTAGTACTATGGACGTAAACGATTAATTTATTCAAATAAATATTTTATTAGTAAAAAGCTACAGCCGTAAATTCATACACTGGCGTGATAAAGTAGATATTTAAAACTCAACAGCTGCTGTATATACCTCCTAAAATATTCGTATAATTGACTTCAAAACTAAGAATTGAACGTCAAAATTGTCCATTCTTTGTTTTTAGTATTTTAATGAATCTAATATAGTTTCTTTTTTTAGAAATTACGACTTGGTCGTGAAAGTATTTTATACTTATTTTAGGTGATTGAGTATTTTTTTCGTGATTATATACGATATTGGTACAATGACATCAGTACGCATGAAGAATTTTTGTATGATATCCGACAAACTTTGCAAAAAGTTCTGGTTTCTTTATTTAGCAGGTTCGTACAACAACAAAACTTTACCGAATACTTTTGATGTAAAACTAGTGTGAAGCGTAGCTAGTTTCTATAGTTACAACTTACACTACATGTACTCCGTACGCATGACCTTTAGTCTGATAATTTTGCATGAAGCTCTAGATGAGTAGAAACGAATGATTTGTCACGTGAAAATCGCAATAAGTTATGAATAGTTTGTTTTTCTCATATGAACTGTTCCGCAAAATTTACGTCCCACACTGCAAAGCCTGGTTAAACTTGAATAACTGTAAATTACTAAATTGCATTGCATGACACTACTCAAGAATAGACCTGTATCTATAGAAGTATTTTCATTAATTTTTCATAAAAGTTTTGAATTCTGGTACTTAAGTTATGGTGAAAAAATTTTCGAAAATTTTTGTTGGAACGAAACAAATTTTGCGTGAAATTACGTTATTTGTAAATTTGTGTTAAATTATGAATTGCAGCCAGTAAAATATTTGAGAAGATAGAAATACGTTTAACGAATTTTTTCCATTAAAAGATAATTTTAATTTTTATTTACTTTGTTGAATTGTTTCAGGTCAAAAGATGTTGATTGGATGTCGTTTTTGACTGTAAAACTAGTAGATGATTTCGCTGCGCATTTAAAACTTTTTGGTCTAGCTACAGAACAATGTCAAAAATTTAATGAAGAGGGTAATAATAAAGGTGATTTCAAACCGATTCGGTCCTGCTTTGTAGGACTTTGAAGAACCATTTTACTATAGCTCTTATTTCACGGTTTATTGATCGAAATAATTTCATTCATTTAAAAACTAAAAATTTTTTCCAGATAAGGTTGAAGATCTTCAACAGATGAAGTCTGTGTTTTTTCAAAAAGAACATGAAATGCTGCGGAGTACATGTCATAAGGATATTTGTTTGGATCAAATAAAAGAAAAAGGTGTCAATTGAGATACAAATGTTTAGTAATATACCTCAAAGTGAAGTATGAAACTAGTCAACACCATTCACCAACATACCAAAGTATGAAACTAGTCAACACCATTCACCAATGTACCAAAGTATGAAACTAGTCAACACCATTCACCAACATACCAAAGTATGAAACTAGTCAACACCATTCACCAATGTACCAAAGTATGAAACTAGTCAACACCATTCACCAATGTACCGAAGTATGAAACTAGTCAACACCATTCACCAATGTACCAAAGTATGAAACTAGTCAACACCATTCACCAATGTACCAAAGTATGAAACTAGTCAACACCATTCACCAATGTACCAAAATATGAAACTAGTCAACACCATTCACCAATGTACCAAAATATGAAACTAGTCTACACCATTCACCAATGTACCAAAATATGAAACTAGTCAACACCATTCACCAACATACTAAAGTATGAAACTAGTTAACACCATTCACCAACATACCAAAATATGAAACTAGTCAACACCATTCACCAATGTACCAAAGTATGAAACTAGTCTACACCATTCACCAATGTACCAAAATATGAAACTAGTTAACACCATTCACCAACATACCAAAATATGAAACTAGTCAACACCATTCACCAATGTACCAAAGTATGAAACTAGTCAACACCATTCACCAATGTACTAAAGTATGAAACTAGTCAACACCATTCACCAATGTACCAAAATATGAAACTAGTCAACATCATTCACCAACATACTAAAGTATGAAACTAGTCAACATCATTCATCATCATACCAAAGTATGAAACTAGTCAACATCATTCACCATCATACCAAAGTATGAAACTACGTAGTCAATACTGCACATTTACGTACCAATACTGTGGAACTATAGTAAACACTCATTTACATTACAAAGCGTGAATCTAGTCAAAACCCCTCACTTACCACTTCAAAACTCACCCCACCCATCAAAAGTTCAAAACTTTACATCAGTGTCTCTACATGTTTTTTATCCTAGAATATTTGAGGACAGTCAGTGATATATTGCTCTATATTCTGTTACCGGCCGGTGACTTTCATAATAAACCTTTTCGCTATTTCCTTAGGGTAAGTCTGAAATTATCTTGTTTTGGGGGGTTTTTTACGACGTTCATAGCTTATGTCATGAATAAAATTGAATATTAAACACGTGTCTTAGCATATGTAAACTTAAATAAATTCTATATTAAAGAATATCTGTCTTTAAGTTGATTTTAAATGGTCGTGCTGCACAGATATAAAATAATATTTTTTTAATTTTTAGAAATCATTTCTAGCTAGATGACCTGACAATGATCATCCTTATCAAGTTTCATTTGTGTACCTACGTAATTAAAATGACTAATGAAAAGTTAACTAGTATTTAAGTACATTGTTTATAGGAAGTTATCGCTTGTAATGTTTTTCTCCCTACTATTGAGATGGTTTGCGATCCGGATTACATTAATCAAACAATAATTGTGTGGGTGAGTAACAAAATGGATGTTACAGAAGCTGAGAAATAGATCTTCAAGTACATAGCGTGTCTTGAGCATGGTTTTTGCATCACTTAAGTGGTTTTTTTTTATTGTAGTGTCAAGAAAATGCATTCAACGTTGAATCATTTCTCACAATCATAAGGTATAGAATTGTTATTATTTGTTTTAATTATTGTCCATATATGTTCCGTTATGTAAAATAATTGACGTGTATCTTATCGTTATTAATTATTAATTTTCATTATAGATCCACTGATGATGTTAATGATCTCGAAGAAATCGAGGCTCGTGTTCGTGAAGAAATTGTAAAACTTCGTTCTCATGATTCCGAATCAACAGGTTTGGGCTGTAGAACACTTTTGCCGCGGTTTTCTAGAGAATAATGTTCATCTTGTGGGAGTATTGTTGTGAGAGACGACTACATTTCAAGCCATAAGCTTTGTCTGCAACAACAGTTTTCAGTATTTTAAGTTTCTTGTCTTTTTGGTGCAAATGCAACTTTCTACTATTGTTATGGTACAGCGATTAGTGTGTGAAGGATACGTACATGTCAGACTACATTAACTTTTTCGTAGTCGGGTTCATGCTTTCTAGATATTTTATGTAACATAACTATGTTATTGCTTTCTTTCCTTCAGTCATATACATCGCTTCATTTGTAAAAATTCGTTTGTTTAACTCCTTTGTTGATTTATTTATGTAAGAATTTTAATTTAGATAACTTTTTTGGGGTTTTTTTTTATTTTAATTCAGATGAAGCCACTGTGACTGTTCAACAACAACTTAGTAGCATGCTGTTTTTAAACAAGATTTGTGAAGCTCGAATTGAAAGTCTTAACTCTGGAGACGTGGATATTTCCGTACTCAACCAGGTCCTTACACTTGACATTATTATATTTCTAAACTTCTCTTACCTTTACCTTCAAATATTCCACAATTTACAAGCTTATATAGAATTAAGAACTCTTTATGTAGTCTTTGTACGAATTAAAAGCTCTTAATGTTGTTTATAGTTAAATGTGCGTAAATACTGATAGTTTCTTCTAGTTTGTCTTCAATTTTGTTTTTTAACTACATTTTTGAATTGTTGTTAATCACAAGAAACACATTATGAGAAGTTACTTTCCTGTCCACTTCATATTCGTATTAGCTAGAAAACATAAAATTGTACTTGGTTTTTGTAATTTGCATGTACTTTCATTCTTCCTTTGCATAGTTGAAAAAATAAAGTAAATAAATAAAAAAAATGGCTGGTTTGTGTGTTTCCATTTTTGAACACACATTTAATTTGTTCACAGGAAAACCCAGAGATACCACATCGTTTTGTCCCTATCGATCAAAACATCCCAGTCTTGCCATTGCAGGGTATTTTGGACAACAACAAAGCTTTATCTTATTTTATTGGTAAGTTGAGCTCAAAATAATCATGGAAAATTATATGAAATTCGTATCTGGGGTGGATTTGATGTATTCTGGCTAAAAATATTCTTCTATAGAATTTATTGGATCGATTGGAGGCAAGAATTATTGTTTTTCTGGTTAGCAATTGAAGTATGTATTGTTCATGGTTTCCTTTTCCTTGTTTCCTTTTTTGAATATCATTAAATGCATTAATCATTGATAAAGCTTTCTACGTATATTGCAAGTAACAATAGAGTATAGTATAGAGTATTTGGTTAGTGTATTTTTGATCACACTTACTGCACTTGATCAGCTTAAGACAATGATATCAATGATGTAGAAATATATTAATGCATAAAAACAGGTAAAATTGTAAGGGTTCAATGTAAGAAGTATATTCTGTCGATAAGTTTGTTTTTCATTGATATCTTCAGAGTTTCCGTGTCACTGCTGAACAGCAGTTATCGATTCATGCTGAAAAAGAATTGCGTAGCAAAGGCTTAGGACAACTGGTAAATGTTTAGATAATAACTTTCTATAAATACAAGCGTCGAACGTCTAGGAAATGCAGTGATCAATTGATTGTGTTCTGTCTATAGAGGTTCTCAGATGTTGAATCAGTTCGAGAGGCAGCCCTTTGTATTTATGATCAATATCTCTCGCCAAAGGCAAATAATAATAAATATTTATGTTGTCTTGTATTTTGATAATGTCGCTACATAATAATATCGTTTTTTGGTAATGTACTGGCTATTTAACAAATATTCACCAAAACTAACAATCATTCGACTGGAATCTGATTCAAATAGTTGCAACTTCGTAAGTTTGCCTAAACCAATTCCATACGTTTATTAATAATTCTGATTTTTGATTCGAACTGCATGTGTTAAACATAATAAGTATATGTAGTTGTCTTTAAACGAAAAAATAGCTATTTTTTTCCTTAGGCGGATCCAAGAGTAGATCTTGACGAAAAAGTCGTGAAACAAACCTTATCGCAGATAAAAAGCCAAGCACCATCAGCTGATTGCTTTGACTCTTTACAGAAACTGGTTCGTACAAGTCTTCATTTTGATCGTCCATTTGCATCAACTTTTAACAAAAACAATTACAATGATGTGATAAGTTGAATAAACAAAAATCCGGGCTATTTATACGTCATCAAGTATTTAGTTCTGTGCATATTATGTTTAACATTTGAGTATTGAACAAACCACCATTAGCTATAAAAGTCATTTCGATTCGATGATTTCTACAAATGTTATATTCTCGTTTGAATATCACTGAAGAAATATTTACTGAAATTTTCATCACAATTCTATTTTTCATAGTCCTTCAATAAACTAGCAGAAAAAAAAATATATGGCTGCTTTCTTCAAAGTCACACTTACATAAAGTAAGACTTTTATTTTGAATGTCCTGTAACTTTCACAAGTACAAGTTTTCTAAATTTGTATTTTTTCATTTCTGTGGTAGATGCCTCATTGATTTAGGTTTTTTTAAAGAAAAATCAGGTTAGTAGAAGCCACCATCAATCTTAGACATGTTTCGAGTCTTATGTTGGGTGATTACGTTCAATAATATTTCACATAGAACATCCCCCCCTTTTCCTAACTGTTTCAATATTGTTTATGTTGGGTGATTACGTTCAATAATATTTCACATAGAACATCCCCCCCTTTTCCTAACTGTTTCAATATTGTTTATGTTGGGTGATTACGTTCAATCATATTTCACATAGAACATCCCCCTTTTCCTAACTGTTTCAATATTGTTTATGTTGGGTGATTACGTTCAATCATATTTCACATAGAACATCCCCCTTTTCCTAACTGTTTCAATATTGTTTATGTTGGGTGATTACGTTCAATAATATTTCACATAGAACACCCCCTTTTCCTAACTGTTTCAATATTGTTTATGTTGGGTGATTACGTTCAATCATATTTCACATAGAACACCCCCTTTTCCTAACTGTTTCAATATTGTTTATGTTGGGTGATTACGTTCAATAATATTTCACATAGAACACCCCTTTTCCTAACTGTTTCAATATTGTTTATGTTGGGTGATTACGTTCAATAATATTTCACATAGAACACCCCTTTTCCTAACTGTTTCAATATTGTTATTTACATACTCTGAGTGAAGCCTCAAAACTGTCGATGCGAGTGTGAAAAAGAGATTTGATCCTCGCGAATTAACGACACCATCGACACTGTCGAAACGTCCTGTCGTAAAATGAAAATCCGTTCGGTAAATTTGAAAATGAAGTCGTTCGGTATTTCTATATAGTCACAAAGTAAAAAGTTTTCAGAGCATAGTTTCTTCGAAAAAGATTTATGTAAGTCAAAAAGGCAGAAGCTATTTGAAACAAGCCATAGATAAACAATTTTTATTTCAATGCCTAGTGTATTCAAATTATGTTTACGTAAACAGGTAATTGTTTTATTGATAATGTTCTATTTACTCACGTACAAGTAGTACGCACAATGTTTGTTAAACATAGGATGTATTTTCTTTTTTTTTAGACGATAGTGAGTCATTAGTGCGACCAGGTGAGTCTCACTAAACATGACGAATTACATGTGACACCTATAACTTTATAAATGTGCAATGTTTTAAAAAATGTTCCGAAATCAGCAACTGCCATTGTGAATAGCCGTTATCTAAACGGAACTGTCAACTTAAACACCAACTAAATAGTTATGAAATGAAAAACTGTGAAGAAAAACTAAAAAAATACAACGTGTCTTTTTGTTTACAAGACAGGTCTTTTTCGAAGTATTAGGTTATTTTGGCCATTCACCGTGGGAATTGCTATTTTTAACACAATCTTTAGATTAATAAATTAGAGACTTTGTCGTAGTGACAAATCTGAAAATAGTTCTAAATATCGCAAATACCATAGTGAATGGTAAAAGTAATATAATAAGTTGATAGTTCTTAAAAGAACTGTTTTAAGTAAAGAGCACTAACCCAATAGTTCTAAATTAAACGACACGATGCATTTCGGCAGACTACTCCTCAGGTGTCAACGTCTGCTAAATAAAAATTTACAATTTACCGATATTTGTAATGTCAAGAAAGAGTGTACGTCATCTCCAAAAAGGGGAGAATCTTTAGATTTGTCACCACGGCATAGTCTCTATTTTACTGTTTAATTGTTTTACCTGTTAATATCACTTTTTATATAACTTGACCAACATTTTATGCAAGTACATATAGTGAATTGTTGTTGCAAGGAAATGATTCAGTTGTTTAAACTTGGAGCACATGCCCGAAAATTTCGAGGAAACTAGTGAGGAAATTTTTGTCATAAATTTCCATTTAGGAGACATAACTTCGGTGCTTCTTTCAAACAGTACATAAACAAAAATATAAAAAATCAATTATTTTCAGCACGCATTACTTCTTTTAAACGTCTTTTAGTTAATTTATAACTGTCATTTATATTTTACGATAGGATCTCAAGATTCTCTGACCAGATCAAATGTAAGTAAGGAACATTGTAATTTTATTGGCTTTGGTTCTTCAGTGGTATATCATTTATTGAATAAGTTCATTTTAAAACATTTTTCCTACATCAAAAAACTTGAATTACTAAATGTGAAATTACTACAACGGCAGTATTTTGTCTCCTTACTTCACGATAAAAACTACGTTGTTCTTTCAGACTGCTTGCTCAGCGGTAATGTACTGGTTATTTAACAACTTAGTTGTTAACCCTGAGCCAGCAGTCTGAATGAAAAACGGCAATATTTTGACTCCTTACTTCACGATAAAAACTACGTTGTTCTTTCAGACTGCTTACTCAACGGCAATGTACTGGATAACTGGATATTTAACAACTTAGTTGTTAGCCCTGAGCCAACAGTCTGAATGAAAAACGTAGTTTTAGATGAACCAGTTGTTTGTATGAACAACGTATTTGTTATAGCTGAAGCAGTTGTTTGTACGAACAACATAGTTGTTACTGGTGAGCCAAACTAGGTTGTTTATTCAGATTGCTAGCTCAACGGTAACAATGACTTTGCAATGATTGTATTCAAATTTTCATTGAGCAGAACAGATCTTATCATAATTAGTTCACCTTAGAGGTCGATTTCCCGAGGGATATTCGACTTTTTGCATAGTTTCCAAAGGTACAAACATAACTTCAAGTTGTAATTTTACTCATGAATTTGTGGCAAAATTTGGGTAGAAGGAGTTTATTATTTTTTTGCTGCTTAAAGGCTTGACTGTAAGGAAAAATAAAACTGACTACATGGTAGGATCAAAGCGAAAAAATAATAAATATGATAAAGAATTAAAAACGAGGAAGCCCATTTTAACCGAACATGTGCGTGGTGCACTTTTTTATTAGAACTCATCTCAAAAACAGTCAGATTGAAAGCACAATAAATGAGACTTTAAATAGTATGGACTTCTTTTGCAATGTTGCAGCATTTTTCTTCATTTGTTAAGTATTAAAAATGAATGAATGAATGAATCACTGATAAGAATTTAACTTTGTTTTAGAGCCATTCAAGTGTGGACAGTTTAAATTCATTGTGGAGTCGTGATGAGGAAATTCGACTTACAGCCAATATATCGCGTACAGGTTTGCCAATGTTATATTACGAACAGGTTTGTTCATGATATATTACGAACAGGTTTGTTCATGATATATTACGAACAGGTTTACCAATGTTATATGACGTACAGGTTTGTCGTAACGATAAAATTCACACATTCACACTAGATGAGAGCCCCTGATCATCAATTTGCCAACTGCGATATCAATGAAAAGTACAAACTCCTCTTCATTTTTTGTTGGTCAAAAACAGTTTTCCTTGGCAAATATTCCTTTTTAGATTGTTTCGTGCATGAGTTGATAAGAGGGGGTATTAAAGAATTTAGTCAATCATGACTGCTCAGAGAAGTTAGACCAACGACTTTTGGTTTGCTATTTGTTTCTACAAAAAGACAAATTCTACGTCAAATTCTAGTTTTACTTCGTTGACACGTCACGAAGCAGTGTTAATTTTGTATTTAATTGTTCACACTATTCACGCACATTTCCTCCTGAGAGTGTGAGCATGTCATGTAATTTCTGCTACAGGTTGCATGCAAGTGAACACAGTATATAAAATGGTTCCTTGTTGTAAATAATTGCCATCCCAATATGGCAGACGAAAGGCTGGGGCTAGACGTGAGAATAATGGTGATGTTATCGATTTTTGCTTCCCTACGTCACCATCTTTTCTTCTGTCTCCTTTTTTTGAAGCTTCTCCGGCCGTATGCCGAAAGAAGTGCCAACTGCCAAACATCTTTTTTATACTATGCTTCGCGTTTTTGTGCTATACTGCATGTGTTCATAAAAAAGTATTTTCCTGTGTGATTTAAAAAGAAATTCTTGTAACTGGTTTGAAAGTCATGAACGCAAACCCGTTTTATAGATCATTAGGAAGAATCCAACTGATGTAAGAACGATTACAAATATTTATTATGGTTTTCCCTTAGCATCTCACTTAAAACGAGTGTGAAAAGGCCAAGAGAAAATAACTATGCAACTGTAAATTTTGAATAGAAAACAACACATTGATAATTTTCTGGTTTACATTGTGCTGTTTGTAGGTGTTTGTCACGAGGATAATAAATCTTACGGTATTTATAAAATAACAGTTTATCGTGCGACTACTCAAGGCACAGTTTTATGGACGGTCCTCCGAAGATACAGTGATTTTGACGATCTTCATGTGAAGCTAATAGAAAAGGTTTGCATCACTGGCCATAGTTGTAACATTTTGCTTTTAGATCGTACTCACGAAAGGAACATGTACTTTCTACATTTAACATTGTAACACAGGAATAAATGGGAACATTGTGCTTGATACATGTAGGAATAAATGAGAACATTGTGCTTGATACATGAAAGAACTTTCGACTGACTGTTTGCATGAAAAGGTTTGACCAAAGCAAAAGATAAGGATGTTGGTAATTAACAGCAATATCATCAGTCCCTTGACTTCTCATTTCATACTCATTTCGTTTTTCATTCACTAACATTGTCCTGTGATATTTTTCTTTATAGTATGGGTCCTTGGGAGATTTGCATTTGCCAAGAAAAAAATCATTCCGAAATACAGATAAAAGTTTTTTAAAAAGACGCAAACAAGATTTAAACGTTTATTTACAAGTAATTTTAAAGTGGATTACTTCATATGTATTGTCAATGATTGTTAGATATTGTTTAGGAAGTATTGCTTTATAAAATAATCAATCTTTTTTCCCATTGTATAATGTATTTTTTCTTTTTTGGGTGACTTTGTTCTTATTGTTTTTTGATGTTGTTATTTCTAAATTTTAGGGACTGTTAAAACCAGAGCTTCTTGATTCCAAACCTGGGATGTTCGAAATTGTGTCCCACTTTTTGGAAGCTGGAAAATACACACAGGAAAAAGGACAATTTGCTAGAAAGGTTCAAATTATAATAGATGATTTAATGAAATATAATATAAATAAAAATAACAACTTGTGTGGAGATTTATTTCGCTCAACACATTAGCCTCGTCTCCATACCTGGAGCTTAAAGTGCTTTTTCAAAATATAGTTTTCATTCATAAGTATATTTGTTTATCATTTATAGACTGCTCCGCTTCGATCTTCCGTCCATAATGTTTCTAATGTCATTCGAAATGTTCCTGATGGTATTTCAGAAGGTTTTCAAAAGGGATTACAAAAAGTTCGGGCTATAGTAAGAAATATAATATCGCAATAGTGTTCAACAAGCCATCTATGATTTCATTTGCTTATTCAATTTGCCATATTGGCTAACAGTTTGACTTTTGGATTTTCTTGTTTCGAATTCTCAGAGTAAGTCTGCTGTGAAATCGGATCGCTCTTCTGAAGAATATAGTAAAATTTCTGCAAACTTTGATAATGAGGTAGTTATACTTACGAAGATGAATATATTGTAGAAATGTAGTGCTTACAAGATTTACTTTCCGTTCGAGAAAGTAGAAATTCTTCGCGTGTGTATCTTGCTTTAAATGCATTATTTATATGAGCTCAAGTAAGCAAACAAGCTTTTCCACGTGTCTAACACGAACATTATCTAAGAACTGTGGTTGGCGATAAACATGGTATATACTTGTAGTTCGACTTTTCCCCCAATTTTTTATACACCAAAGTTCAGAGCTGTAAACCTCTTCATCTCGCATGAAAGAAGTTCTTAGGTTGATTTGGTCTTGTTATAGTACGTTTTATAACTCCTTTGATTATAGTTAAACATGAGTATCTAATGTGACTAGTCATAGTGATTTTACAATAATATACAATTCCATTAGTTCAACGTTACATGTACCATGCAAGAACTGCTTGAACGCAAGAACCATTATTCAAGGATTTGTTCAACATATGCATAAACCATCATACAAGACCATTATTTATGTATTTAGACATACATATTACTTATATCTTTGTTTTGTAGGACGATGACAATATACCTCTTCGAATTCTTCTCTTACTGATGGATGAAGTTTTTGATCTCAAACATAGGTTTGTAATGAAAAAATGCCATTTATATTTCATTTTTTCGAATCTTACATACCAGTTTTGTTCTCTAACTTTTGATTTCTATGATCTGTTGATCTGTTTGATTCTTCTTATAGAAATTTGTGGCTCAGAAGAAGGATAATTATTTTGCTCAAGCAAATTATAAAGACAACATTTGGAGACCGGATCAATCGGTAAGTATTTTTTCACAATTCTTAAACAAAAAATTTCTCCAAAGAGTTCAGTAAACCCACTGTCAAGTTATATATTTTATAAAACGTTTAAACACGCCTCTTACATCCCAAGACTTGTATAAGTTGTGATTGACAAAATATGTCATTCCTTTCATTTTTTTTAGCAAGATTGTTGATTCGATAGAACTGATGACTTCCACTGAGCAGCTTGCAGAATATGTTCGTATTTTCAGGTGCATTCAAAAAATAATTTCTCTCATTTGTTTGGTTTTTTTTGCTGCCCTTTAAAACAATCCATGAATTGGTTTTTCTGTGGTTAGCGTCGCGATGCTTTAGTGCACCACGTCACATGTCGAAAGAATGAGAAGTGATTTTATAAAAGGCAAATCTTTTACCCAGTTGCTTGACAATTGTGGAATAATAAGTCAAGGCTTAAGGTCAATTGGTGTTTAAGTGTATAGTCAATATTGTAATGTAACGATCCGACTTTTTCTACGTGCTAATACTTCATATTATGAAGTTGAAACAACACCAATATCAAATGCCAGTTATGTCTCCTTGAGGGAAAGGTTTCCAGAGCTACAAAAGCACAAAAGCCGAGCCTAAACTAGAAAGAATAGAGATGGTCCATAAAATAGCGAAAAGCTTTAATGCTTTAATGAAACTCATGTTCATTGTTTCAAATAATGAAACAATTATTGAAGCATAGTCACGTGATCCTCTTAACGCTTGCTGATTCGTCAGTTGTATGTACGGACCTCATTCCGTCAATTCTTCTATAAATTAACTATGAATTTGATACTCATATAGAGATGCATATTGGCCTGGTGGTGTTCTTGCTGAGGAGTACCCTGAGAGATCTGAATCTGTAAAATCACGCACTCGTGTGACAGCAAAAACCATGTTGTTTGGTAGCCTTCCAGGTTATAGCAACGATTTTTCTTTATAGATCTGTAGAATACCGACATTATCTCACGTGATTTCATTTATCCAATAAGATTGTTGCCTTGGTAAAAAAATAAATACTTTTTTACCGTTTATGTCGGTTCGTATGTTCGGATTGAAAAATATCCCTCCTCGTGCTCTTTTTGAGACCTGAGGGAAAATAATTTCTCATCCTGCTATAAAAAGAAAATCGACTTGGTCATTTGTGAATGCTTTCCATCGTTTTCTGCTTATGATTCACACTATATGCATTGTATTGACATTATTGTATTGTTATGTATTTGTAACTGTAGACTGGAATTCATCCAGATTTTGCATGAATTTTAAGTTTAAGCAACGGGTAACATTCAATTTGAATTTTAACATTCGACTCAAATTTTATCTAAAATGCAAAGAAAAGTTACTTGCTATTTACTTGAAATTATGTCAGGCGACTCGATAAAGCATGTTGTCTGATTTTATTTTTAGATGACTTGAAGAGATTTCTTGGAAATGAAGTAAGCAGGGATGGTGTTTTCAGGTATTAATTTGTTTTTGATTTATGATCTGAAATTTTATCGTTGAGTGGAGTACAAGATAGAGTTTAATTGAAATGAATGAGTTATAGTTAAGTCATGTAAAATAAACACTTGTAAAGACAGCCAATGTTTTTACTCCTATTTTAAAAATATTTTTCACTTTTCAAGAATGAAAGTAGTCTTTGGTTTTTTTGCAAAATACAAAAAAATTGACTTGACAATAAAGTTTGATCATATAAAATTTGTGATGACAGTTTAAAGTGATATGAAGGGACAAATTTTAGGAACTTTGTTAAAGAGAAATGAAAATGACTATTTTTTTACATTTGCTTTCTTTTTATTATTACATTTTAGAGTGTTTTACACCTTTCAATATCCTGAATTGAATAAAAGATTGTTGTATGTTGTCATGGAAGGTTTCCTTGAACATTTGTTTCCTAATAATGAATTTCCCCAAATATTTTCCAAGCTCCATGCCAAGAGTCGTATGAACACCAAAAAGAATTCCCCATAATTTGCACGAGGTAAACTCTCGGTCTCAGCAAGTCTCAGCACGAAAAATTAACAATTTTTATGTTGGTTTTAGCTGAAGTTCAAGAAGTTGTTAAAATGTTTAATACAAAATTTCCATTGTTGGTACGACAATGACATGTATCAAATGGGGTTCTGAACAAATTGTTCAAAATATTCACTGCAAATTTGCCATTAATGGTATGACAGTATCCATGTTTTTGTTTGGCAAAGCTCAAACTCGTGAAAAGTTGGTACTGATTCATGCAGCTGATGCAAGTGGTCTATTCGTCTAATTACACAAGGCGAGCTTATTATGTTATCGGGGTTGAATGGCAAATGAGCTCAAAAAGTTCAACTCATCATCTTTATGCTATAATATGCATAACTTAACGAGATTAAATTTTTTTCTTGATATATTGTTTCATGTAATCATAATCTCATTGAAAAACTATAATCATGTATTAGTTGCACAGGTCAGTCAATAGACCTGAAAACAATGCATCATTCAATTCATCCCGGAAAGCCCAACACCAATGTTGTATTAGATGTATGTACGCATGCGTACCAGTTTTACACTAGTTGATTGTCTTGATTCCATTTCTACAACAAACCATTCTACAAACAAGCGTCCTGATCAAATCTGTGAGAGAAAGATTGCATGATTTTGTAAAATTGAGCGCGCATGCTTTAATTGAACGGTTTTGAAACTTCTCTGAAGTCCTAATAAAGAAATTTTGAAAAGATTGACGCTTCCTGTGTACTTTGATGATCTAATGAATTAATCATAATTAATTATTAGTTGAGTTGAGCATTTGCAGTTTCGACTTCAGATTCTTCTTAGAAAAATGGTTCAGCACAGCGATGGTAGTAATTGCCTTCTTTTACTGTATGGATGAAATAAAATCATTACATTACGTGATATTTTTCGGGATAAAGTTGTATTCTATCGTACCTGGTACAAACTGGTTCCATTGAACTTTGCAAGCGGTGCATGTACGTCAATATTGAGCAAGAAGAGTAGTGTATGGCTGTGTTGAATGCTTCATTGCTAAGGACCTTTACTTTTCCTCTACGTCGCTCATTCACAAGCTTTGCTAACGTAATTTCATACTCAACTCTTACAGGTATGTTTGATTTCGTTAGTTAATTTACCATCCAAACAATACAGTCAATAAAAAATATTTTTTTCATTATATTTCATACACTATGAATTAACTGCATTTTAATTTTTTTCTGTTTTGTAATAAAACTATCAAATTTGAATATTTTTCAAGGTAAAAAAGAAGCAACTATGGTTTTAGACAAAGTTCAAGAGCAACTTTTGGAAGAAAAATGCATTTTAGTTGATGAAATGGATAAAGCTATTGGGGAGGCAACAAAGAGAGAATGCCATTTAAATGACAACATTAAATCTGGAATGCTACATCGAGCATTCAGTGTCTTTTTGTTTAATAGTAAAAATGAGTTGCTGCTTCAACAGAGATCTGATGCCAAAATAACATTCCCAGGTTGCTTTACCAATACTTGTTGTAGCCATCCTTTGAATTTTCCTCAAGAGATCGAAGAAAAAGAATCTATTGGAGTGAGGAAAGCAGCCCAACGTAAACTTGATCATGAATTAGGAATAAAAGCACATGAGGTATGACCATTTCTCTTCCACGCTTGTACAAATTGCCATTTTAATATAAACTAGTTGTTTAAATGATATTTTAAAAAGTTGTGGCATTTAAGAATGATTTCTATATATGAACCAGTTCTATAAATGAAAAGTTTCTGTGTTTCATAACTATTGTGACTTTTCTGTTAAGATTGCTAGTTAGTTGCCCAATTATTTCAGGAAATTTTTGAATAAGTGTAAAAAAAGATGGTTATTTCTTTGTGTTTATTGAAGTATGTCTTTAAGAGACTATTTGTCTTATGTGTTTGCTTTGTGTGCATTAATTAAAGAATTTGTCTCTGACATTTTTAAGGTCCCTTTGGAGAACATCCATTTTATAACAAGAATCCATTACAAAGCTCCATCAGATGATAAGTGGGGAGAACATGAGATTGATTATGTTTTGTTCATTCAGAAAGATGTGAATATCAATGCAAATCCAAATGAAGTAAAAAGTTTTTGTTTTGTTGATCAAAAAGAAATGAAAAAAATTCTTCAAGATGCTAATGAGAAGAAGATAGAAATAACTCCATGGTTTGAATTACTATGCAAAAACTTTCTGTTTAAATGGTGGAATTATTTAGGTAACTTGGACAAAATCAAAGATGTGGAAACCATTCATAAGATGATAAAAGAGTAAAAACTGACAATTTTGTGTTTATATTTTTGAGTAATTAATGTTGTAGTCTTATAAAATGTCAGTAATTGTAAACTTTTAAGGTAAACATTGTAGTAGTTATTTATGATTACTATTTTAAAAAATCTCACAACTTTAAATTTGATGAACATATGACCTAGGGAAGTAAAAGCATAGTTTTAAATAAACGTATGGCGATGTGGTTGCCAGGCAAGTTTGTTTGGCTCCAGTATTCTCTTGTACATGTGTTGTATAGCTCTAAAACTATCGTTTAAAAGTGGTCAAGTAACTCAAGTTTAAAGTTTCTACTATAGAGGCTAAGGCCAGCTGGCCAAATGCCAAACCATTTAACCAAACTTGTTCTTGAGCCTGCATTAGCTATGATATGTAATGAATGGGTGGTTACTGTAATGGAAGATTTAGGAAAGGTAACTAACGTAGTTACCATCACATGTTTCTTAAATAGAGGACATTTGGAGAGCAGAAATTGATTTCAATAGAAACTGACAAAGTACAACATGCACAAATGATTTGATCTCAAAAAAGGCCAAGTATAGCGACTAGTAAGTACAAACTCTGGAGACAATATTTATCCAGCCCATTGCCCGAGTTGAATAGTTTCGTGTCACGTTATTGTTGATAGGACATGGTAAATCAAGTCAAAATTTTATCATAATGTTGTTGATCCAGGAGTCATGAGTCAATAATAGAATGACTTAGTAAAAAATGATACTTTACTGTGCTTGTGTTCGAGAGATGCAGGGAAAGGTATAATAAAACCTGGAGTAAAATATTTATCATTTTTTGTACAAATACGATAGTATGTAACATTGATTTTAGCAATCATGTTTCTGACTTAAAGAAGAATAAACTCGTTGACGACATTGAGATTCGTGAATTTGACGTGAATAGGGTGATGTTTGAACATCTCATACTCGTTTTCGTGGTGTCCAAAACAGTTCCTTACTCGATGATTTCTTCATCTTGCACCGCTCTAAATTTATATTTCGTCTTGTAATTTACTGGACATTGCAGCCGATTTTTAAACTTTTTATCGTGTTATTTTCGAAGAGTCAACCGATCCTTGTCATGACAAAATTGACCCAAGAGAATTTAGCATTGCATTTGATTGCAAATCAACGACTTGAGACTTTAAAGAGACTAAAGTTGTTCAATAAATGTGGGCTGAACAAATGTATCACATCGTAGGCACTGTTAAAGTTACATGTGCATCCAGATGGATTAGCATTACCACTGCATGACAAAGATGATAAGAACTATATATATCTTTTTGATGGACTTTTTGAGAAAACTTGATGGTCTTTTTTGAAGAATCAATCAGGTATTTGAGATATAGCTGATGCTTATATTGTCAGTATTGCTACCGACTTGATGAACTTCTGAACAGCTGAGGGTTCTCTCTGCAAGATGAGCCGTGAAATAATGAAAATTATGTATCTTGTGTATGGTGAAAACATCTGAGCAAATAGTGATGGGACTCCTAGTGAACGACGTTGTTTAGGATTTCAATGAAGATTAAATGAAAGTAGATTCCACAAGATTGAAATTCTACAAGGCTATAAATTTAGCAAAGCATCTTCTAGATTTGTGCTATAGTTTGGGTGCTGAAGCATCGTTTAATAGTTCAATCTAACTCTAAAAACAAAGCGGGATTTCGGTTTGAAGACGCTGCATTTTGAATGGCTTGTTGAATAAATGACATGTTCAAAATTTAAATCAATCATTTGTCCTATTAATATAGTGGTTGTGTACATAAATAACGAATAATAAACATATCTAAAAATCTTCCTTGCGAATAATAGACTTTTCAAGGTTATCGCAGCCATATTGCAGGGGGTGCAAAAACATTGGGTCGAGCGCGCGGTCACGCATGGCGTCCATATAAATAACTAATAATTGCGCAAAAATTACCCTTATACATATTGGCCATTTCTTTCAAATATATTTCTCAAACTCGTCCATTTTAATAGTCGAATTATTATTTGCGATTTTTTATACACGTGAGTCCAACTTTGTGGTAATCAAAAAGCGAAAAGTTAAAGAAAACATTTGTTTTCTTTGAACAACTTGACCGTCGTTTGAGCGATGTTCTTGAGTTCGCAAATGTGCGGAACTCATAAGCCAAGTCAAACGAACTAAACCCTAAACTAGCCGAGTAGCCGTGAGCAATCATAGCCGAAATGGTAAAAAATGCGCGTTGTGCAGTTGGATATTGCGATAATGATAAACGCTATCCTGATTATCAAGTTAAGAGGTCTCACGTAGAAAAGTTAGTTTTTCATAAGTGGCCCAAAGATTTGGCGAAAACAAATTGCAAACAGCAGAGCCGATGACTTTAACCCAAAGCCTGGTGCACAAGGTACTTTCGTTTGCTCAAATTATTTTCCCTTGAGAAGAAGAACCCCAAATAACTGCGGAACGGATTATCCTTCGGTTTTTATTACGCTATCAGAGTACGAGCAATCGAGGACTCCGCTTAAACGTAAAGGAAGAGAAACATGGACGACATCAAAGCGTCCTCATCAAGCCTATGACACCGAGGATTCTGATTTAAGTTTTGATGGAAATCCAGCAAAATCTGAGGCATCTTTACTCCCTGCCCCTTAGGAATTTGAACAGTTGACGAGAGAGTATGATGTAAGGTTTCACACCGGCCTGCCATCGACTAACAGTTTTAAGTGTGTATTTGAATACTTGGCTGTTTCTTCTTCTGGCTGTTTAGTCGCCATACATAATAATAAAAATAGCAATGTCACTTTACAAATAATTGGAAATACTAATAAGAGTTTGCCGTAGAATAGTTCCTCGTGATACTTGCTGACTTTGCTGTAGACATGTGCGTGTGTTACGAACTCAAGAACATCGCTCAAATGACGTTCAAGTTGTTCAAAGAAAACAAATGTTTTCTTTAACTATCCGCTTTTTGATTACCACAAAATTGGAGTCACGTGTATAAAAAGTCGCAAATAATAATTCGACTATTAAAATGGACGAGTTTGAGAAATATATTTGAAAGAAATGGCCAATATGTATAAGGGTAATTTTTGCGCATTTATTAGTTATTTATATGGACGCCATGCGTGACCGCGCGCTCGGCCCAATGTTTTTGCACCCCAGCAATATGGCTGCGATAACCTTGAAAAGGTCTATTATGATAGCCTTGATAGGTATGTTATTTTCATGCATTGCGTAAATTGATCGCATATTTCCCTTCAATACATTTGCATGTTTTTAAGTCTCGTGTAAGTTTATCCAATTAAAATACATTTTTTTGTGTTATGACAAGATTTGGTCACAGCCAAAATCCACATTATCTTTATTGTATCGTCTTTCAATTCCTTTTTCGTAAGCGATATAAAGACCATGAGCGTTCAAAAGATCAAATCCTGTTTCCCATCTACTTTCATCTCTAGACAAGGATGTTTGTACCCTAAGAACGCAGGGATTTGAGTGAATAGATCTCGTTTAGCGACAAATCTTAAAGTTCGATCACAACCAACCACTGTACTGAAGTATGATTTGAAACTGTCATCACCAACCAAAGGTGAACCAAATGTAACAACAGCATCTGGTTTTTTATTCAACTTTCCAGCGGCAAAAATTGCAGCAATTTGAGCCATTGAACCGCCTAAACTGTAGCCTGTTATGATTATAGTAAAATTCTTTGGTATGTTAAGATATTGATTTTCAAACCAGGATGAAATACTCAAATAACGTTCCATGAATCCCTTGTGTATTTTAAATGCGCTGCCATTTATATTTTTTTGAATTGGAAATATGTTTAAATTTTGTATCCAGTCTCGAATATTTAGCGCCTCAGTGCCGCGAAATCCAAAGACAGCAATCTTCTGTTCTTTATGCACAAAGAGAAATATTTCAGTGGTTTCTATTTGGTGATAAATAGTTTCCCATCTCCTGATTTTGCAAGCTGCACGGTCATAAGTAGAATCGTACTTTGGATTTAAAAGGATAAATCCAAAAATTCGCCTGGGTAAAACTGTCGTTGGATTTTCCATGATTGTAGTGTTTTGAAGATAGCGTTTTCCTGGTATAGGCATGTATGAAGCTTTAGACACTGCGAGTGACAATTTGATTAGTTTTGTCAGTGGTGTTACCACACGGCTTCCATAAGTTTCTTCTATTATATTGACTTTTAAGATTGCGCAGAGTAATGTGAAAAAAACGAGATTTTTCATAGTCGTTTTTAGATTGTTGACCAAATCAACAAGATGCAGTGGACGAATGTCACAGGTTAGCTGTTTATTAGACTTTAAACCCGTTAACTGCTGCTAACAAAGGTCATGCAGTGGAAAAACGTCATATAATTTGATTACATTGATATCAAATAACTGTGATCGAGGAATTCCATTCATCATTCTTGACTCCTTAGCTTAAAGCATTTATGAAACGATGTAGCATTTTTCATCTGAAGCTTTGCAAATTTAATCATCTTCACTCACTGCGAAAAGAATGGACGTCTGATAATATTGACAAAGTTATAAAATTAATTCACAGAGCATTTTATGGAAGTAAAAGTTTTCTTCCGAGGTTTTCAAATTTCGACAATGGAATCGCTGTCAAGGACTTCTGACGTTTTGGTTTTTTGGGACATTATGTACAGCAATGCAAATGTGTTTAACACGTCATCAACCATTGATTACCGTGGCCGTGAACGAACGATTAAATATCTCATCTGATCCACAAAAAGGCCGAAGTTTATGATTTAGAAATTTATAATCACCATACGCAAAGCATTCGTGCAGTTTCTTTAATCGCTATTACTGTTTCGTTTAAATAAATAAATTTCACATTGTTTCTATCAGCTTTAAAGCTTATTTTATAGCTTTTGTTTGAAAAGAGAACACGGAATTACACAACAATAATTTTTCAGCAGACGAGAGTATTAATCATGTATCCGATGAGTTGGTTCCAATATAACTTAAAACATGATAGAGGTTGGTAAGCAGGAGCTCTATAAATTTGATCAACAATTCAATATTTCTAAATATAAGGATATAATATTATATTCATATATACTATATAGTAACATATACTGGTGAACGTGAGTGTTATGGGAGCATCGAAGAAGTTTGTAAAACACAAAGCTATTACACAGGCTGGGATCAATGCCATATTCTTTGTTAGCAACCAACCTACAGCTAGAGTTGTATGATACAATGTTGTTTGCCTACGTCGACCTCGCATATTGGCAGGTGATTAAATTATCTTTGATGTAATATTGATTTACATTCGATTTCCAACATATCTGAAATACAAACAACAATAAAACGCCAGCTTGACATAAATGACATTTAATTTCTTCATATTTTAGCCTGGCAAACCGCGCAGGAATTCTTAGCAAGACCTATTTAAAAAATAATTCTGCAGAAAAAACTGAAAAATTTGTTTTGACAATTATTATACCGATGTAAATTGTTGGCCTCATGCTCGAGACAAGTGTTATTATCAGCTTGTGAAGACATTCAAAATTTATTGTTGAATAACACTGACATGAATTTTATGCAAATACTTCAAACCCAGACATAAATAGAGATAATAAAGAAAGTTTTCTCTTACAGACAATAATAAAAAATTCTTTTTATGTGGTTGAAAAATTTGAAAATAGCCTACGGTTAAATAAGTTAAAATGCACTTTCCAACCAAAGCACATAGTCTTATTGCACGACGCAAATTGTAAGCTTATTAATGACTCAAAGTTGTCGAATGATTTTGTACATATACTTCAATTTCAAATGAGAACATCTAATTTCTATAAATACACAACTTAAATTATTTATTAGTAAACTAAATTTCTATGTATTAATTATTGTATGTCTTGTGATTATTACGCAATAGGTTGCGTAACAAAATATCCATGAGACATAATGGGACATAGTTATAATATCCTCAATAACTTTATTGCGCAAATGCGTTAGTACTAAATGTTTTCAGAGAAGTGGTTCAAATAATATCGCTGATCATAACCAACAGACCGCAGGATAAGTGAATTAGTTGAGACAATCTCTCGAGCAAACATGAACTTTGTTTTATAGTATTATTTTCCTACCATGCATTACGTTAAACTTCCTCTGACCTCTTACATATCATTAATGTCATGCACAGGAAAAACATCTGGTTCTCTGTCTTCACTAGATAGTTATTTCTACGAAGCTATCAGTCTTACAGAATTTTTGCATGATACCTGGTCGCACGAAAGCACGTGAAATATTTCGAAAATAAAAAATCCCCTTCCAAATTCCATTTTATTACCCGTGAAATGATATTAACTGGATGAATATAAATCTTGGAAGAAATATATTATAGTCTTTTTCTTAAAAAATAATTCATTGATACATACAAACACTTTAAACAACAATTATAACATGCATTTTGAATACAAATATTGTTTTCATTCTCACAAACCGTTGTTAAAGGCGTGAGAATAAATACAAGGAATTCAATAACCTTTACGTACTTGTATAAATTTTAGAAAAATAGCTTCTAAATAGCCCTCGTGTCTCACGTGTGTTTGACAGTGGCTCATGAACAATAAGATAATTTCTACATGTTTGCAAGTAGAAGTAGATCTTGAAGGTTAGTAGAGTCCTGAGAAGGACTGTTGGTGTTGATGTTGACTGACGTTTTGTTTTTGACTCTTAAGATGACTACCGCTAAGGTTGACGAAACGTCAGTCAACACTCAACATCAACATCAACAGTCCTTCTCGGGACTCTACTAACATGGACGATCTACATCTACCAACATGTAAAGATACTCCCGAGTTCATTCACTTTAAGACAATTTCTATCGGAGTGTATAAAAAACTGCAACTCGATTTTATAGCAGCTACTGCCAATAGTTAATGTAACATTACCTGTGTAACGTTTTATACAAATGGCTCAATTAACAATAGAAGAACGTGAACATGAAATCCTAAACATAAAGTTATTTTCAATTACTTGTAGAAAACCTGAAGATCAATTACCACGGTTCATGCAAATTCTAAACGTTTGGTTTTGTCAAAGATTGCAGTATTTAGGGGAGAGTGTATCATAGAAGGCAATCAATTAATATTTTATAGTGTATATATTGCTCTTAAATACAAGAGATTTTAATTAATATTTTATAGTGTATATATTGCTCTTAAATACAAGAGATTTTAGTTCTCCAGGAATTTAAAATGCTTGTTATCGTATTCGTAAAGTTGAAGTGCTAATTAAAAATGACAAATGCTTGCTTCTCAAATCCCAGAGCCAAACATCTTTTGTTTACATTGAACTCGCATTTGTTAAGAAAAACTCGCTCTCTCATATTCTTGAATGTAACAATTCTCTTGCACCATCACGTCGATTGGTGCTCATACTAACACTCATAAATTGTTCTTTTCTATAAAACTACAAACATATGACAGATGGTAAGTCAAGAATCGAAAGCCAAGACCTTCACATTTGCAATAGGTGCCATTCTATTAAGCTTAGTACCTGCTCATGAGAAATGCTCCAGTAGTTCTATGTAGTTAAAAATCCTTGTATCTGATGTGCAATCAAGCTTACACGACAAAATCTGAAAATCACTCTTTATTCCTACATATGTCGTTCATGTAAAAATTTATGTTATGTGGCTACCTCATATGGTTTTTTCATAATTTACATACGCAAGATGCAACTTTAATTTGGCTCAAGTTTGTTGAACTTCTTCGAGAGAATGAAATATATATCCTTTACTAGACTTACTAATGCTAGGAGCTGCTGCCTCTCCATTTCTATTTTAAGTGAACACTCACAAATTACTTCATCAACATTGATATGAAACTTCTTTCTTCAAATTTAAACTATCGTCTAAAACATATTATATCAATTGGATGACGTATTTCTTTTCAGTAATTCCTAGTTGCGTAGCAAGGCCGAAAAGTTTTAGGCATGTTTTGTAGATCTCCGATTACAATCATTATAAATTAATTTACTTAGAAATCTACTGTGTTTTGAAAGTGAAGAGAAACATAAAAAATTTCACAGTACATTTATAAATGACTGGATACGCCGGTGACAGTTTCAAGAATTCTCCATTCAAAGGAAAAAGCGTGAAGCGTGTATTGTGAATGTGATTGCATAACAAGTCACGTGGCGCCTTAGAAGTATTCGTTGACGTAACAAGGCGGTGTACCTAGACTTTACATTTAAGATGTGCTATTTTGCTCGCTCACTCTCCATGAATTACGTAATGTTATGTTCTTCCTATTTTGTTTAATAGCACATGACGTTAGCACGATCCAACGGTACATATATATTCATCCCACTTTCCCGGCCACCTTTAGCAGATTCAAACGTTTAATATTTCGAAAGTACGATGCAAATGCATACACATTTATCTATAGTCCTGATACAAAACGTCAAAACCATTTCAAAATACAGAAATAGACACAAATACCAATACTATTTTTAGCCGACGAATGTAATAAATTGATTTTCTTTTGATGATTAATGTCCATCGTAGTTATTGGACGTCATATGAAATAGAGTGAGAATATGTTCTTATTTCCTAAAATAATTACATGGTAGCAATAATTATGTGTGCATGACATATCTAGAATAGAGATATTTTAAAATGGGTGTAGATAAATTCAAGAGAGAAAAAGAGAATACTGAATAGTCTTCAGTCGTAGCTAGCATATTTATTAATACCTGTATTACATACACAAGTTTCAACTATTTACGAAACATAGACAATGCCCTGGCTTTTCGACATTCATTTAACTGTTCAATTTCATTAAAAAATCAAGAGTTTAATAAAAGATATATCAGTGCCTAACTACGAGGAAACTACGAACTTTTTTGTTTTCTACAGCCAACACTTTTTCTTCCAACTTCAGAAGCTCTTCTCAATAATTCGTTCTCAACTTCAAGTTCTTTTGTCTATCTTGAATCCAACACAATCGAGCGCGTTTTGCTTCACGTGACCGCCTCGCTGCTTCGTTATTACTTCTTCTTCGCTTCCAATATTTTTCATCTTTTTCAGATTCTGATTTTCGTTTTGATTTAAGCTGCTTGGCACATAAATTTAAAAATCGACTGTTACTTTTGCTTTTACACTTTCCATCAATTAAAGATGCTAAGTTGAGACAAACATCTATTTTGCTATTGGTCTTCGATTTTGAGTTATTGTCTAATGGTATGGGAATAAGACTAAACGAATCAGAATCCAAACTTTCATGGAGTTTTTTACGTATCAAATCTTCGCTCAGCGAAGTTGCCAGCAGTAACAAGTTCAAATTGTTTTTCTGCAAATTTTCAAGTAACTTCATCGAGATCTTGTGTAGGTTTTGATTCCGTACTTTCTGTACTTTCGTCGCTTTCTATAACGCTATTTTGATTTTCACCTAACGCTGAACAATAAATTGATTCAAGTAAACTTTTAGGATTGTTGTCGTGTTCTTTGTAACTAAACTGCAGCAAATCATTAACATATTGCATTTCTTCTTCCCCGACTGTACTATTATCTTGAATACCAAGCAACTCTTCGTTCATTAAGACATTCCTGCCAAACCCATGTAGAACATTGGGTTGATTGTCAAATATACTATCTTCCATAATTTACTAAATAAAAAAGACATTTGACGTGTTAAAATTTTGAATGTTCCTTTACACCCTAGCATGTTTGTAATGTTAAAGTTAAATTCTTTGTGACACTCTCCAGTAAACTTTATTTATATTTGACAAACGCAAGGAGCTTCAGTCCAGGGAAGCATCATGTAAAGATACTAGCAAAGATTTACACAAACTTTTTTAGCTGTGTCTGTCAGATGATAAAGCTCAAACAGTCTAACTTTGCTTACTTGCATACATGCCTATATCTACTCGATAATATTTGCAATATTTCTCATTTTCGCAGCTACGTTTGCAACTTTAAATCCAAACATAACCTTACAGCGCTGTTAGCGCATAATCAAATGTTGAAGCTTGCACAAACCAAAGCTCATATGCTGACAGAAGTGGTTTGAACTTTTAAATAATAATTATAAATTTCTTTCCTCTTGAAAGTAGTAACAAGACCGATGCAAATCGATTTAAATTCTAATTTTTGAACGTAGAAATGACTCAATAGACCACAATTTTAATATGGTTTTGTCTATTTAGGTGTTTTTGTAACCAATTTAGCTATTAAAGTGCATATCTCACAATTTTTTTTATATTTTTATATAAATTTCAGTAAATTTCTCAAATTGCAATATCAGCTCAAACTAACAAGTCTGCATATAGAACAAAACTGCCTAGTTTATGTTTAAATAAGCGTTCGATATAAAAAATAATTGAGTGTAAAAACCATAAATGTTCATGCACATATAAATATCTTTTAACAATAACGATAAAAGCGTGTAAATGCCCCGTGAATTTATTGCTCGAATGGTAATGCGCTACACATACTAAACGCAAGGGTGCTTATAGCCATTTAAAGTCAATTGCCATAAGCATCATACACAACCAAAACATTAAAAAACAACGTAAATGAAATTTCAAAATATACTTACGCTCAGTGTGTTTATTAAAATTTTCTCGGAAGAGTTAACCATAAAGGTCTCTCGGTCACCGGTCTCTTAGGAAGGTAATGTAAAACTTGCCACTTGTATCAATGTTTCTAGAGCAATGGTATAGCTCTCTAAGGTAGGCGAAAAATGGACGGTGTTTCTTGTTTGTGTGCTAAGCGATAATAGACAAAAACTTACTCATATCCGCTCCATAAGGTAACTTTAAAGTGTGGACGGGCCATTAAAAAACACATGCATTTTTGTACAGTTTAAGTCACGCGGACTGTACACGTGCTGGACACGAATAAATCAAACATGCATGCATTATTCAAAAGATATCAATACTTAATTTTCTTACTTATATCTATTCTCATGCTCTTGTTTTGTTGTTTTGTATAATACTGTCCTGTGGAATAATAACTTGCAACCTCCTATCGTATTGGCAATGATTCTGAATGGAGTCAAAACATCAGTAATTTAATAACTGAGTCTTGTTTTCTATTCGATATAATTTATATCTTCAGTTTGGAAGATGTCTTTGTATGAGTATTTTTCATCGTAAATTTTCTGAAATTGATTTTTTTATTACAAAATCCTTAAATGTAATAATTATCTGCTCAGTAAGAATTTTCTTTAATTTTAAAGTAAAATGTTTTTCCATCACGATGAATACTGAAAATGATTGCAGCTTGATCTTATTTAACCTGCTTGAGAACACTGAAGAGGCTGTGTGATTAAAATTTCAACAGGGCTGAATTATGCAGCTTGCTTGGAAAATTTCCTCGAGAATAGCTATTAAGGCAATATATGTTCTGCAAAGCGATATATAACTCACTTTTTTCATAGTAATTGTTGTATCTTTTAGATTTGACAAAAAATTGTTAACAAAGATTCACTTTATAAATTGATAGCCACATTAAACTTGTAGACCCACATTAATTATAATATTTGTATATTTGTATAAAAAGTAGTAAACAATGAGGCAAGTGTACATGTCTTGAATTACATCATGATTTTTAATCATGACACAGCCTTGCAAAGTAGTTAAAATACCAAAATATTTACACATTTTATCTTATGATTTACAAATTTATTTTTTAATCAATATAGAAAGGCTTTAAACGATGCCAATCATTTGAAGCAATGGTACGGGAACGATCGATGAACCGAGTTTTTTTCGATTTAAAATTTATTCATATTCATCGTAGAAAAGTTTACCCTCTACGTTGGCAAAGCCTGTGAACAATCAGACATGAGTTATGGCACTGTGGTGATAGTAACGTGTATAGTCGTGGTGGGAGCGTCCTGTGATGAAACACGTGCATCTTATGTATTTCATTGCAGGGCCGGCTTTCTTCTGGCACTTTCGACTGGAAAATAATAACTATATTTTTGATCGCTTAATCCAAGTATGAAAGTTGTAACGTGTTTTCAAACACATAACATTTTTATTTAAATTACACGGAACAGCAAGGCACGTTATGGTTTTGAAAAATAACAAGGAAAACTGTCATTGGTGGTTACATAAGAACTGATCAATAGACTGATTTTGGTATGCATTATTTCTTTAACTCTGTCCGAATGTTGTGCCAAGAGTCAAGACTAGATGGACTTTGCCCTAATGATAGATAAAACCTTTCTAACTGTTTAAATCTCGATTCGTTGAAGTCTGAAAATGAAAGCAGTATTTATTAATGTTGACTTTACGAATTAGGAACTTTAGCATAGGAATAGGATAGTATGATCGATTAATTTTCCTGATAACGGGCATAATAATGTGGACAAACGTTACTTGAAATATGAGACGTTTCATGACAGGAGTATCAAATAAACTCATTTTATACATGCAAGGTTTAAACCATGACTAAAAGTTGCGTCATAGATTATGAGTTCACTGTGAATAATGTTATTTCAATAACGTATTTCAGTAAAGTACATTTGTACATGTTCTAGAAAAATATAATTTAAAAAATAAACTAGGAATCTCAAGGAATAAATTATCGCGATGTTCATGATGTCTTATTCATTCCAAAGGTTATCCGGTCACCGCCGCTTGTGATGTTACGTAAGATTGATTTACGAGGACGCGGTTCACAATAATATTACAATAACACGTCTCACTGAGAGAAAATTTCGCTGAGTAATGCTGACTGAGTAACTTCAAGGTTCAATTGTGTAGTAAAACAGTAAATGTGTTAAACCTATATATCTCTCTATTATATAATAATTTCATTAATTTATCTTAAAGTATTCACTATATCAAAACGATTGGTTAGATTAAAGCTCAATGCCATGGTTTGAAAATAACGCGTGAAAACGAGTTGCAATTACTATAATTGGCAAGAATATAAATTACTATTTACCAATTCACAAAAATGATAGTAATAAATTATGGCAAATTGGAAATTTTTTATGATATAAGTTACTATATACGGCAGTGTTTGCAATAATTTATTAGCAGTTCGTTAAAATATAATTTTAACAAAAATCTCCTCCCTTGTGCGAGTGTGTGACATTTTAATTAGAAGTAAATGGTAAATTTAAATGATCTAAAACGGCTGTTTATGAACGGCTTACGTCTGAAAAAGCGCTCTTTCTTAACATTCAGAAGTTGATCAGTCAACTGAGTCAAGGATAAAGGGAATACGTATGAGCTGTAGAGTGTTCGATCACAACTATTGCCTAAAAGTAGTTATCAAATTTGTCAACTATCTTATTACCGCTGCACCAATGTTAGAATGTGGACTAAAGAGCACCAACAGCTTTTGAAATCTTTCCAAGATCGCTGTCCGCAGCTGAAAAAAATATTCTCAACGAGGCAGAGATACATAAGCACAGTATTTTGGGATAAAAATAAACTTCCACAAATATGTATACATAGTCAATATTTTACCATAATGACTTAAATTAAGTCACTGCATTGCGTAATTCACCATGAAAAAATGACGCCATAAATGGCTCTGCAGCTCGAATTCAGTGTCCGACATGAAGTAAAATGGCACTTGTCATTTTCACTTTTCAGACGAAGAATCATGAAAAAAGAACTGGTATGGATTTGTAGTGATTTGGCAGTGTTGTTGACAGTTTCTGGAAGACTACTTCATGTGTTCAACAGGTATCCTGTCGATTTATCAGATCCTCATAAGAAATATAAATACAATATGTTACTGGATACCTTTGGATACAATAAAAACAAGACATTCATCTTCAAAAAGATTATCAGGCTTGACAACATTAGCTTCTGGCAAACGTAGTATGGTAGATGTTATGTTTTGTTGAATAGTAAAATAATAGCGGATCAATGGCATAAAAAAATAGTTTCATCACTTTCACGTACGTTGGTACTTAATTCTGGAATCTTATTCGAAACCAAATACAGGAGAGGCAATATTATCCATGGTGAGCTTTCGGACTAAAATGCCTCTCGTGTTTTCTAAAAAGTGTAGTATTTTCTAGCTTGTAGTTAATGTTATATTCAAATTTCTATTCATAAAAACTTCTAAAGTCATGTAAATAATTTCAATTTTTCTATAGTATATCACTGTTATTCTTGGATAACAATAGCGTGTGTAAATAAAGTTCCTTCATTTATTTTTCATACATTCAGATATAGCATTCATTCAGAAAAAGATTTAAGACTCCATTCAGTTTTTCGATGTGCTTAAGTACTTTAGGCTAAGTCGAACAATTGTGATATAGAGAGAATTTTTACTGTTCCGTTCTACTTTACAACGACGACAATAGATAAATGCTAAAGGCACGGCGTCTGACTGATAATTGCGAGGGCAAATGTTCATACATGAATGTTGTACTTTTTCAGTTCCTTTTATAAATCAATTGTGATTAGATACAGATTATAAATAAATTAATATCATCCCCCCTCCCTCCCAATTATCAATCTTCGCGGTCAGAGTGGATGGCAAAAAATTCCAAAATAAAGTTTGCCAGTTGTAGAAAACAAACAAACCATGAACGTTGTGTTTCTTTACACAGATTAGTGACTCACTTAAAACAAGTTTTGTTGCTTTAATTAACTTATATTATCATTCAAAATGAGGTAACTAACTAAAAACTACTTTCCAGTTTTCATATTTCAAAAACGTTCTATGATTTTTTAGAGTATCCCTTACACAACTTTGAATACAAATGCAATGTATAGTAAAGCCTATGACTAGTGATATTTTGCATACTTAAACAGGGCTCAAAATAATGGTGAACGAACAATGATCAGCCAAAAATGCTTATTGACCAGAATTCCTTTTACTTTGCCGGTCATTTTCAACATTTCCACATTCTCCACAGCACTTATAAATCGGTTTTTCTTTCAATGCTACTTTGAAATATTGAACATCAACTTTTGCTGGTTTTGCTCAAAAACCGTGTTTGGTTTTGTTCTGGGTGAACTTGGACAGATGGCTCAAAATTGATTTCGTTTTCATAAAGTGTTCAGATTTAATGTTTGGCACTTTGGCCCATCCATCAACACCTAAATTGTTTTGTGTGTAAGCCAAATTTGCCTTATGAGAGGATTCCCTTAAAACACGATAGTGAGGCGAAGACTGTCAAATAATAAATGGATTGGTCTATGGTGGATTTAGCAGCAAATTTATGTTCAACCAAAGGTTGTTTTTTTATCTCAGGTATACATGGCAGCTAAAGATTCTTTTGCAAATTCATGAACATGTCTTCGCAAAAGTGCATAGACATCTTTGCAGCCCTGTTTAGCAAGGTCAATGACTTTTTCTAAATTATCTTCATGTAACTTTGAATCAAGCCTGAACAGCACAATTTTATCTGTTTTAGGTAAAATTGCCATGGTCAACTGAGGAGCACTTGTTGATTCTTCAATATAGTTAACATCCAAAAGGGGCGAATCATCAATCAAGCTTACGGCACATGAACAAACATAATCTTTCATAGGAATGCCAGCATCTAGCAAAGCAAGAGTTGCAGCATTTATACAAGCACTGTATGTTCCACCATCTGCTTGTAGGATCTAAAATATGTAAATGATAGATGTATATTTATTTCATTTTCTGCAAGATACATATTCTCAACTGTTAAACACCTTGAAAAACGACTAGGTTACAATGCATTTCAATGTAAGACAATCTCAAGTTAAGCAACAAGTTTTGAAATTTTGAGTGCTTGCAAAAATGTTTAAAAATGTGTAAAGATTCACATCAGATTTGATTTTCATGTATTTTGGAATAAGTTTAATAAGTAAATAGTTTAATTTCAATAATGTAGCTCAAAGAAAACATCTCAGTTATAATGAACGAAATACTATAATAAAATGCAAAACAATATATACACAAACAGATACAAAATTGTGCTATTATTCATACTTTTCAAGTACCGAACAAGTAAGAGTAAAGATCTCTGAATAACATGTTGGATTGTGGAAAAACGTACCTGAACAAAAATGTCAATTTGTGATCTTGGATATAATGAGGTCATAATACATGATTCGAAAGTTCGTCTAATTGCCATTGATATTTCTAAAGACTTTCTATCTCCTTTAGCTCTAGTCTTTCTCTCAGAAGTACTAAATGTTGCCATGCTAAACTCGCAGTTCAATAAAACTTTGTCATGAAGTGCCTTCGCTTTGTTTGTGACCTCGTGTGGACCATACACTGCTGCCAAGGTTTTTGTGTTTCCCATTTCAACGTAGGCTGATCCATCAGCCTGTCCAAAAACACCCATACGACACACAAAACGACGCAATTCACCTGGTCGACGGCCATCCAACCGAAATCCTTCTGGTGAGAGAATTTCAAGTCCAGCCATGATAAAAGCAATAAAGACACTGCCAGACGGCAATGAGCAATGTTTTACTTCATGTAATCATGTGTTGGTGTTGGTGTTGTTGTCTACCATTAAAATATGCATATCAGACTAAAATCTATAAAATGATTGATAAAGATAACTTGTCTACATGGCAGTGATCAATGCCTATAATGTCTAGAAGAATTGCTGGAAAGACTTTTCAGTACGAAGATAAATTGCCAAGTTTGCCGGTACCAAAGATTGAAGAAACTTGTGCTAAATATCTTGACTCTGGTGGGTTGAAAAATATCAATATTCACTCTTTATACTTGTAACATTGTTGTTGATGTGATATTATCATTACAAACATTTCAGAATACAAGATTATGACAATTTACATGTTTAAGGCTAAATTTCCTAGTTTGTTGCAGTTTAAAAAGTGTTTGTAGGTTATAATTCGTTTTTGTAGGTTATAATTTGTTTATACATTTTTATATTGTATTTATGGCGCTGAGTTCCAGTCTAGGTTATAGGTTCAACCACAAACTGTTGGAAGTAATCAAAACAAAAATTTGCGTGATAAGTTTTATAAACATCAAATAGAATTAAAATAGCTTAAAACCATAGAATTAATGAATTTAAAAGGTGGTGTATGTTTTAGATTTTCTCCATTTGTAATGTATTTTTGACAATTTTACAGGTTTTATATGAATTTACTTGTCATTTTTGTACTTTGCTCCCCATTGTTATCTTTCAAATTTTTAATATGTTATTGCAAATCTGAAGAAACATTAAGGTCAATCACTGAATCATAACAAAAAAATAACAATACTACCAAATCCCAAACTGTAGAAGTATGAAAGAGATTTTTGAAATACAAACTACCCATGCTAAGGCACCTCACGATCTGAACATATGTCTTATAATGAGCCAATAATTCCAAATAATTTACATAAATTTATCAAACTAATAAAATAAATTAAATCATTACAAAAAAAACCATTGCAGTCAATTTTGATGATTCACATGTCATTGTCTAGGTACACAACAATTTAGCATTAAACATAGCACAATGACTTATATCAATATTAATGGTTCCTTAGATAATATTTATCTCTTGGTTTGCTCAGCTAATTATTTTTTCCTCAGCTTGCTTGGTATTTCCAAATTCAGCATCTTTGTACCGATATAATTACAATTCTTTTCACTGAACATTGGATATGTAACCTGGCTCACCAGAATAATTTTTTCTCAGGGTTCAGCAAAGCAGATTTCTCCTTGCATCTTATTTGGCATCTTCAAATTTAACATCTTTCTATAAACACAATCACAATCCTTTCATTGTACATTGGACATGTAACCTGACCTCTAGCTTTGTCTTTAAACCATCAACTGTATTAAGCAACTGAAATTCTCCACCTTTATCTTTTTTTGTAATCTCACTGCCCCCAACAACACACATGTATTCTTTCCTTGGCTAATCCTCCATATTCAATAGCAGCATGCTGATCATATTTGCCCACTTCTGCTCTAGCTTTTCCTACTCTTTGCATCTTTTTATTTTATGACTCACCACTGTAGATATGATCTCAGAAAAAAACTATCGAAAGAAAAGCATGATTGACATATTTTGAATGATATATTAATGTTGTAGCTTATGTTCATTTAATTTTTGTTGATTTGTGTTCGATTCTTTCATAATGATTCCATTTTTTTCATAGTGAGACCATGTGTGAGTGATGAGGAATTTGCAGTTGCCCAGAGAAATGTTAAAGAATTTTGTCGAGTAGTGGGACCTGATCTACAGAAAAAACTGGAAGAAAGGGCATCTCAGTCCAAAAACTGGGTATGTTAACTGCACATTGTATGCTGTATGAATTAAAAATTGTCAATTTTTAGCGGAATCTTGTAGTTGCAGAGTTAAGAATTGAAAGACTGTGTGCAGAGATAATAATTTTTTTGGCTAAAAAATTTGTGTCTTGTATGTATTTTGTGTTTCCATTACTATCTGGGTAACATTTGGGACATTTGAAGTCACTAACTTAATGTTTTTTTTTACGAAGAAATAATGGAGTAGCTTGGAAGCATGTTTTAGTCCATTTATTTAAATTTAAGAATACTAGCATCATTCATTTTTTTTGGTATTCTTTATTTTTACCGTGAGTGAATACACATAAATTGGTAGCTTTAGCAGCGTGGAACAGGACTAAATAAACATTCTGGCTTCACTACAGAATTGTCCCTGCTATCATCAATAATATTTTGCTTCACTACAGAACTGTCACTGCTATCATCAATAATATTTTGCCTCACTACAGAACTGTCACTGCTATCATCAATAATATTTTGCTTCACTAGAGAATTGTCACTGCTATCATCAATAATATTTTGCTTCACTAGAGAACTGTCACTGCTATCATCAATAATATTTTGCTTCACTACAGAATTATCACTGCTATCATCAATAATATTTTGCCTCACTACAGAACTGTCACTGCTATCATCAATAATATTTTGCCTCACTACAGAACTGTCACTGCTATCATCAATAATATTTTGCTTCACTACAGAATTGTCACTGCTATCATCAATAATATTTTGCTTCACTAGAGAATTGTCACTGCTATCATCAATAATATTTTGCTTCACTACAGAATTGTCACTGCTATCATCAATAATATTTTGCTTCACTACAGAATTGTCACTGCTATCATCAATAATATTTTGCTTCACTACAGAATTGTCACTGCTATCATCAATAATATTTTGCTTCACTACAGAATTGTCACTGCTATCATCAATAATATTTTGCTTCACTACAGAATTGTCACTGCTATCATCAATAATATTTTGCTTCACTACAGAATTGTCACTGCTATCATCAATAATATTTTGCTTCACTACAGAATTGTCACTGTTATCATCAATAATATTTTGCTCTACTTTAACGCTACGCCTTTATTTTTCGAATAGACACAACAAAAACGAGAGCCAAACAAATAGCTTTAAGATGAATTTGTGAGAGCTTTTACCTCATTTCAGCTTGCTTTTACAAAAAAAGTTTTGAACGTTTATTTGAAGATTCAAATGTTCATTTGGATACTAACCTGACTCTTTATACACAATATACACACTTAACTCACCATGCAAGCAATACCCATTTTACAGGTTATACACACTCCACTAGCTAACACATTATACATGCTACACATACTATACTGACTATACTCACCATACAAGCAATATCCATTTTACAGACTATACACACTCCACTAGCTAACACATTATACATGCTACACACACTGTAGTGACTATACTCACCATACAAGCAATACCCATTTTACAGACTATACACACTCCACTAGCTAACACATTATACATGTTACACATACTGTAGTGACTATACTCACCATGCAAGCAATACCCATTTTACAGACTATACACACTCCACTAGCTAACACATTATACATGTTACACACACTGTAGTGACTATACTCACCATGCAAGCAATACCCATTTTACAGACTATAGACACTCCACTAGCTAACACATTATACATGTTACACACACTGTAGTGACTATACTCACCATACAAGCAATACCCATTTTACAGACTATACACACACTCCACTAGCTAACACATTATACATGCTGCACACACTATGCTGACTATACTCACCATACATGCAATACCCATTTTACAGACTATACACACTCCACTAGCTAACACATTATACATGCTACACACACTATACTGACTATACTCACCATACAAGCAATACCCATTTTACAGACTATACACACTCCACTAGCTAACACATTATACATGCTACACACACTATACTGACTATACTCACCATACAAGCAATACCCATTTTACAGACTATACACACTCCACTAGCTAACACATTATACATGCTACACACACTATGCTGACTATACTCACCATACAAGCAATACCCATTTTACAGGTTATACACACTCCACTAGCTAACACATTATACATGCTACACACACTGTAGTGACTATACTCACCATGCAAGCAATACCCATTTTACAGACTATACACACTCCACTAGCTAACATATTATACATGCTACACACACTATAGTGACTATACTCACCATACAAGCAATATCCATTTTACAGACTATACACACTCCACTAGCTAACACATTATACATGCTACACACACTATACTGACTATACTCACCATACAAGCAATACCCATTTTACAGACTATACACACTCCACTAGCTAACACATTATACATGCTACACACACTATACTGACTATACTCACCTTACAAGCAATACCCATTTTACAGACTATACACACTCCACTAGCTAACACATTATACATGCTACACACACTGTAGTGACTATACTCACCATGCAAGCAATACCCATTTTACAGACTATACACACTCCACTAGCTAACATATTATACATGTTACACACTATACTGACTATACTCACCATACAAGCAATACCCATTTTACAGACTATACACACTCCACTAGCTAACACATTATACATGCTACACACACTATACTGACTATACTCACCATACAAGCAATATCCATTTTACAGACTGTACACACTCCACTAGCTAACACATTATACATGTTACACACACTATACTGACTATACTCACCATACAAGCATTACCCATTTTACAGACTACACACACTCCACTAGCTAACACATTATACATGTTACACACACTATAGTGACTATACTCACCATACAAGCAATATCCATTTTACAGACTATACACACTCCACTAGCTAACACATTATACATGTTACACACACTATACTGACTATACTCACCATACAAGCATTACCCATTTTACAGACTATACACACTCCACTAGCTAACACATTATACATGCTACACACACTATACTGACTATACTCACCATACATGCAATACCCATTTTACAGACTATACACACTCCACTAGCTAACACATTATACATGCTGCACACACTATACTGACTATACTCACCATACAAGCAATACCCATTTTACAGACTATACACACTCCACTAGCTAACACATTATACATGCTACACACACTATGCTGACTATACTCACCATACAAGCAATACCCATTTTACAGGTTATACACACTCCACTAGCTAACACATTATACATGCTACACTTACTATAGTGACTATACTCACCATGCAAGCAATATCCATTTTACAGACTATACACACTCCACTAGCTAACACATTATACATGTTACACACACTATAGTGACTATACTCACCATACAAGCAATACCCATTTTACAGACTATACACACTCCACTAGCTAACACATTATACATGTTACACACACTATACTGACTATACTCACCATACAAGCATTACCCATTTTACAGACTATACACACTCCACTAGCTAACACATTATACATGCTACACACACTATACTGACTATACTCACCATACAAGCAATACCCACTTTACAGACTATACACACTCCACTAGCTAACACATTATACATGTTACACACACTATACTGACTATACTCACTGACCAATAAACAGTTGGATTTACAAACGGCATTTGATCAAGCTCGAGCTTGGGATTTGGCACAAAAATCATTGGAGACATACAATTCGAATCCCTTCACAAGCGCTGCTGTTACGGCATCTAACGGACATGACGAAAATAATGAAGAAGGACTAAGCGAGAGGTATTTAGCCTCCACTTCACGTTCCGCTAAGTGCTTCTTTTGTGGTAATAAGCAACATCCCCGGTCATTATGCCCTGCGAAAGAAGCTATTTGTAATAAATGTAAAAAAAGAGGGCACTACCAAAGAGTTTGCCGTTCTTCAGCAGTAGTCTCTAATTTAACGCAATCAGCTTACATAACTCTAGCTGCAATGGGGGAGTCATTGCTAAGTTCATGTATTGACATTCGTTTAAAAGAAAGAACTGTTACAGCTCTGGTAGATTCAGGAAGTATTCATTGCTTCATACATCCTGATTTGGTTGAGCAACTCTCATTGACAGTTCATCAGACCAAAGAAAAAGTTACGATGGCTACATGTAATTATTCCACAAAAATGCAAGGATATTGTCTTAGTGATATAACGTTAAAAGGCCGGTTGTATTCTCAGGTTAAGCTATATATTCTGCCCAATCTGTGTACTCATGTTATTCTAGGGCAAACTTGGCAAGCCCTGCACGAAAGTGTCACTATCCAGTACGGTGGTTCTGCCCCTCCTTTGAAACTTTGCAGTTTAACAGCTTTGAACCTAGACCCCCCACTCTTGTTCCAACATTTAACAGAGGGTTGTAAACCGATAGCTATTAAATCAAGGAAATATAGCCGAGAAGACAAAGAATTTATTACAACTGAAGTACAAAGGCTTCTAGATGAAGGTATAATTGAACCGAGTGAATCACCGAGGAGAGCACAAGTGGTCGTAACTAGAAACGATCGACAAAAAAAAAGATTAGTGATTGACAATTCGCAAACTATAAATAGATTCACACACCTGAATGCTTATCCTTTGCCTAGAATAGATGATATCGTCTCTAAAATCGCTCAGTACAAAGTTTTCAGCACCGTTGATTTGAAAAGTGCGTATCACCAAGTCCCAATTCAAAAAGAAGAAAAGAAATATACTGCTTTCGAAGCTAACCAGCGTTTGTACCAATTCCGTCGAGTACCATTTGGAGTAACAAATGGAGCAGCAGCTTTCCAAAGAATGATGGACAACTTTATCGCTAAAGAATGTCTAGAAGACACGTTTGTGTATCTTGACAACATCACGATTTGTGGCCGGGACCAAGCCCAGCATGACATAAATCTCGAAAAGTTCCTTCAAGCAGCTAGAAAGCGAAATTTGACGTTTAATCAAGACAAATGCTCCTTCTCAACAACCAGTATTTGCATCCTCGGTAGTATAATCGCTAATGGAGAAATAAAGCCGGACCCGGCACGATTGCGAGTTACCTGTCCCCCGTGATTTAAAAGAACAGAAACGGATTGTGGGTCTCTTTTCCTACTATTCTCAATGGATCAAAGACTTTGCAGCAAAAGTAAGACCACTGACACAGAGTACTGTATTTCCAATGGTAGGCGATGCTCTTACTTCGTTTAATCTACTTAAGTCCGATGTCGAAAAATCTGTGGTCCAAGCTGTTGACGAAGCACAGCCCTTTCAGGTGGAAACAGACGCTTCCGAGTTTGCTCTTTCAGCCACTCTCAACCAAAACGGTCGCCCAGTTGCGTTCTTTTCGAGGACGTTAAGCGGATCAGAACTTAAGCACGCTTCAGTGGAGAAAGAAGCAGCGGCTATTGTAGAAGCCGTGAGGAAGTGGAGACACTACCTTACGGGTAAGGTAGTGTCTCCACTTAAAAAGAGCAAAATTAAGAACGATAAGATAATGAGATGGAGGATGGAACTATCCACTTATGATTTTGATATAATCTACAGAGCAGGAGAAGAGAATGTACCAGCGGATACATTTTCTAGGATAAGAGCAATGAGCATGACCTCCGATAAGCTGATAGAGCTTCATGAATCTTTGTGTCACCCAGGAATAACGCGGATGGCACATTTTGTTAAAAACCGTAATCTCCCTTTCTCTATGGATGAAATTAAGCTCATGACACAGTCCTGCAAGATATGCAGGGAAAGTAAACCTCAATATTACAAAGCAGAAAATTTCCATTTAGTAAAAGCGACTCAACCCTTCGAGAGACTTAGTTTGGACTTCAGAGGACCATTGCCGACGATTAATCATAATAAGTTTCTTCTTACTATAATAGATGAATATTCTAGATTTCCTTTTGCTTTCGCTTGTAAAGACGTTAGCGCGGAGTCAATTATAAGTTGTCTCTGCGAATTGTTTTCGATTTTCGGTATGCCTGCTTACATACATTCGGATAGAGGTTCTGGCTTTATGAGTGCAAAAGTTAACGACTTTCTCCTCCAGAAAGGAATCTCGTCAAGCCGAACCACACCATATAACCCAGAAGGGAACGGCCAAGTAGAACGTTTGAACGGCACTCTATGGAAGACTATTTCCCTCGCGATGAAGACGCGAGGACTACCGGTCAGCTGCTGGCAAGAAGTTTTGCATGATGCTCTTCATTCCATCAGATCTCTGTTGTGCACTGCTACTAATGTAACACCGCATGAACGCCTCTTTATTCACCAACGAAGATCGACGAGTGGAACTTCCATACCAACGTGGCTATCCAAACCTGGACTGGTACTGTTGAAGCGTCAAGTAAAACAATCTAAGTATGATCCATCCGTCGATGAAGTAGAGCTAATCGAAGCAAATCCTCAGTATGCGCATGTAAAATTTCCTGATGGAAGAGAAGATACCGTAGCCACTAAGTTCCTCGCTCCACAAGCTGAGGAAAAAGAGAAGTTATGCGAGAAACCGCTACCACTATCGCCTTATAAAGATAATACTGTAGACGACCCACGTCAATCTCCTTTGGCCACAAAAGACGCTAGGAAACTAAATAATAGTTCGCCAAAGAAGGAAAGAGAAGGGAACTCACTACTAGAGGATCCCGCTCTACCTGATCAGTCGTCTTCACAACAGACACTACCGTTACGCCGCTCGCAGAGAGAAAAGAAACAACCCGACCGCCTGACATATACATGACATTAAACTAAAAGAAAAAAAGACAATCGGGCAGGACCAGTCTAATTTAGATTATTTAGTATAGATTATATAGTTATTTCAAATAGGAGAGGGTGATTGTAGTGATTATTACATGAAGTGCACCCACCTTAGTAACCGCGCCTAGTTTAAGATAATTACTTATAAAGAGACATTTTGTAAATTTTAATTTAGTGTTGAGCAAAGCCTTATTTTGAAAGGTTGTCCTTTGGTGTTTACTTGAATTCAAACTTCTGCTCTTTATAAGTAATTATCTTAAACTAGGCGCGGTTACTAAGGTGGGTATACTTCATGTAATAATCACTACAACATGCTACACACACTATACTGACTATACACACCATACAAGCATTACCCATTTTACAGACTATACACACTCCACTAGCTAACACATTATACATGTTACACACACTATACTGACTATACTCACCATACAAGCAATACCCATTTTACAGACTATACACACACTCCACTAGCTAACACATTATACATGCTACACATACTATACTGACTATACTCACCATACGAGTAATACCCATTTTACAGACTATACACACTCCACTAGCTAACACATTATACATGTTACACATACTATAGTGACTATACTCACCATCTATTCTTACTCTACTGGTCAACACATTATTCAGGCTTTCTGTAAGACATATTTATCATTTTAGCGTACATATTTGAAGCATCAAAGAATCGTAATCCTCGTAATATATTGATAGTAGTGGCGAAAACAGCCCGACTATTTACTTCTACGATGCAAAGTTTTCAGCAAAATTATTATTCATTTCTTTGGAAAATTAATTCCATTTATTGTTTTTTCAGTGATTAAATACAAAAAGATTTGCATTGTAGGAGTAAAAAATGGGCTTTCTTCCCTACTGATTGATAGCCTGCGTACTTTTAATTCACTGATTTTGTCAACTTTTCTTTCATATTTTTAGGTTGAAAAATGGTGGGAGATGTATAGATATCTAAAGCCTCGATATCCCATAGCACCCTTAGTTAACACGTGTGGTTCAGTAAATACCTTTGAAGACATCTGGCCACCATTGGAAGGTTCACAGATTAGCCGTTCTGCTATTATTTTATATTTTTTTCTGAAACAATGGACTTTACTGTATAGGTATTTAGTATTTTATCTTTTTATTTATCTAGAAAAAATTATACAATGCTCGAATTAACGGTGTGCAATGTGCAATTTGCACATCGTTTTAGCTAAAATGAAAACAATTGCACATCACTTTTTCAAACGATGTGCAAAAATCAGCGGTTTTAACGAAAAACACTGTCGTAAATCATATGAATTTGTTCACGCTTAAAAATATTAATTTAGCAATTAGCGCTATATAATAATTAACGTAGTATCGATTTGATTATGCCTCTAAAGAAACACTTTTGTCAAAAAATTGCACATCTTTTTTTCTGAACTAATTCGCACGCTATTATATTTCCAAAATTTTGTGGATTTTAGTTTTCACACACTCCACACACCTCCAAACACAAGCCTCTGTAAATATGTCCACTTTCCATTAATAATAACCTCGTTCCCTCACAATGAGAAGTTTTTGTCATGTTAGCAAACGTTTTATTATTATATATATTCATTTTTCTGTTTTGATTAACTTGTTCATTAACAGCACAAACGATTGCAATTGTATAACCTCCCCCCGTCCAGCACATAATCTGTTTTTTGTAAATGCCAAAGAATACTTCCGAACGTATTTCGGCGAAGGTTTATAATTGGAGGTTGACGATACTTTTCACCGTTCAATTGAACTATTTTTGTAAGCTCGTATTCTATTATGTAGACAGGAATTTCCTATTGATGGTAAACATGACCCCATAAGTATGTCACAGTACTACAATATCGTTTCATGGTGTCGGATACCTCAAAATGATGCTGACTGTTATGTTGCATATTTTAAACCTGGTATGGAGCTATTTGATTTTTCTGTTTCGTTTTTACTTGTTTTAAATGTAGAATCATTTTGTTTGTTATCATGTAATGATGTTATTATCTGCATGTGGAATTGTCATATGTTACCATGCTCATAGAAGGGAGATTAGATAAAGGAATTATTTGCTGGAGTTGATATGTATTTACGTAGAAAGTTATGCATTTGCAAAAATAAGAAATTTTGATCTTGAAGTATGGTGTGCTGTCACATTAGTGAATCTTTATGCACATTAATGAATGAACATTTTGCAGCTCCAAACCTGTGTAAAACATTTATAACAGTTATGATAAAAGGAAGAATTTACAAATGTGATGTGCTGAATTCAAACTTGGAACCCATTCCTATTCCGGACATGATCACGTGAGTTGATTATAAAAACAAACCGTGATGGCAGGGCAGTCTTATGTTCAGGCTACTTGCTATACACGAGTAAACAAGGCTTCAGATTACTTTGATTTTAACTTAAAAATTATTTTGCAGGAGTAAGAATTGATGCTGATTTTGCCACTTTTGCTTTAAAAAAGTAATTCTTCAGCCTTCAAGTTACATGCTATAACAAAGCAATCTTAAAATTAAGCGCTCAGCGGGTTATATAACGTTATTTTAAAGCAATTTTCGACTCGGCTAATTCATTATCTCTTGTATTGTTTTCTGTGACATTTCAGTCAAATAATTTTTAATTTAAGCTTACATTTAAAGGCAATTGAAAAATGTGTTCTTCATGCAGTTTACTTCTTACTGAAGGCAACTGCGATGGATCGTTGAAGATGTAGGGGGAAAGCCCTATGGTTCTGCTGTTGGAAGTTTGACAAGTCTCAATAGAGATGTATGGGCTAAGGTCAGCGTGCGATTTAATTTGAGCCGAAGAATTAAGCTACAAATTGATAAAACGTTGTCATTCGTACTGTTGTGAAAATTTTATTTTTTGCAGGAACGTGATCATATGCTGTTAATTCATCCCAATAATTCAAGAATATTTACGACAATAGAAGAAAGTCTTTTGACTCTTGTTCTCGATGATAGCAGTCCAAAGCATGTTGACGAGGTTTGATTTTTTCAACTATATTGATTAAACCGCGACAAAATATTAAGAATGACCAAAATTTCAAGGATGTCGGCTTTATTAAAATTTTAGAAAAAATTAAACATGATTCTGTACTAATTCAAACGAGTATAGACAACCTTAAAAGAACACTTAAAACCGCTTGATTCTGCAAGTTGAAATGAAGAAGTAGTTTTATGCATATGTTGACACAAACGAGCAACTGTAGCGTAGACAACCTGCTCCAGCAATGCAAATTTTTCTGTGTTCACTCACTTCAAAAGCAAAAGATTTCTGAAGAGGTGAATATTGACAATCTCTGAGATCTGTACAGCAGAACCTGAACTTGCGGGCAAGTGCAAATGGGAAATGGAGAATATTGTGCATTTTAATAAAATTTACGTATGGTCTTCCTTGCTTATTATTAAGTCATCGTTTCGTTATCCTTACAACTTCAAACAATACAAACAGACTTAATATGATTGACATGCAACCATGAAAATTTAACCATTTCTTTCTTCTATGTATACGTCCCAATCTCCGTATGTCGTCTGAGAACTCTGCTCGTTAAGTTACCCGTGAAATAAATTATTCCAGTGGACATTACCAGTCTTTCTATTTTCGTCACTATGACATATAGGGTTTATAAGAAAACTGAACAGTTTAGAAAACGCCGTTAAAGTCGTTAGCGAGCAATGCAAAAACCTTTGGTGGAAATAGTTAGTTGGACCTCAAATGGTTCATCTAACAGTAAAATTTTTGCAAACAGTAAAATTTTTAGAGTAAAATTGTGTTACCGAGAGGCACTTTAAAAATAGCTTGCGCAAAAACATAACGCAGCTGAAAAGCAATTGGAAAACATAGGGTTAAATTATGGCACATGTTGTTCCAGCTGACAATGTTTTATGAAATTTGACTCAGTGATACGTTGACGAACGTTTAGCTTTCAAATTGCGGATTGTTTTGAATTTTCTTTTTTAAATGCCATCTTGTTATAATCCTCTTCAATTATGCGTAATGTTGAGCTTAAATTGATCCAATTTTGAACGATTGGTGAAGGTTTTACGAAAATGGCAATAAAAAAGGGAAAATGCAAATAGTCCGCAATTTGGATGCCCAGCGTTCGTGCTTGGTTTGGCCAAATTTCCTAGAATGAGATCTCGGAAACACAATTTCCACATGAACCAATGGAAGATCAACTGCCTCTTCAATCAAAGGTTTTTTCAGATCATCCATGCATGACAACAGCGACGCAGCGCAGCGACGTTTTCTTAACCTTCAGTTTTTTTTGATACACCCTGAATAAGGAGGCCATCTAAATCTTAACAACAATATCGGTTATGTGTTGTGATGTGCTTTACCATTGAATCTAAACTCTGCTTCTGCTGCTGCTGCTTTTTGTATCTTTATAAAGTGAATTTTTTATTGTTAAGTCAAAGTGTATTTTATTTTACTGCGTATGAGGTGAGTTGGTTCAAGTTGTTTAACGAAAAGTTTCATCAATTTTGTCATACAACTAAAATATTATATTGTATTTATTCTGATATATATATATAGCTACTTAAAAAATTGATTTCATCATTTTAGTTGATGTTAGCTTTGAACTGTGGTGACTTCAAGAACAGATGGTTCGACAAATCCTCCCAATTGATCGTCTTCAAAAATGGCTTAATTGGATTCAATACTGAAGTATGTCAATAATTTTTATCATTACCACGAATGACGATTTAATTATGAAAATTTTGAAGTTCACGCTTATATGCAAATCGTTGAGCCGAAAATAGTCCGAGCGAAATAATTTGTGCGCTTCACATAAAGCATTGGGGTGACACGTATAGGAGCATTCATTTCCGTGTTTCACATAGAGCAAGGAGGCTACTTTGTGTGCTTCACATAGAGCAGGGGGCTACTTTGCGCTTAACTGACTGAGATGGGTTTCATGAGTAATGCTTCGCAATTATGTGTAAATATTAGATTATTCTGGAACAAAGCCTGGGTCGATCTTATCCATGACACGTCATGTTTACCTCGATTTTGCTTAGTCTATTTAACCAAAGCAGTGTTGATAAAGCTCTGTTAGACTCTTGTAGAGAAGCATTTCAGTTTGATGCTTTTTATGCGAAAACGCTCCCATTGTAATAACAAAAACATCTTGGTTTCATAGATATGATGTACTTGTAGTTATATTAATGTTGTGAACTTGACCTTGATGACGAACTGATTAGAAAATAATATAAATATAAGACATTTTCATCCTAATGTTCGCAAATATTTTGAAATTCATCATATGCTTAATGCGCATGCTCTGAGATGTCATTTAGAGTGTCACAACCCCACGACCTTGGGTTCATAATTCTTGTTTTTGTGTAGTTGAATTATTTAGCGTTGAACTAGCTGGAAAATTTTATTTTCGTGAAAAATAGGTATTGTCTTATCTGCTTTTAATATTTCTTTTAAGATTTTTTTAATTTCTTATATCCCATGATGGACAAGATTAAATTTATTGTAAAACGTCCGTTGACATTTTCCTGGTGAGATTTGTTTTGTCTTCCTGGCTAAGTTATACGTAAATCGTAAAAAAGGCCTTTGTTTCTTCTAATTGGTAAACGACTAAACGCTTCAAAAGCCTCTTGTTTATATATTGTCTTTCTTCTTTTATGTTCATCAAATTGATCTATTTTAGTAAGACATCCGTCAAGTTACAAGACAATGTTCAGGCATTGTTTTGTATCATCTTCCTCACTTATAAAGTCACGAAAATAGTTTTTAACAACTAGTCAGAACCAAGAACTTTATAAGCATCAGATTTTCTCACTAACAATAATATCTAGTGTTTGGCAATGGTGACTTCTGATATGACTAGTTGTAAACTGAGTAATATGTAAACAATGCGAATAAAAATGTTGAAGTATAACAAAGTTTTGTTAAGACTACGATAATTCATTAGCCAAACTGACAAATTAAGCTTGCTCTTTACTTCAGTATGAATAAATAAATGGCAACGGACAATAACACATAGGTGTTGTTTTGCAGTTAATATTTTTTGTAAATAACATTTTGACTATGCACTAGAGACTATGCCTCCGACGATTTTGTTCCGATTGTAAATAATATCTGTGTGATATGTAACATTTCGATCACAAAGCACGAATGAATAATTGAGATACAAAATATGACCAAAATATTGCAAGCTAATAACTGGAATCGTAAAATTGCTTTTTGAAACAGCTCTTTAACACACGAAACTTGGCTCTGCCTCACGGAATATTCTCTGGAAGATACATAGTACATTCAAATTTCTTCCGTTTTTGTAGTTCCTTCTCACCCAAATTTTCCCGGCTGTCATGTAAATACCAGGACACTTATGTTGCTATTGATATTTTTCGGTCGTATGTTTATCGTCTATTTGAATCATATTTTCAAACACATTTTGTCCAAAAAAATATAATTGCTTTATTTGTGCCATTTGAATTTGAATTAACTAATAAAATTGGCAATTACAGGCATAATTTGCATTCCTTGATCTCTAAAGCATGCTGAAACATCGAATGCATTTTTAAAGTATTTCATCATTCTTCACAATTCTTCACAGGAAGTCGTTATTTTATCAACAAAATTTAATTTTTGTCTTCCTTTCAATATCTTCCTATGTGATTTTATGTTATACGGAAAACATGGCAATAACTTATCGCTACATTAAGATTATTTTAACATAAAGAGCATTGTTTCATAAAATTACGTTTTGTTTGTTCCTCACATTGTATATAAATTCTTCGCAAAGGTATAAAAAACCTTTGTTTGTTATTCTTACATCATCTCATCGATAAACGAAAGTTCAAAAATGGCAGGAATACATCTTCACTTTGGTTCTGGCGACGATCTTAACCTGTATAACATACAACATGGAGAAGTTGTTAGACTTTGGTCTGTGGGTTGTGTAAATACAGGAAAATACCTGCGTCTAACAAATCATAAAGTAAGAAATGAGGAGTTTCTTGTGAATTCGTCTGGAAGCGGGCAGGATAACGTTGACATTAAGTTTGTGCAGATGGTGGCCCATCCAAAAGCATTTGCGCTTGTGTTAGGTGATTTATTTCAGTACTATCTCAAGGTTACACCAGAAGAGGCTGTTGCCGTTCCTGAGCTGGAAAGACCATCATTGTTTGAATCAATACAAATGCGTTCCCCAAACCGTCCATATTTTGTGTTCAGAACATATCCAGATGATAAAACTCCATTATATCTGAGCAGTAATGGTAAAGGGAAAATGAAGTTGAAAACCTGGAACCCAAAGGTGCCACCTCCTCCAAACAGCAACGATCGAGTGGATCCTGACCTGTTGTTTCGTGTAGTCGATCCTCCATTTCCTCAAGACTAATTGTACTTGTGCTCATATAAAAAGCTGTTTGAAATGGCACCCTAAACGTTTTCAAGACTTCACTGATAATTCAACTATGAATTTTCAATGCATTTTTTTCATTAAACCTTGTAGATCAAATAGCAGTGTAAATGTTGTTGTCTCTATGTTTATCTATGTCTATTGCTGCCTAAAATATTCTCTACAAAACATTATTTTTCACCATTACACTTCTTCATTCCTGCGCATTTATGCATGCGTCATCATTTAATTGTCATGTAAATTAAGTTCTATTTTGTCTTAAATTACTTTTTTCAAGTTTCAAGTTAATTTTTCTAGAAGAAGTAATTTTATTGTTTATTCATTGCATGTCAGCCGCCACAAATAACGTAAATAAACGTAGTTTTTAAAACCTATGCTGGCTCGCTGTTTGAGATTGAAAGTTGAAACCAAACAAAACTACATGGAATCAGTACTATATTATTCTATATAAACACTTGACACCGTTGATTTTATCACGATTGGCAAAACATTGTATTGAATAGTAGTTTAAGATGATGGTATAAAGTTTTACTGTGATAGATGGTGTACTTTATCACTGTATATGATGGTGTAAGGCAATGTAGAACTATAATATATGGTATCGTGTAAGTTGTACTGTACTAGATTGTGTGCTGAATGACCAGTGAATGTATACCGTAGTGTCTACAGTGAACATATACCGCAGTGCCACTAGAGTGCACTACTTTATACCGTAGTGTCTACAATGAACATATACCGTAGTGTCTACAGTGAACATATACCGCAGTGCCGCTAGAGTGCACGACTTTATACCGTAGTGTCTACAGTGAACATATACCGCAGTGCCACTAGAGTGCACTGCTTTATACCGTAGTGTCTACAGTGAACATATACCGCAGTGCCACTAGAGTGCACTACTTTATACCGTAGTGTCTACAGTGAACATATACCGCAGTGCCACTAGAGTGCACTACTTTATTTTTAAGAAATAAAAGATGTTTACTGTGTTTGCACGGGCTTATGCAAACCGATGAGACCTTTGGGAGAACTCGAGAGCAGATCAGTGCAAGCCTGAGACCCGAAGGTTGAGGGTTGCACATGCTCGAGAGTTCTCACAAACGTCTCCGAGGTTTGCATAAGCCAGTGCAAACACGAGAAACATCTTTTATTTCTTTTATAAAATAACAATAATGCGAAAAAGACAAAAATTTTAATTTTTTCTCTGAAATGTATTCATGATCGATTTGCAAATTCTCTTTGACTGGTTGATTGTTTTAATTGATTTGATTGGTTGAGTTCAGATGTGTTTTGCACAGGCTAATGCAAACACAGCTTTAGACCAATCAGCGCACGCGTTTCATTGTGTTTATTTTATAAAATACAATAATAGATGTTGTGGTATTTTACTGTGGTAGATGGTGTACATAGTGTTTTACTGTAAGAGATTATGTAAACTCTAAACACTTTTATGTTGTATGAAATTGAATTTCTAAAGTTTAAGAGTTTTATGAAGTTACTGAAAAAAAAACAAAGAATGGAATTTTGTTTGTAAAAATGGTCAACAAGTTTTGTTTCACCATTATCTATTGCGTGACAAGGATGAATTACAAGAAATTTCAAATATACTTTATTTTTATAACCATTCAGCGCTTCCGTAACTGCGTTAAACTCTTTTGATAATGCGCATTTAATAAATACGACAAGTTTTTTAAAAATGAACATGTTTCAACAATTCAACATCTGATGATTGCATTTTCAGTATAAGCGAGAATATTACGTATATGATAAATATATGTAGTAGTAATAAGATAAAGTGAGAGTTTATACAAATATGAGTAGATAATTTACCATGAAATATTGATTTGAATTATGGACGAGTGTATTTACAGGCTGAATATGGTGTTTGAAGGAAAAACTTGAACGTTAAGATTCAGTCACTTTCACAAAACTAACCCCAATATCTAGTAGATTGGTCGTCTTGTTTAAGCATTGTTTGTGGGTGAACTGAGATACTTAGCTATAGATTATATAATTGTAAAGGAGTTTGTGGATGAGATTATTGGTCGTAGTGGAGGTGGTTGTTCTGCTTCACGTTTCTTGTGTGAAATTTCCAGTCATTTGTCCATCAGAATCAGGGAACACACCACAACTGACAAAAACTCACATATCTATCGACACCTTTTAAAATCACCTTCATGCAAAACTAACTTTCGCCCTCTTGCTTTAAAATCGTTGACACTGCACGAACTACATTCGCACTTAAAATCAAAGAAGCACTTCACATTAACAACACTAACCCTCATCTCAACGTTCAAGTTTTTTGTTTTAACACTATATTCATTCTGTAAACACACTCATCATTAATTCAAACCAATCATTCATTGTAAAAAACCTACTCGTATTTGTATAAACTATCACTTTATCATATTATCACTATATAAATTTATCATATACATAATATTGTCACTTATAATGAAGATGGCATCATGGGATGTTGAAACATGTTTATTTTTAAAAAAACCTTTCGCCTTCAGTGTTTCTTATTCACAAATAATCATATGTGAGATCTATAACTATGGACGTTTTAACGCCTGTTGCGACCACTACGTCATCATTGCGTCATGATGTTTTTTACGACAGAATAAGAATATACAGAAGAGTCACTCATGTCGGAGCCTTTGATGTTTTGTTCTCGCGCATGCCGTGCCGCGCATGGTGGCTGCCATTATTCCAGCCAGATGATGAGGGTTTTTGACTGTTTCCAAACCTTTAAAATGATCCGAAGACATTTCTTAAGTCAAAATATACTTGAATTCATTATTAAGTATTGACGTCATGTAATTTTAATGGTTGGAAACAAGTGAGAAATCTTGATCTTCCTGGCTGGAATAATGGCCGACATGAGGACAGGTTGTACACCTGAGTCACCCTTCTGTAAAATCATTATTCTGTGTCAATACGTTATGTCATGTTCTACAAGTATTACGTCATCACCTTTTTAAAAATATTTTTTATAAATTTAATGACTTACATCTGGTAGAAAATTCACTCTACTTTATTTTTTAGCATTTAGCATTTGATGGAATTGTTCACATAACTTACGTTGCTGGAGCCGTAGAAAATGTTCGAAAGTACTGGAGTAATCAACTAAATGAAGAAAAGGTAAATGATGGCTACGTTATTGAGGGTATAGAATGTATTATTTAAGAATGTACAAGTAAATTAGCAATATACATGTTCATTATTCCATGATTTTCGCATATAGCTATAATTATAGCGATGTAGCTACTCTTCCATGTAGTCTATCTCTCGTTGGTTAATCTAAGAGTTTTTCTGTAGATTTTATATTTTAGTATTTTTTTCATGAGACATTTAGATTTATATAACATCTTTATACAACATTTTATGTCTTTGTTCAGTTCATATTGTTTTACATTATTTTTTGACAACAAAACTTTTTGATGAGTCGATCAGACTATGACTGTTTATGTTGTAAACATTTAATATTAATAAAAGGTGTTTACTGTGTTGGCACAGGCTTATGGGGTCTATGCAAACCCAGGAGACCTTTGGGAGAAATTGAGAAACCCGAGACCAAAGTTCGAGGTTGCACCTGCTAGAGATTTCTCACAAATGTCTCAGAGACTTGCATAAGCCAGTGAAAACACGAAAAACTGCTTTTATTTCTTTGAAATAACCGACAAATGCGAAAACAAACAAATTAAAAACAAGCGTATTTATTTTTCCTCAAACATGAAATTATTAAAACTATAACTTATGTTTGGGCTGCATGGTGAGTTACAGTAAAATTTAGAAAAGTATGATTAGATGACTGTAAAATTTTACGACTTGTTTTATTTGTATCGGTATGATAAACAAATGTATATATATGTGGTGAACTTTGTAGAGTGTAGAAATGAATACTTTCAACATTACTGTTCCTACTCCTGTTGAGCTTGATTTCAAAATTGATGATCGTATTCGTCTTTCTATCGAGAGTGCTTCACTTTATTTTCAGAAAATGGTAAGATGCTTAAGGGTACTTGATTTCTTGTTTCAATTATTTTCTTCATATTTATTATTTTATATTAAAATACAGATGTGAATGTGCATACTTTGAATCAATTTAATCAATTTAAGAATCAATTTAAGAATATACAGATGTGCATGTGCATCCTTTGAATCAATTTAATCAATTTAAGAATCAATTTAAGAATATACAGATGTGCATGTGCATCCTTTGAATCAGTCTATCAAAATGGATATTGCATATGTAGGCTGCAATGAAAACAGTCGAATTATCATTCTGAGAAGGGCCTGAGTTGATTCAGCAATATAAATTTCAAAACATATAGAAGTTTTGGTTTAGTTTATAGTAATTTCAGCAAAAAAGACAATTTTTGACAGCTTTTGTTGATCAGTCATTGTTCATGCCAAGATCAAAACTGTTAATGGCTGTTTGATTATAGAAAGTTTGATCTAAATTTTTTAGTCTTCCCTAATCGTAATCAGATGCTTTTTATGGACGAAATACGGTAAAGCATTCATCAAAAAGCATAGATTAAATCCTGACACATACGTTCAAATGGCTATTCAACTTGCTGATTACAAATTACACAGAAGGTAGGCTCTAAATTTTACGTTCTTTGCTTTATTCCTCTTGAGATCCTGCTTTTATTCTTTAATGGCGATCGTAAATTTATGTCCTCATTATATCTTCAAAAAATTTTTATGCTCGAATGTTTAAGCCTTGTTGTTCACTTGAGCCTTAATGTTCGATGAATTTTTTAAACCATGCAGCAACAGAAGTTAAAACATATATCACAGACGCGCTCATGCAGAAATGAATTATTACCAAAAGTCTTCAATCATGATTTCAGGAATCCAATTGTTTAATCTTGATGCAAAAAATCAATTGAGTGTAATATATCAAACTTTTTCCTACCTATATTTTCTACTTGGAAGAATCAAACTTTCTTTACAACTTAACTATACATCGTGGTCAATATTTATATTTACGCATAAAAGAAATGTCGACTATATTCTGTAAACGTATATAACTTTTCTACATGTAACTTTTCTTGATGTTATTTTTTATCTTTTGCTGCATCACTGTACGAGCTGTGGTGAAAAGTTAATCAGTGTTGCTGGTGTAAAATTTTCTTTTTTGTAGTTTTTTTGAACTGATTTACATTTGTCTTTGTTTAATGAAACATATTTTTGACTATTCACATTAATTACAGAGCAAGTTCAACTTATGAAAGTGCTTCAGTAAGGCAATTTTATCATGGTCGTACAGAAACGGTAATTTTTGCTCAAAGTTTCTTAACTTTTACTTTTTCAATTGATCCTATGCAAGAGATATTTTGGCGGATGGTCCGGAAATACCATTTGGCAGTGAAATTTTATAAAAACTACAATTTTGTAAATGCTATTTAATGCATTTGTAGAACAATTTAATAACAATGTTACAGATCTGTTATGAAATAAGCATTCTTACTATTTGAAATACCAATTACAAAAAACACGAAACGATGCGGGACCAGCAAGATGGCCTGGGAGGCCAACTGCAGCCCCCCTTAGTATAGATGTTAAAATATGCTTTAATCATAAGAATGTCTTTAATTTTGTCTGTCAAGTTGCATTTCATTTCTTCCTTTAATTATTTAGGTTCGTTCACACACATGCGAAGTTCAGAGATGGTGTAAAACAATGGAGCATTCTTTATCCACGGTAATGCATGGAAATTGTGACAATCATGAAATGAATTCGATCAACTTTTTTCGTCTCTATACTTTTTTAAAGAAAAAGTTTGTTGAGATATTTGGTTTCAGTTCAACGACGTAAGCGCAACGATAAAGCAAACAATAAAAGATTTAACTGATTGTTTCATTCATTCTTTTCAAATGGTCTTCACTTTTCCTTCACGCAAAATTTTCATCAATGTCGTGTTGGTGTTCATTGAGAAATTAGGCTTATGTGACTTTAATATGTACATTAGCATTGTGAATCACTCTTAAAAACAGTTAGGTGAAATAACCCCCCAAAATATCTCATTTCTCTTATTTAAACTGGTTTACGACCTATAACCATGGGTCGTTTTAACCTATTTTTTTTCACATTTTATACCTTTCTGTTTTTGGACTTTAATCACTGTTATTATATTATTTCATCGATGATTCTGCTTTGAAGACATGGGACCGTTTGCGCAAAGCCCGGATAACGTCGTCCAGGCTTCGTACAACCGGCCAATGGTGTTTTGAAGTTTGGAAATTGTATAATGGTACAACGAAATATAATTTCTGTCATTAATGTAGAGACAAAGTAAAGAAAAACTTTTCAGAGTTGCTTGTGTAAAGCATGACGAACTAATGAAGGAAGCTTCAAACGGTTTAGGTATTTTGCAGTATGAACTTGAAGATAATCTTTAGTTTAGTGATATTTCATTGAAACAAAATTTGCTGAAAGAAATGTATGTTGATAGGTATAGATCGTCATCTTTTTGGCTTAAAAATACTTGCAGAAGATGCAGGTATTCAATGCTATTTTACCCTTTGATAATGTGAAAGTACCATTTTGGTGGATTTTCGTCCAAGGCCAGTGATAATGACTCTAATGGCTCTTTTTTCTAGGAATTCCAATGCCCAAAATTTTTACTGATGCTGCCTGGAAAAAAAGGTTTGTGGACTTACAAGATGCTATAAGTTATCTTTTTTCATTTTTTGTGATGCTTCTGCTTATTCAATATGAATGGTCACAATAACGATTTCATTCAATATGTCCATAAGTTGTGAGCGTCAAATGTGTAAATCAATGGAAGTTCATCTTTGACGCTTCTAATTATAAATGTAAAAAGGAATTTTCGACAAAAGATCAAACACTGCATGACATTGATTGTGAACAAAACCTTGCTGATCATTGCTAAACCAGCTCACTCGTCAAACTTAAGCAATTATTGATAACACAATCCTTTATAGTGGCAGTGATGGTAATTTTATACTTTCAACGAGCTGTCTTGGATATAACTCAGTCTTTGCTCTCGCCTGGCCAATGGTTGAAGATGGTTATGGTGCTTTTTATACCATAAAAAAGGATAGGTACGTAATAATATAATCACTGCACTTTTTTATTACATAGTTTTTGTTATAAGTGTGAAGGGGCTTAAACGAAGTCCATGACGTGATTTTTTTGGAAAGGAGGAACGACTAGAGGCTTTGGGTTTTGCATAAGGAAGTCTACAATGTGAAGTTCTACCTTACATTTAGTAGAAATATGATTTACATTTATTTATGTGTGATAGTTAATGATCATGTGGTAAATGTGATAAATGTCAAGGAAACAACGTGCTGTATGTCGTGTTATCTTTTCAAAACTTAACGCACAACCTTAGAAACCTTTCATGAAAATAACTATGTACATATGTATGATTATATATGTTAATTAAGTGGAATTAAATTAAAATAAATTAAATTAGATAAAATTTTTTTGTCTTCATTCACCTGAAGATCGTCAATAGGCATGAAACAAGTGTTGTTTTTAAAAATAAAAAATAAAAATACAATAAATTTATTAAATTATTAAATTATAAACCTCTTTATATAAATCCAGAGAAACTTTTATATATATATATATATATATATATTGATGAGAAGAAGAAAATACACAAAACTACAATTTCATCCTAATGTTATCCCCTGAAGAGTGAGATAATATTATCCCCTGAAGAGTGAGCAATCACGAAACAGGCTTGTCGGGATGAAATTGTAGTTTTTGTGTATTTTCTTCTTCTCATCAATATTTACGCTCTGCTCTTAAGCATCGAGCACTGTACTTACGGAGATTCAAATAAACAAAACTTCCTATATATATATTTAAATCCCCTGAAGAGTGAGCAATCACGAAACAGGCTTGTCGGGATGAAATTGTAGTTTTGTGTATTTTCTCCTTACCAATATTTACGCTCTGCTCTCGGGCATCGAGCACTGTTTTATACGGAAAATCATAAATTATAAACTTCCTATATATATATATATATATATATATATATATATTGGTAAGGAGAAGAAAATACACAAAACTACAATTTCATCCCGACAAGCCTGTTTCGTGATTGCTCACTCTTCAGGGATTTAATGAATAAAATACTTAAATGCTTAAATATATATACAAGATGATGACGGAAGCTAGTGTATTAATCAAGGTGTATAGTTTCAAGTTAGATGACGGAAGTTAGAGTATTAATTACGGTGTATGGTTACAAATTACATAGGAGTGTTTTGGATCTATGGCGACAAGAGGAAATAAGTTCGTTGCGTTTATTGAGGGATGATTTGGATGGTTGGTACAGGATGAAGAATTTTTCTTTAAGGCAAAGGTTGCATCTTTACTGGTGCTGTTGTATGGTTTGCTGTGTGTAATGATGTTCCATGAGATGTCGTGGTCGATATTGCTGTCTTTAAGGGTCCAAATGTGCTTACTGAGCTCGGTCGAGTTTCGTAGTTTTTTGTGGCGGAAAGAGGCAGTGTGATTTCTATGTCTAGTCTTAAATTCGTTTTCTGTAAGTCCAATGTACGTCTCAGTTGTGTTATTGTCTTTGCGTTTTACAGTAGCTTGGTAAACAACGGATGACTGCAGGCAATTTCCGTTAAGTGGGCAGTTTTGTTTTGTCGGCAGTTGCATGTTTTGTAAGTGTCTTTTGTTCGCGGTGTTGTCGTTAGTTTTGTCTGATGTTCTCAGTATATGTTTGTTATGGTTGTTGATTATTTGTTCGATATTGTTCATGCAGCTGTAGCTGAGTTTGATGGTGTTACGGTTGAATATTTTCCTGAGTTTATGGTCTATGGGGAAGTGTTTGTCGATTAATGAAAGGAATTTGTGGCCGATGTTCGTGTAGACGTTTTGCTGAATGGAGGGTTGTACCAAAGTATATTTTGTCGAAGTCTGTTTTCCGTTTGGTAGTAGCGTCTGAGTCGAATTTTAGTGTGTATCGGTATCCGTTTTCGTCGAGTGCTTTTTGGTATGGTGCAGTTATTTGGTCAAATGATGCTTTGTCGGATGATAGTGAAGATAGACGTTTGTTGATGGCGTCGGGTATGTTCTTCGTTATGGTTGGTGGATGGTTGCTTTCGCTGTGGACGTATTGCAGAGAAGAGTTGGGTTTTGTGTAAGGGCGATATGAAAAATTGTTAAGATTGAAGGTGATGTCGAGGAAGTTGATGATTTTTTTGTTTGCTTCAATAGTTATGCGTAGTCCATTGTTGTTGAATATCCGGCATATTTCTTTTAATGTTCTCTGTTTCTCGTGGTGTGGTGTTTGAAATGGCAAGTCCGTCGTCTCGATAAAGTCCTATGTCTGTTGTGATGTTTTGTAGTTGAGAAAGGAGGTAGCTTCCTACGAGTTCGCATGTCTCAGCTCCGTCGAAGCTACCCATTGTGACGTCGAATGTAGAGTTATTTTTTGCCAGGGTTGTTTGTTGTGTATAAGGAATGAATTCTTAGCGTGTATAATGATGTTTTTCGGCGTTTGTGATGTTGTCGTAGGTTGAGGCGAAATCCAGTGCTTTGTTTAGTAGGTCTTGATTAATGGATGGATAAAGTCTACGATGTCGAAGGATATGAAGGTGACGTTTTTGTGTTTGATAGATTTGAACCACTGGATCACAGATGATGAGTTTTTCCATTGGTTGTATGAGGTTGTTTTTATGATGTTGCTGTTAATTCTGTCCAGTATTTTCTTGCTAATTTTACCAACTTCAGATTTTGTTGGGTTGATAAGTCGGCAGGTTGGTTTATTCGTAAAGTTTGGTTTATGGTCTTTGAGTGTTATGAATGCATTTTTATGGGCAGTGGCTTCTACTCTGTCAGATATACCAAGTCGTGATGTGATGTTTTGTCTTCGGTGTGGATGGCTTTTATTGTGTCGGCGTTCGATTTCTTGTATGATTTTGTGATGTTTTGTTCAAGGAGGTCGTAGTATGCTGGCTTGTCTAGTTTGTAGAAATTTGTTGTTTTGTCGGCAGCGATTAGAAGCTTCGTTTCGTGTTTCATGGTAGTGGTGTGGTCTTTCATTTTGTTAAGGAATGTGCTGTTCACGTCTTTAAACTTTATCGATTGTATCATTTTCGTCATGTCTTTCTCGAAATCTTTTAGGTCGTCGATCGGTGGAGGGTTTTTAGTACTCTTGAAGCCATAGGTATCTTTATAATCGGTGGTAGTATTCGGGTTGAGGAAGAAGTAAGCTTTCCAGCGCATATTACGAAGGAAGGTCTCAGATTTTTCAATAAGTCGTTGTAAGTATTCATTCGGTGATGGTAGAGGAATGTTCTTGATGCTGTAGTTGAAGTTGAATTTCTCCATTGCGGATTATCGTAGAGTGCTCAACAAAAAATTATCTTGGAGCGTAATAGGAAGTTTATAATTTATGATTTTCCGTATAAAACAGTGCTCGATGCCCGAGAGCAGAGCGTAAATATTGGTAAGGAGAAGAAAATACACAAAAACTACAATTTCATCCCGACAAGCCTGTTTCGTGATTGCTCACTCTTCAGGGGATTTAATGAATAAAATACTTAAATGCTTAAATATATATACAAGATGATGACGGAAGCTAGTGTATTAATCAAGGTGTATAGTTTCAAGTTAGATGACGGAAGTTAGAGTATTAATTACGGTGTATGGTTACAAATTACATAGGAGTGTTTTGGATCTATGGCGACAAGAGGAAATAAGTTCGTTGCGTTTATTGAGGGATGATTTGGATGGTTGGTACAGGATGAAGAATTTTTCTTTAAGGCAAAGGTTGCATCTTTTACTGGTGCTGTTGTATGGTTTGCTGTGTGTAATGATGTTCCATGAGATGTCGTGGTCGATATTGCTGTCTTTAAGGGTCCAAATGTGCTTACTGAGCTCGGTCGAGTTTCGTAGTTTTTTGTGGCGGAAAGAGGCAGTGTGATTTCTATGTCTAGTCTTAAATTCGTTTTCTGTAAGTCCAATGTACGTCTCAGTTGTGTTATTGTCTTTGCGTTTTACAGTAGCTTGGTAAACAACGGATGACTGCAGGCAATTTCCGTTAAGTGGGCAGTTTTGTTTTGTCGGCAGTTGCATGTTTTGTAAGTGTCTTTTGTTCGCGGTGTTGTCGTTAGTTTTGTCTGATGTTCTCAGTATATGTTTGTTATGGTTGTTGATTATTTGTTCGATATTGTTCATGCAGCTTTTGTAAGTGTCTTTTTGTTCGCGGTGTTGTCGTTAGTTTTGTCTGATGTTCTCAGTATATGTTTGTTATGGTTGTTGATTATTTGTTCGATATTGTTCTATTACGCTCCAAGATAATTTTTTGTTGAGCACTCTACGATAATCCGCAATGGAGAAATTCAACTTCAACTACAGCATCAAGAACATTCCTCTACCATCACCGAATGAATACTTACAACGACTTATTGAAAAATCTGAGACCTTCCTTCGTAATATGCGCTGGAAAGCTTACTTCTTCCTCAACCCGAATACTACCACCGATTATAAAGATACCTATGGCTTCAAAGAGTACTAAAAACCCTCCACCGATCGACGACCTAAAAGATTTCGAGAAAGACATGACGAAAATGATACAATCGATAAAGTTTAAAGACGTGAACAGCACATTCCTTAACAAAATGAAAGACCACACCACTACCATGAAACACGAAACGAAGCTTCTAATCGCTGCCGACAAAACAACAAATTTCTACAAACTAGACAAGCCAGCATACTACGACCTCCTTGAACAAAACATCACAAAATCATACAAGAAATCGAACGCCGACACAATAAAAGCCATCCACACCGAAGACAAAAACATCACATCACGACTTGGTATATCTGACAGAGTAGAAGCCACTGCCCATAAAAATGCATTCATAACACTCAAAGACCATAAACCAAACTTTACGAATAAACCAACCTGCCGACTTATCAACCCAACAAAATCTGAAGTTGGTAAAATTAGCAAGAAAATACTGGACAGAATTAACAGCAACATCATAAAAACAACCTCATACAACCAATGGAAAAACTCATCATCTGTGATCCAGTGGTTCAAATCTATCAAACACAAAAAAAACGTCACCTTCATATCCTTCGACATCGTAGACTTTTATCCATCCATTAATCAAGACCTACTAAACAAAGCACTGGATTTCGCCTCAACCTACGACAACATCACAAACGCCGAAAAAAACATCATTATACACGCTAAGAATTCATTCCTTATACACAACAAACAACCCTGGCAAAAAAAACATAACTCTACATTCGACGTCACAATGGGTAGCTTCGACGGAGCTGAGACATGCGAACTCGTAGGAAGCTACCTCCTTTCTCAACTACAAAACATCACAACAGACATAGGACTTTATCGAGACGACGGACTTGCCATTTCAAACACCACACCACGAGAAACAGAGAACATTAAAAAGGAAATATGCCGGATATTCAACAACAATGGACTACGCATAACTATTGAAGCAAACAAAAATCATCAACTTCCTCGACATCACCTTCAATCTTAACAATTTTCATATCGCCCTTACACAAAACCCAACTCTTCTCTGCAATACGTCCACAGCGAAAGCAACCATCCACCAACCATAACGAAGAACATACCCGACGCCATCAACAAACGTCTATCTTCACTATCATCCGACAAAGCATCATTTGACCAAATAACTGCACCATACCAAAAAGCACTCGACGAAAACGGATACCGATACACACTAAAATTCGACTCAGACGCTACTACCAAACGGAAAAACAGACTTCGACAAAATATACTTTGGTACAACCCTCCATTCAGCAAAACGTCTACACGAACATCGGCCACAAATTCCTTTCATTAATCGACAAACACTTCCCCATAGACCATAAACTCAGGAAAATATTCAACCGTAACACCATCAAACTCAGCTACAGCTGCATGAACAATATCGAACAAATAATCAACAACCATAACAAACATATACTGAGAACATCAGACAAAACTAACGACAACACCGCGAACAAAAGACACTTACAAAACATGCAACTGCCGACAAAACAAAACTGCCCACTTAACGGAAATTGCCTGCAGTCATCCGTTGTTTACCAAGCTACTGTAAAACGCAAAGACAATAACACAACTGAGACGTACATTGGACTTACAGAAAACGAATTTAAGACTAGACATAGAAATCACACTGCCTCTTTCCGCCACAAAAACTACGAAACTCGACCGAGCTCAGTAAGCACATTTGGACCCTTAAAGACAGCAATATCGACCACGACATCTCATGGAACATCATCACACACAGCAAACCATACAACAGCACCAGTAAAGATGCAACCTTTGCCTTAAAGAAAAATTCTTCATCCTGTACCAACCATCCAAATCATCCCTCAATAAACGCAACGAACTTATTTCCTCTTGTCGCCATAGATCCAAAACACTCCTATGTAATTTGTAACCATACACCGTAATTAATACTCTAACTTCCGTCATCTAACTTGAAACTATACACCTTGATTAATACACTAGCTTCCGTCATCATCTTGTATATATATTTAAGCATTTAAGTATTTTATTCATTAAATCCCTGAAGAGTGAGCAATCACGAAACAGGCTTGTCGGGATGAAATTGTAGTTTTGTGTATTTTCTTCTCCTTACCAATATTTACGCTCTGCTCTCGGGCATCGAGCACTGTTTTATACGGAAAATCATAAATTATAAACTTCCTATATATATATATATATATATAATGAAATAAAATCTACAAGTTTTGCTGTCGCTACTCGGAGTTTCACGCCGTAGGGCGATCTTAAGGCAACTGACAGATTATTGACTCTAAAACTTGTCGATTTTATTTCATTTTATCTTACGCTCTTCTAATATATAGGATATCGAGCGCTCTTTTATCCAGGAATATTCTTCATTAATATATTCGCTCCTTTCTGAAGTTGAGCGCTGTTATAAACCAGAAAACTCGAGACAATTATGCAACAGATTAACTTTAACTATTCGCTGAAAAACATTGCCCTACCAACTAAAGACAGTTATCTCAGAAACCTCATCACCAAAACCCACGACCTCGTACAACGTATAAGATGGAAAGCCTACTTCTTTCTCCGCCACACTGACGACGCCATTCGCACACAAAGACCGCGTACTTATGGCTTAACCTGCCGTCTTTGCCTTGGAGAAAGACTACTTATCCTAAAAGGACGTAAAAAGAACATTTTAAATAAACGTTCCGACATCTTTAGTACATGTCGTCATGTAACCTAACACCTTTTGATCAATTGTATATAGTCAGCGAATAATAAATAATCTGTCAGTTGCCTGAAGATCGCCCGACGTCGTAAAACTCCGAGTAGCAACAGCAAGAACTTGTCGATTTTATTTCATTCTGAGGGCTCATTCTGATGAAGGCTCGAAGCAACGAGTCGAAAGCTCAATAAAATTATTTATAAAATCCGGAGAAACTTTTATTTTTAAACAATATAATGCCTGGATTACCAATCTTTAAACATATTTATATATATTTATGAATACAATAAATGTATATATGAATTTATTTACATCAAAGATAATTCTTTATTTTTACAGCATTTATATCTCCAGCTCTGGGTACAAAAATTCAAAGGTAACAAATTGTGAAAGATTTTTAAAGAGTTTGGAAGAAAGCTTAACCGATATTCAAATGATTTTGACGGGTAGTAAACTGTGATCTATAGAGTCATGTATACTTTGGATTTTTATTTAATAGAGTTTTGAAAGTTATTTAATACATCATAATGATTATATATTTTTATACAGTTATCATCATGAAAACAAATATTTATTTTTGAGTCTGGGGCATTTGGGGGAGGGGTTATGGTAGCTCTCCACCCAAAATTAAAATACCAACCTGTTGGGAAATTTTTCTCAAATTTAAACGTGGAACACCACTTTCAAATAAACATATTAAAGGTTAATCGTTTTTTCAAACTACCAACAGAGTCGCACCATATATCCTATAAGTTATTCTACAAGACGTAATTTTGATGCTTCATACATAGCTAGATGCAGAAATGACCAAAAATTCTGTGTTTGGTACTTTGGTATTACTCTATAAGATATTATCTCACGTTGTGAGATAACGGAGCTGTTTTTCACGTTGTGCATAACGGAGCTGTTTTGCATTTTTCTCCCGTCTAAGGCGAAACTCCCAAATGTTCTGAGACTCGTGAATGAATGTGGTGCCATGTTTGGCCTACATACAATGCTCTGCTTTGACACGTAAGTTTCTAAACCAAACGAGATCTCAGGAGTTTGGGAATCTTGTCTTTGAAGGAAATGAAATGGGACAGTCGGCAACCAGAACGGAAGATAAAGCGAAGTGATAAGTGGGGAAAAGCAGAAGAGTAGAGTTTAGTTAGTTATGTTCAGTGAATCTTCATTGTTAAAATTATACATTAAACTACAGAAGGGAAAATTGTGTTTTCATCGAAATATTTACAAAATGTCAGTAAAATTGATAAACAAGATGAGTTGTCCGAATAAAATCATCAAGACTTATGTGTAGCTGCTTGTTTTACTGATAGTAACAGTAAAAAACATTCAGTGATCACAAAACGTGATCAATTGATGTGATCATTGTGGAGTGATTGTTAACTGTACTTTCTCAAACATTAAAATTCAAATTTACAGTCCATTATTTGTTTGTTATACCATTTTATCTGGACGCCAATATTCATTTTACTCTCTTCATTCAAAACACAATTTACTTTCACTCCGCTGTTTTTAGCTCTATTTTTTACTGCGTTAGGCGAAATTAGTGTTTTAACAATTTTGAGACTTATATTTGTGGTACTTGCTACAGAGAAGTTATTCATTGAGCTGGTATTCCTATTTTATTTGGACAATTTTAAAACTCATCACATTATTTTTAGTTGTATCAACAAAGACTTCTCGAAAGAAAACATTTGTTAGTTTTGTATAATTGCATGTATTTTATTGCAATTGTATAAAAGTTCATTGTTTTGTATGTTTAAGTACACACAATACAAAATAAAGCCGAGAATAAAGCAATGTATGCAGTTAATATATATTGTAATTATTTTGATCATGATATTGATCAACGCCGACTGATTTCTTTTCATATCAAAACTGCACGAGTTTATATTATACAATCCATAATTTGTGTGATTTCCTAACCCTCCCTACCTATATTCTTTCATTTACATGTCTTTGTTTATCTAAGAAATTCTTATGATAATGACCTACAGCACGGCAAGTGATATTTCTTCTCTTTTAAGTGACCTTTCGTCGTTAAGTGAAATATAATATTGTCAATATCACGTTGATAGGATTATACCGTTTATACGTACAATAGTAAATGATGAACAACTAACGTGAAAGATTTACGGCAAGATATACGTTGGCAAGGCGTGTCGGGGGATTTATCATAAATTATCGGACTAATTGCTACGTATGAACAATTAACATATAATCGATGATATTTAAGAGCGGTGAAATTTCCTCCGTAAAGTTGAATGAGAAATAATTTGTTCAATTGCATGTTGTCGACAATATAGCCAACTATCATGCAGGCGATACGTTTGAATTGTTGGAGACCACTGAATTCAGCACGCGAGAATAGAGGGAGCAACGAATTTCTAGTGAAATATCTTGGTTACGGAGAACTACAAAAACCGGGATTAGAGGACATGTGTAAATTTGTTCAATCCACAATAAAAGCATCGAGAAAGTCCAAGCAGAACAGCATTTCCAAAGGTTATTTTACTCTCTCAAGTGAAGAGTGTATTCTTGAAAGTGATGGTAGTCAGAATGTTTTTGTTGATGATAATTCAAAGTTGGTATTTCGCACTAGAAGAATTTTGTTCTGTGCAGTATACGAAATTGATCCCAAGATATTTTTTTTGACTTATCAATTCGGTAAGACAGCGGACGTACTACAATGTCATGTCATGAAGTGTCGAAGCAAGAAAGAGGCAAAATGTTTGGCTAAACAAGCTGGTGCATTGTTCAAAGACCTAGCATTTTCATTGAATAGACGTTTGAAAACTAACAGTACACTAACCAGTCAAGAAAATGTGTCATCATTGCACTCACGCGATTACTCGTGAATCTGCATCTTTCATCAACACTACGTTGACGTATATCTGAAGCAGTTTGTGTTGAGGTTAGAGTTCGTTAACAACTATTCATATGATGATGTCTATCGTGTCTTGTGAAACCCGAAAGGCACACGAATATCATATTTGTCTATTATACACTGACTGTATATATTTATTTGTATTTATGTCATAAAAAATATGATATTTGCTGAAAATCTGCCATCTTGGTGAACTCAAACAAGAGAATGAATTTATCAATGCTGTTGTGGTTGAGCAACATTTTTTGATACATTCCAGAAAGATATTTGCAAGTCAAGTATATCGTTTCTCTTGCTCAGAGCGAACACAAACATCTCATGACTCATCACTCACGTGTTTAGTTAGGAGTTAAGACTTAAGAGTGATGTTGATTTGACGAAAGACATAACAAGAAAGCTGCGTTCGCAATACTTCATGTCAAATTATAGAAATGCAACTTCACCTATGAGAGCATAGTCATGGCGTAGTAGATGATTTCTATTGTTTTGAGATATTTTTCAATAAACTACGTGCTATTTATTGTATTTTTTTCAAATATTGGTGCTTGTTTCCCATATTTAATGAAAAATAAAAAAAGTCACATACATGATGTCAATTATCATGCAGATTGTGACTTTAAATAAATCTTGCTGATCATCAAGAAAAGTCATAAATGTTTTTATTGGTATAATGGCATACCATTACAATGAGTGCGGTCAACTTCAGATGGAAGGGGTTCTAAGAAATCTTTGTGTAATCAAAGTACCGCTCAATCGGTTTTATCTATCATCATATATTTGGTATGCATCCGACGGAAGTACAAAGACGACGCCTAATCACTGTTTGAAAATGATGAGTTCAAATAGTGATAACACCACATCTGTCGATTAGATAAGTCTTTTCTTGAAGCGAGCTGAATTTCTGTACAGACTTCTTCGCCAAAGTCAAAAGCTTGTATATATGTTTTTGAATATATGCTTTCAAAATTCCGTTGTTGTTGTATTATTCATATTGGTGATACAGCATTATATTAACGAAGTTTACATAGAAATACTCCATGGATCCAAAATGCCACCGTTGACTAGAACATTTTATAAAGATAGATTTTTACTGTCGTGAGTTGTCACGATAGCTTTGTCGTTGAAAATTGAAAATTGATTGAAAATGAAAGTGTATGGTATATGCAGGTATATCCGCTTTTTTGTGAAAATTTGAATAAATAATTCATGTGACGTAATACGCATTTGCAACGTTTACGCAATGCTCTTAAAAATTGCATTGTTTCTAGAATCTCGAATTTCACATCAGGAAGTTTGCTCGTCTATGTTTTTAAGATTTGCGTCTCAAAAACGCCGTCTTTTTTTCACAAATGCTGGAATATGTTAGTAACGTAGGCGATTTATTTCAAACGGATCAATTCTGTTCGACTGGATAATGAAACTCACGTCAAGAATTAAGTAAAGAATTCAATCATGTACTTTTACTGTTATCACTGTTCATTAAAAAATTTTAAAAATTTTATCGTAATAAAGATTATATCGTCGACTATAATTGACGTCGACAAAGATACCAAACGATTCGTACAGGAAATAATCCTACATTGCACGTTTCCATTAAAAGGTCAACAAAAGTATTACGTAAGTGCCATACCAAACGATTCGTACACGAAATAATCCTACATTGCACGTTTTCCATTAAAAGTCAACAAAAGTATTACGTAAGTGCCATACCAAACGATTATTTTACAAGTTCCACTACACCAAAGAATCGTGTAAATATGTCACGTATAATTCGAAAATATTCCTCAAATGTTTGTTAGTTTACCCATGTGATCTATAGTTGTTAGTGAAATATAAATATAACAATAATATTTATTAACGCAGTAACAAAGGATTTCACTGAAAAACGTACGACAGCAGAACATATGGCTAATGTCACGATCCTTTTTAAGAATTGTTTGGTTGGTAGCAATTTACAAAAATACTTGCATATTGACTTCCCTAACTGCTGTTCCTGCATCATATCTATTTCAATGTTGACCACCATGCTTAATAAACTGGCGGTCAAATAAAAATGCTGTAATTAATATTGCTTATTTTATTGTGGTAGAAGTTTGAGACAGGGCCGGTTTACCTTTCCCGGGGTAAGGGGCTTTTTTTCAGCGTGTGGCCCCTCTCGATGCGACGATGCTCTGCATGTCAGGAAATATCACAAGTAAAGGATGCAGCGTATCATTTATTAAAATGTCATTCTGTGGAGATTTTGTTAACGTTGTTCTTACATTTAAAGAGGAAACTCTTAGGACTTGGATATATCTGCAATGCATAACAATTGGAAAGACAGTTTTTAGATTGTTCTCCACAAAAGGCCTTTCCATAAACAATTCCAATGCATGTACACTCAATGTGACAAGTGATTACAGTTAATGCTTCAAAGCAAAATCTACAGAGAACCAGAAAACTGCTCTAGATCTGTTGGGCATGCCTCTTGTAGTCAATCTTTGCACTCTCGATCACTTCTTCAACTAAAAGATTCTTGGGCTTTTGACAAAAACCAAACCTTGCAGCAATCCTAGTGTATGCACCTGTCATTCTAGCAACTCAGCGCCAACCGCCTCTTTTAATTATGACAAAGAACGTATATTTGTGCTTAAATTATTGACAGGAATCTGCAGTACATCCCACA